TCCTCTGTTCGATCGGGTATCATTGTAGCTCGAACCACATCTTGTCATCCCATGCTGTAAGCTCTCTGTCCTCGTATTCCTCACACGATGTCTTCGTGTTCCATGCAGCTCTCCAAGTATGTATACGCGCTTCTCTGCGCCTCTAGCGATTGTATCTGGATATTAAAGGAATGTAATGCCGCTCGTCTGACTCTTTCTAAGTCAGGAGGGCGAAAAATGGTACTATACAGAAAATGAATGTGAAGCGGGCCTGTGATAATGGCCCTGAAGGTGCTGATGAGTCTTTTGTTTCGGTTGGCTCGCTTGAATCGGCAGTGGCAGTGCCAGATGAGACAGATTCTTTGCCTAGACCCATATCTGGTACTGCACTTGCCTTTGATCCAGAGGTTGTTGTGATGCCAGTCTCTTCGGTGTCGTCAGACGTCTTGGTCGCTTGACTGATGGTCATGGTCTTTGCTGAAGAGCTGCTGTCTTGACTGTCGTCGCTTGAGCCATCTGTGATAGCGTTGGTAGCAAAGCCTATTCTCATTAGCACAAGTTTGGTCACTCCAACATGTAAACCTACCAATTCGGCGCTCGTCCGCATCAAAAACGGCGTAGACGTTCTTGATAAAGGTGTCGCCCAAGAGCCATGCACCTTTAACAACCTCGAAACCGTAGACGTTACTGGTGCATTTACCATCCTTGTTGGGAGGGGAAACCCAGTCCTTTGGTGAAATGACATAGTCGACTCCAGAGAAAGTCACGGTCAAGTTGCCGTTGCTATCGCAAGGAACAGTATATGTGGTGCCATCGCTGCTCTGGGCCCCGTCGATAAGAGCATGGAGCTTCTTAACGTTGTCCGGTGATCCAAACATGAAAGATGTTCCAGTGTCGATGAAGCTGCGGATGCCACCGATATCCGCCTTCTTGCCATTGTAGCCCATATCGTCGATCTCAATAGCCCAATCATTGTCTTCGCCAATAGAGGTGTAGGTAATTTTGCCGGTGTACTTGTCGGGATTGGGTGAGCCAAAGCTGATTTCTCCTTCGTTTGTGCCGTCAGCTGCACGGTTCAGAGCAACGCAGAACATGTTCGTGTCGACTTCCTTGGACTTGGCCAGGGCATTGAGAAAGTTGCTGTCAGATCCCTTGTTGATCGCGAGACCAAGAATGCCGTCAAAAGCGAATTCGATGAACTGATCCGAAGTCGTATGTGTCAATCCGAACTGATACTTGATGCTCATGCCAGCCACAGTGATTGTGTCGGTTGCCCATGTACCAGAAACTTTTCCAGAACCGTATGCAATGTTGAAGTCGGATTTTGATACTTCGAGTGAGTCCGAGTCGCCTTCGCCGAATGTGTTATGCATCTCACACGCTTTGCTGGTACAAGAAGCGCCCATAACCCAGCTTGATCCAGCGCCAGTGTCGATAAGCATGTACATTGTCTTCTTTTCCGATCCAACTTCGACCTCGATGAAATATGAATAGTCAGTCCCGTCCTGGTCAACACCCTGAGTGTGCTTTTTTGTCGATTCTGTGGCCTCCATGACGTCGTATTTGTTATCACGTTTGAGCAGCGTACTGGTGTCAGGGATGCTTCCACCGGCATATTTGGCGATCAATCGTGCTGCTTCGTGAGCTGCTCTCTCAGTTATCGTTTGGCTGGACTATAGTAGAACGGTCAATGGAATGAGACTGTCAAGCAATTTTTCAGAAACAAACCTGAGGTGATCTCTGCTTGATATCCATACGCACACCACCACCATTGCCCACACTCTTGGGACTTCGAGCCATACGCTTTTGTCCTACATCGACACGCCAGCTCGGACTATAAGGAAAGAAGGCATGAGCAGATGAGGCCAAAGCCAATTGTGCCAATAGAGATCCTGGACGCATATTGAAGCTATATTGGGATCAAGGCAACCAAACCTCCACGGCGCGTATTGAATATGCACTTGGAGTGGAGGTGGTTGATAGAATCTGGATTGGATTGGATCGAACAAAAACGGAGTGAGACCAGAGCCGAAGCTAATTGGAACAGCTTGTCTCAAACGCGTCCGGACAGGAAGACAGAATCAAGGCGAGGCCTCTTGAGCCAGAGTTGGCGAGATGTATTAAAGGATTAGAATTACAAGCCCAGCATTGGAAACAAAACGGCACAGTAAAGATGCCGACTGATAACCAGGACCTGATGCAAGTTGGACAAGCGAAGATGCAACAAACACAAGCCAGACAAGACAATGGAAGTGGCTTGGTTACAGTGAGACCAATTCGAGTCTCTCTTTTTGGAACAAGGCGTTGAGGTTTCTCGGAAGTCGGAGTACTCGGCTGAGGTCCTGGATCGAGACAGAGGAACCAAGAAATGGGAAAATACAAATACGAGAAACGGAAACAAAAAGAAGAAAGAACAAAGTTGAAAAATGTCGGAGGAGGGAGGGAATTATTACGAATTAAGGTAAGGTAGAGTATAGCATAGAAAAAGAGGTAGAGAGAGGTAGAGGTGAGTGAGTGGAGTTCGGAGGGATGAGAGAATGACGGGAAGAGGTGGGTTAGTTAGTGTTGGTATGGGGAGATATCTAGTGGAGAGCACCCGGCGAGGTTGTAGTTCAACACAACCTACGCACTAGATACCACCTACAGGGGATAGAAATCGACTCGAAGGTGCTGTACCTGCTGAAGATATCGTCCCAAAGAGGCAGGCGAACGGAAGGGATAAGAGTTGTCAGAATAGACACATCATATCACTATCACAGCAGGATACCAACATTATGTCCATGATACATACATACAAACTCAACTGAACTCTTCCAAACTCTCTCTCAACTCTCAATACCTGGCTTGATTCTAGATCCAAAGCCAAGCTAACAAGGCCCCTTGATTGGATATTAGTTATCTTGGCTCGACGATCAGCAAGGCCCAGTACCTGTAGATCAGGTATCTCATCATCTCACGGACTGAATCAACCGTCAAACACGACGAGACCTGAAAACAACAAAGAGAAACGCCGCCTGTAAAACGTTCTCCACCACATGCCAGCCTGAGTCGACGTGCATTTCGACCCGCCAGCCATCAGAGTGCATCTCTGCTCATCACTGGACACCCACCGAATGTTCATCTGTAAGGTTCAGGGGTCGTCAGCCTCTGAGTGGCCCGTTACTCTTAGCCGCTTGTTTATTACGGTGGACTCGAGCTGTGGAGATTACCCTACCTTGCCCCATGCTTACCTCGATATCGGCCGAAAATATGCTTGTCCTCTTCTTGTCTGGTGCTATTTTATCATCTCGTATAATACGTACCCAAAGATAGCGACGTTACCTGAATATTGAATGCAAAGTGCTGCTTTCGTCCAGTGAGAAACTCCCCGAGACAGGGTCTAACACCAATTTTCTGTGCCCCTGAGACGGATAAGTTAACGTGCAGCAGATGCTTTAGGTTAGACTTCTCCCCAAGATCTGCACAAAGTGGCACATACTAAATGTGCTGCAACGCAACGTGGAGCAAGCGGCAAAAAGAAAGAAAAAAACAAGCTTCAGCCGATTGATTCGGGCGTTTTCAACTGTCAATGGTGAAAACGAAACACGCGTTCTGTGGAAACTAGGAGCAATATTGTGGTTCCCTTGCTTGAAGTTGATATTCAAAGTATTGGCTATGGCGTATAAAGAAGAAGGCCTGGTTAAGGAATTGAATCCCAACAGCCATTCGATTTTCAGAGGTCTTGGCCATATCTAACCTTATCACAACGTTAAATCCAGAGTTTCATCAACCAGACCGTTACAGCCATGTACCCAAATTCCAGTTCCGTATTGATATCAATGGCCACGAAGTTAAAGCCTAAGGCCTTGGCGTCAAACTGGCACCAAAGTCTCCTTAGACTTGCATCTCTTGACTCGACATCATTGGATCGTCAAGTTCAAGTTGTTGTTTTCTCAATTGACTCGCAGTAGCGGTTCCTCTCCTTGACTTACGCGTCAAACAGCGGCGCCACTCTACCACATAACTTCCCCTGACTACTGAGAGCCTCAAAACGCTCAGCTGCTCCAGTTTTCCTCTAGATCCTTTTGGTCATTGTCAGGCGCTTCTTTTGCAGATTACGCGGCGGTAAAGTTGACACTTTGACGCTTGACCAGTGTCTGGATTGATCAAATTGCACAGTATCTCAATTTGTTGGTTCATTGAGCTGAAGCCCCAACTATCACGAGTCTTTCCCTGGTCGGATTATCGGCCGCCTGGCTTCTTCTCCACGTGTACATGGGTTCTCGGATATGGTTCTATCCCTGTTGCCCTGTATTCACATGCAGACATGAAAGCAGCGACATTGAGATAATGACTCGGTTTCAGGCTCCATCCTTCTTGAGTAATGGCAATGCAAAAGCACATCGTATTCTCAACCCCATTTACGTGAAATTTGTTTCTTGTTTAATGTTTGTTCTCAAAGCTCACGCATGACATGACAGCTAGCTTATCCGTGACACGAGCAACGTCAAAGCTCCAATGATCGTGCAAAGGCGGTCATTATTCGTAGTTGCGAACAAGGTAACGATAACAATATCCTCTGCTCAATCTTTCCCCGAACCAAATTAGACAAATGTATCATTCCGATCATAAGGGCATGCACACTCTACGTTACAATCTATAATACAGCATCTCGTTGGTTTCCGCTTTCGGCTCCTTAGTAGTCTTGCAATTTCACCAAGATTCCAATATAGATTTGATGGATCACTGCTCGCTGCTCGCGATTCAATGACTTCATAGCTCGTTCAAAATGCCTAAACACAAGCTTCATGGTCCAGGAAGTCCCTTGTCAACCGACCCCGTTGATGAAACAACCGCACGGCGCCGTCAATGCCCTCTCGGAATTTTAATCTCGACCCCGGCAGCACTATCTGCTCGGATCGTGTCGATCAGGGTAGGCCTCAATTTGAATTCATATTGCAGCTTTTAACCATACCTGTATTCAGCTGTGATAGGTCACTAGCCGCGGACATTTCAGGGTTCAACATTTCACCGTCAAAGAGACGGCAGATCTTCATTTAGATAATAATCGTGACAATACATATAAGCGGTTTTAAACGTCTGTGCTCCAGTTGAGACCGTATTGTTTCTATTTCCAATATCTATTCCCATGTTTCATAGTCGCATGTACCCGAAAGACACCCGTGAGGCAACCCACGAATGAGTTTCAGTTTCAGCCTGGATCCTCAACTCCAGTTCTTTGCGAACACATCCACGATCATTGACTAGCCATGAGCCACTGCTCTGCTCTTTCGAGCGTCTTCTGCTCAATACCATCTCCAGAAGCCGTCTCCCATAGTGCCTTTCGCAGGTTTTCAAACTCCTCTCTGTCAGTGTTTGTAACTCCCCGAGCAGCAACAAGCCGAAGGAAGTACCACACAGATTCATTCCGCCACTTGAACGAGGTTGCGAGTTTCAATGTCTCGCGAAACACAGGCGATGTTTCGGCAGGCTGCTTGTCCAGCAGGAACATGAGAAACTGCCAGCCAGATATATCATTGTGATGTGCAAAGCACCACTTTTGCGTGGCGATGATCATGCGTGATATTCCTTCTTGTGAACTTGACGATGGCATGATAAAGGTGTTGGTCAGGTATCTAGCGTGACACCAGGCGTAGTAGTTCCGTGGGTGTCTTTCTCCAGATATCATGATGATTCTTGTGAGGTCATCCTCGACTGGAACATTGATATTGTGAATACGGAATTCTTCCATCAGCCATCGCCGATGATTCCATAGTGTTGGGGATTTCGTATGCCGATGAAGCCGACTGGTCAGTAAACTGTCAACCAGATGTTTCTCGAGGTTTAGTCGGTCTTTTACATCTCCTTGTCCCACTGTGTTTTTGATAAGTCGCTTTCTGGTGTTGGCGGCAGTCAAGTGTTCTGGGTCCATCAACAGAATAACTGCTGTTGATCTTGTAATATCTTCTGAAGATACTCGTTGTGTGTCAGCCTGTGTCTGTTTAAGCAGCTTTTGTGCCACTATAAAAGCCTGCACGAGGCGTAACTTTGGTACGGCGACTGCATTCTCATCTCGTAAGACTGTTGAGTTGGTATCCAGCACATGGTCTTTACCCAACAACTCAATCTCCAGAAGCTCATTTTCCGCCTCAATAAGAACACTTGAGATTTCTAGAAATACCGAATGATGATCGCCATGCTTGAGAGATTCCTTGAGACTCTTGTCGAGTGCTCGTGACATTGGAACGATAAAGGGAAGCAGGTGAGAGTTGGAAGTATAGGGTAAGTTTGATGGAATCGACGTGGTGTGGAGGGGTTCTATGGAGCTCCATGCAAGTCTCGGGGCTATGACATGGCTTGACCACGTTTAACAAACCACCAAAACCAACATCACCATCAACATCACGAGCTTAAGTTTAGGCCGGTGTAGGAACGAATACAGAGTGCACACCTTGAAAGCCCATCACCTGTTACCACCGATACACTTCGATCCCCAAGATGGCCTCCCTTATGCTCAGCATCTTCGTTGTCGAAGTTGTCGTCAACCTCGTCAATACCATTGGAGCAGCCGCAATCAACAATCTGGTGTGCTACTCCGCCCAAACCGTACCCTCTAGCTCAGCTGCTGACTGTAAAAGCTCTGGACGATAATCAACTTCCTCCCCGTACCGACAGCAAAGGCTGCCGGCGAGCAACGCAAGCTCCAGGCCGATTACCTCAAGGTTCGACGAGATCTGAACGCCACCAGCAGTCAGGATGAATTTGCCAAGTGGGCAAAGCTCCGTCGTCAGCACGACAAGCTCCTCGAACAGCTGGAGAAGACCAGTACGTTACAACCGCCACAGAGCTTCAGGGGAATCGAGAGATATCTGACACATGACCACTACAGAGAAAACCAACGAGGCAGCACGATCCAACTTCGACAAGATCCTCACCGTTCTCCGAATCGTCGTTACACGCGCGCCGCAATACTTCCTGCCTTTCTGGTACGCTACCGAGCCTATGTTTTGGCTTCCTTACGGCTGGTTCCCGTACTGGGCGGAATGGATCCTGTCTTTCCCTCGCGCCCCCATCGGAAGCGTTAGCATCGCTTCGTGGCAATTGGCTTGCACAGGAGTTATCGCGCTTTTCAGCGACTTGATCGTCGGTATTGCTGGTCTGCTCCTCAACGCGAAGCAAGCCAGGGAGGCACCCATCGCGGCCCAGAAGGTTGCCGCCGAGGAGAAGAAGAAGTCATAAGCAAACAGCATTGACATAGCTAGTTCGCGCACATAGTAAAAATATGCATATTTACAAGCAGAGCTTGGCTACGATTGGAGATGTATCTCTTAGATAAATTTGACGCAAAGTTCCTCATTGCCGAAGCTGAGACTTTGTAACACGACAGAGAATAACCCTTGGCAGGGTATTTGGGGCTTGATCTAGGCAACATATTGACTCTAGCGACCACGGAGAGATCGCCAAAGCTTCGAAAGTGCCAATGGTAACAACGATACACGGATGCACGGGGGGAGCGGGAGGCAGTGAATAACGGCGCGAATGCCATATTATTGCGCTACTGAACTATAGTGAGTATTGTGAGGGTGTGATTGTGGACAAAAAGACGGAGAAGGGAAGTTGTTTGTAGTGAATGGTTGAGGTGAAGAAGGAAAGAAATTTGTTAGAAGAGAAGAAAAATCCGAGGTTTTACGTTAAGAGAGGTCGGCCCCACCAAAGTTAAAGCCCCCACATTGGCCGAAGACACCTGGATGCTGCCCTGTCCCTCAGGCCTAGGCTTGGCGCCACCTTTGCCTTATTGAAGCTGTTCCTGAACTGACGTCGTTTATCAGCCTCGTCTCAATCTTGTAACAAAACGTGTTCAACTTCACCATCTCATTACCAACAAAGAAACACGACCATCTTGGCTTGATATCCGCCATTATGGCGATCCCATGGGACTCGTAAGTTCATCTTCTAGAATTTACTTTGTTCTTGTGACTTTATTCTTCCTGATGGCCACTTACACATCGTGTATAATCAACAACTAACCGTAACCAGTATCCGGTCCCTCCTTATCTTCTTTGGACCTATACTTTTACCAAAGGCCATATCATACTATCGATCCGTTAAAGCCTCTTCGCAAGCCCGGCATGCGCCAATAATTCCCGTACCGCCCAAAGTCCGCGTGGCGCTCGCCCTCCTCGCCTTCTTGATCATCAGCTACATCCTCAAGACATTACCACCGTTCGCACCCGAGAACCTGTTTCTTGCGACCCAGAGTCGTCTTCAGATCCCCGTCGATGTTCTATTCAACCGTGTTGCAGTCGGAAGGCCCGGTAATGTTCTTACGAAGCAAGACGAAGCGCTGAGGGGCAGATTTGTCAACTTGGAGAGTCGACTGCTATACTTGCAATTTGGGCCTGAAGTGCTCGCGAACTGCCCGTTCTGCACTTCGGAAGAGCCCAAGACATTCTTCTACTATGCTCTACCACAACTCCTGTGGCCTCATATCGCGAACCTCTTCGCCATCGCTTTCGTCACGAGTCCAACTTTCACAGGGCGAGCTGGTGCCCAATGGCGACCAAAGGCTACAATGGCTGCTATGATCATTGCCGCTCTCGATATTTACTTTGTCAACTCTTACAACTACCAAGCCAATGCACGTGCTCTGCGCCTATCGGAAGTTGACTTCTTTTACTGGACTGCTCGAGTCGCACGTCTCGTCACCCTCGCCGCTTTCGATGCAGCTCTTGGCTGGCTTCTATATCTATCTGCTACTAACCGTGCGTTTGTCGAGCCACCCTCGCCCGTTGAGCGCATCGAGGCAACTTCCCGTGCCCTCCTTATCGTTAAGAGCAAGCTTAGTGCTCTCGGCATTGTCAAGAACACTGCGCTGCGCGACGAAGATCTTCGATCACGAAGCCATGCCTACTGGAGCCACGAAGTGCGTCTCATGGGCGAGGTTATGGAGGAAAGGGAGGTTGTCGAGGGAGTTAATGATGCATTGACTAATCGCATTGACGTGGCGACTATAACGAGGGACGCTGAAGGATATGCACAGAATGTATTGCACTCCTTGCGCGGAGAAACGGCAGACAATGATAGTTTCTAATCCGTCCTGCTGCGTATTATCCCAACCCTTCTTTTAAAAGAGCTATTCTTACATAGAGGTCTATGACAGTTCAAGCCTGGCTTGAATAACCATGAAAACCATATCTCATCCTTTCTCTTGTAACAGTTGAGCGTTATCTCTCTCCCTGCTCCCCCTGAAACATGCACGTTGTCCACTCCATACATGCATTTAGTGTAATTTCCACATCATAACTCCAACATTCAGCATTAACTCTTGGAATCCGGCCTTGTCGACTCCGGCCTTACTGGTCCCGTAGCAGCACTGCTAGTGCTACCCTTCCTACTTGGTGTTTCCAGAGCACCCTCTTGTGCGCTGCGCTCTAAGAAGTTTGCCCATAGCTCAGATAAAGACTCTTTGTCTTTGGCAGATGTTGACTCGTTGAAGAGATCGGTGTTGAGAGATGGCGAGCTTGGTGTACGTGTAAATGGTGACATGGGTAGGCGGAGAGAATTAGATGATGTGCCTGGACGAGCGAGACCAGCTTGCTCTCGTTGCTCGTCCGTCCAGTTGAGATAGCCAGCCATAACTTGAAGAACCTGGAAACGCTTGGCGTCACCGCGGTCGAGTGTGAGGAAATGGAGGAGATGGTTGGTGACGATTTGTCTAGTCGTAGTTAGCATGAAGCTCCATATGAGTTGTCATATATTAGACGTACCTGTCAACATTGTCTTCTGGTTTAGTCTTCTTTAGATATCTTAGTGCCTTCGTCAAGTGGTCGTTCAACACAATTGCCTCATGCCTCAACTTTCCAATGAGAAGGTTCTTCTCCTTGACTTCCTTCTCATACGGTGCTGTGCGCTCAAGCTCTTGTGTGAGTGTTTGCTTGGCTTCTTCGGCTTCCTTTGCGCGGGCATCGGCTTCTTGCACCTGTTTCTTGAGAGCTTGAACTTGCGCCTCGGTTGTCTCGACCATATCGCGAAGCTCCTTCTTGCGAGCATCCTGAATCTCGCGGAGGGCGTTCTGTAGGTTTTCGATGAGGGTCGTCTGGCTCTCTCGCTCTGTAGTGGCGCTCTCGTAGTTTTGTCGTAGGATAGTAACTTGTTCCTCTAGCTCCGAGACCTTATCGACTAAGCTCTCCTTAATAGATCGCTCTTCCATGGCGATAACCTCCCATTCGCCCATGGCATTGGCGGTGGTCTCCATCTCCTCCTTAAGATGTTGAACATGTCGGACTAATTCTTCCTTCTCCTTGCTCCAGTTTTGTGCTGATAGGTTGTTGCGACTTCGAAGAGTGTTGAGTTCCCTGGTCGCATCTTGCAGTTCCTCCTTTAGCTTGGCGACATCGTCTCCAGACGACACAGCGTTGTTCCTTAGTTCCTCATTCTCTGCCTCGAGCTCTTCTATACGCTCTTTGCTTTCTTCGAGCTCTGCCTTGTCGCGCTTGAACCGGTCGCTCAGCGTCTGCTTAATCTTCTCAACTCGACCAAGAAGGGTCTGGTATTCCTCTTCAGCATTCTCCTTGGCGGCATTGCTCTCCTCTAGATCGCTCTTGAGCTGTGTGACTTCATTGCTATGGGTCTCTTGGATATTCTCGAGCTGCTTCCGTAGCTGTTCGACCTCGGCCCGCAAGGCCTCTCGTTCCTGGCTCATGGCCTCTAGCTTGGCGGATGTGTCTGAATCGTTGGGCTTTTCCTTTTCGCCATCAACTGGAGGGGGTGTGAGCCCGTTGCTCTGCGTCTTGGGCTCTACGGCATGCCCGTTACTCTGGACAGGAGGAGCTTCTTCGTTTACGACTTCGTCTGCATCGACTGGCGTTTCCTGTGGAGTTGATACATGTCAGCGCGCGCGCAATTGCATGATATGGGAAGTGAGCATCATAACTACGTACGGGCTGAGTGGGCGTCTCGGGCTCGTCTTCGAGGGTCTCTTTATCTGAACCCTGCAGAGGGTCTGAACTACCACTAACAGGTTGCTCAGCAGCCTTGTTCTTGTTGGCGTTCTTCTTCTTCTTGTTGTTCTTCTTCTTTGACGACCCTGCACGAGTAGGAAGCGAGGCCCCATGGGTTAGGACACGTTCTCGAATCTCCATTTCCACGTCAATTGGCAGGGGTAGGGATTGCACGCACCTGAATTCGTCGCCTGGGTCGGGTTCGTTGCGACGGCGGAAGACATGGTGAGTTTTTTTAGTCTAGGTAGAGCATCCAGACCCAGATCTAGAGGTTCAATGTCGTGCAGATAATCCTAGCGCCTGTGGGTGGATTATAGGTTGCTTTAAGAGGAACAAACGGGAATTGGATGTTTGGTACGTGTCAGTAATTACTGACCCTCCCTCGTGTTAAGTTAAGTTAGGTTGGTAGGTGGTGTCTCCAAATTGCATTGGATGTCAGCCGCCCCCAGCTAACGTACATGGTGGAATTTAGTGGACTTGGCCTGGAAGTGCCCTGGAGTTCCGAGACGTTTCAACGGCTGATCTTCCGTCGATGTCGGCTCCGAATTGTCGGCCGGCTACTACTGAAGCATTATATCAGTTGTATGAGTCTATTGTTTTGACCATTAAAAGATTCTCTTGACTTTCAGAAACCAATGGCTAACTGTGTGGTATATATTGCAGCTCTTGTTCACGTACCTTGCAGGATCTAGACTCGAGAATGGCCTCCAATCACTCACTGACTGAGGATGGTTCACAACTTACATACAATGGAACAGCAACTCACTACTCAACTCTCTCTGATTCGGTCTATGGACCCCTTTCAAATGCTGTCAATCTTGTGCCACAGCCATGAGGACAAAATGTTCTTATCTGTTCCTATCCAAGTGAAACATCTTACTTTGCGCTGACTCACTTATCCGCTACTGTAGTGAGTCCTCGATGCTATAGAGAATGACTCTAACAATGTGTCTGATTAAACAGTAAGGCTTTGCTTCATTCATCGGTGAAATCAATGTTGGCCGTCAGTGAACCTCAACCAGTTGGTTCTCATATAGCAAACATCACCAGTGGTGAATCACGAACTCAGGACCTATGATATATCCTCTCCAAAGAGGGCAAGTTTACCTCCGGAATACCTTCAAAGCTGATTCAAACATTCCTGTAACAAATCAAGTCTGTTAACTCTGAGTTGATAGTACAAAAAGCTGGACGAGATGCTCTGGTTGAATGTCCAGGTGGAATCCAGCTTAGTCATATTCGAGTGGATCCTCACGATACTATTTTCTTATCTCTTCCGCGCTTCGAATCTCTTTTTTTCTTCTTCACATATTTTTACCCTTCGCCATCACACTTTTGAAATTGACCATTGTTTTCCGTGGCTTTTTCACAATCAAGCGCGAAGTAGACCATAACCGCCTTTCATAATCCCATTGCTTGCTCTTTTATTTCCTATGAGTGCTATGGGTTCGCTTATGTGCGTACATATCATCGTTGAAAACCTTTTTGTAGAAAAGAAAAAAGCGCGTGACAGATGATCCAACTCGCATTCGTTTCATTATACATGGATCTTTTTTTGAAACTATGTCTATGCCGCTTTAAAACTCCGAAACCCAATTGAATTGAACAATTCCGTACTCAAGCCTTTGCCTTTCGGCCCTTGCCTGCTTTTGTTGCCTTGCCCTTTGTGGCCTTTGCCTTGGGAGCTGGCTTCTCCTTGGTAATGACCTCGGTCTTCTCCTCGACAACTGTCTCAACAACCTCAGCGGGCTCCTCAACCTTGGCTTCCTCCTCCTTCTCAGCGGGTGCATCCTCAATAGCCTTGGTCTCGCTCTCTCCGTTCTCAATAGCAGCAGGGGCTGGCACGTCCTTGATCTCGGGGGCATCAAACTCGTAGCCAAGCTCCTTAAGCTTAGCAGCCTTCTTTGCGCGCTTAGAGTTCTCCTTTGTAACCTTGTTCGCCCATGCAGCCTCGGTCAGAGGCTTCTCAAGCTTGTGGCCTGCCATCTTGTTCCAGGGGACCTTCTTGAATCGTCGGTTGGCGTTCTTGAACAAATCTTCGTGAACCTGCTCCTTGGGGATCATTCGGCACTTGAGGATGTGGCCGAACAGAAGGTAGTTGTCCATGGTCTTGCACACAATCTCGGCGGTAGAGGCCTCCTCGAACTTGACGAAAGCGTAGTGCTTGCTGGCACCGGTCTTCTTGTTTCGGGAAAGTCGTAGGGCAACGATGGGGCCAAACTGCTCGAAGTACTGCCTCATCTCATGCTCGTAGAAACCGTGGGGAATGCGGCCGATGTAGATAACTCCAGCTTCCTCGTCGGAAGCCTTAGCGGCCTTCTGCACATCCTTAGAGACATTGGGGATCTTGCCAACGTCCTGTCCTGGCTTGAAGCTAGAGTCGCCCTCGGTAATGTCCTCGTCGTCAGAGTCCAGCTCCTTAACGATCGCCTGGACCTCCTTGCCCTCCTCAGCCTCAGACTCGGAAGACTCATCGGGGATATCGAGTGTGGTGGTTTCCTCCTCGACAACCTTGACTTCCTCGGGCTTGCTCTTCTTGGACTTTTGCGCCGGCTTGGTAGCGGTCTTTGTTGTGATGGCAGTCTTCTTGACAGACTTCTGCTTCTTCAGCGACACAGGCGATGCATCCTCGGGGGCTGTAAAAGCTGTGTTAGCGACACAAGAAAAGCTATATCGTGGGCATTATGTCTCTACCTTTTCGCTTGGGCTGGGCAGCTTTGGCAGCGCCGTTGGGCTTCTTGATGTCCGAAGCGGCTAAAAAGAGTCAGCGCATAAAGAATTATGGCTCTAGGATAACCTACACTTTCTCTTTCGCAATTCTGGGGCCATTGTGTCTGATTTGGTTGTCTTGTTGCTAGATATTCAAAAGCTAGACTCCCGCAGAAAAAGATGCGTGGGCCATTGAAAAAAATTGGGATTCTGCCATGTCTGCTCTGGGCGGTGAAGAATCGCGTCCACTATCAGTCTATCGTAGTGGGGGTCGGGGTCCTTTCAGCGGCTTGGTCCACTAAAAAGTGTCTGTAGCTTCTGAAGCTTACAACCTGGTGATATAGCGGATTAAGACCAACCGACATCATCAACTATTGCCTGTCAACTCAATTTATATTCTTGAGAGACTCTTACCGACTCACCTCTAATCATTATACTCCTTGTGAATTCTGAATCAAGCAAGCAGTGACTCTTCGATCTCGGCTATTCTCAAACAGAAACTTCTCAAGCACACCTAACAGTTCAATATCGATAACTCTCCAACTTCGCAGTTCGACATTTGATTGCACAAGATGTCAAAAAAGCAAGACAATCTGACACAAGAGGAGATATGGGATGACTCTGCCCTGATAGATTCTTGGAATGAAGCCTTGCAAGAGTACAAGGTAAGTGAGTTCTCTCTATGGCAAACGCTTACTGACAGACATTCTGTAGAAATACCACAGCATTCATGCTAAGGGCGGAAGTGTACGAGAATTGGAGCCCCAAAATCGGTATGTTCAATCTTGAAGGAGTGAAATTCATTCGGCTAACTCGTGAACGAAGGGCCGAAGCGGAGGCTGAGTCTGGATCTGGGCAACCCCAAGTTACAGAAGCAGAAGAGATTGAGTTGGAATCAGGAGCAGCAGAACAAAACAAGGTGGGTTTAGCTATGTTGATCTGTGTCATGAGAATCTTGGCTTCATATGCTCAGACAACTGACATGGAAGTTTAGGAGATCCCATCGTCGCGCAACGAGTCTAAGGAGCCAATCGCGTCTCAAGGTCTTCCCTCATTTCCTATACAAACCGTCCTCGGTTCCGGTAAGTCAAGATCCTTGAAATATATTTCTTGTCATATAGGCCTAATCAAAACACAACAGTTCAGGACGAAAGCCTCAAGAAACTCCTTATGTCATGGTACTATGCTGGGTACTACACAGGGTTGTACGAAGGACAACAGCAAGCTCAGCAGAAGTAGGATGGTTCGTAAGCGAAGAAACAATTTTACATCCTTGAAACACGGAAGAGCGGTAGTCATCCCCAATTTTGTCAGAGAAAGTCATGGCATACGCATGGGTTTCTCGGTCGGGCTGTTGCCGTTGATGCTACGATGCAAGATCGGCCGCCGATTCACGTGGAAATGTTCATGGATGGATAAGAACGGATGGATTCAAGAGAGGATCGTGGCGTTTCCGTCGAAACGAGAGGCCTCAAGCTGCCAGGGCCAGATTTAGAGACTTTGTTGTAAGTTCATATCATGTCAAGATATAGCGACCGCAATTTGTGACCCAAGATTATACCAGCGCTAAATACGGTGCAGGCAGGTCTCTTTCCATGTGGATACGATACTGCGCAGAGTATGGTTATTAGTTAAGCATCCATAGCAACACCAATGATATACGCAAAGCGATTAAGGTAGGTCACATATTAGGTCTCAAACCCTGTCAAGAAGATAAACTTTTCTCGTCCGAATTGCTGTGCTAAGGGTCTATCGCGGACGAGACTATGTCGATGAAACCTCACCGTTGACGATCAATGGTGAAACGGCCTCCGTGCCGCTCAAACGGCGAGTATAAGTGTATTTAATAGCTTGGCCCTTCTTGGCTTCAGTGAGCATCGCGTCAACGATATCATACTGTAATTCTGGTATAATAGAAACCTCAGGTGGCTGGGCCTTGGACTCTGAGCACGCACGGAGTAGCCAAGTCCCGTTCTTGGCTTTGTCGGACCTGTCTCTTTGACGTCTCACCACTAACAAAAACAGCCCCTGTTATCGGTCGTTGATACGACCCTATATAGACTTAGTTAAGCGCATTAGGCCTATACTGGTCGCTACGTAAGAAACCACCCCAATCATTATGTGTCGCATGTTATTCGCTTGGCACTAGGTACAGCGCAAAAGGGTAAAACTCCAAAACACCAAACGTGATCCGAGACGGACCTGTCACAGAGACCACCCCCGCATCAACAAGCGTTTCATAGGGGGACCTGTTGATGATGATCGGATCTAGACTGACCGAAGCGAGCAAAGCTAAGATTCGGCTTCTTCAGCGGCCGTGTTTCGAAAATGTGTTTGAGGGCTTGTCTTTTCAAGGGGGTTACAGGCGGTTGTTTAAACAGTTTGGCTCATGAGAAGCAAGGTATAATAAGGGCACAGCAGTACCACGACTGTCAACAAACATCCCATCCCCATATCTCCATCTCTTTCTCAATTGTTTCTTGTGCTTCATTCTTTTTGCACTCGAGAATTCCTTTCTTTGAAGGCAGGCCCTCTTCATTATTACTTAGTCTCTTAATCGCTAGATCGATCTCATCTCGTCTCTGGCCCGAACAACTCGCAATCCTTTTCCTTTTCTACTTTAATACCCTCAAGTTAAACATCATGAAAGTTTCAACTAGTCTGGCCGTGGCCGCCGCCTTTGCGCCCTTGACCATGGCGCGTTTCCTCGACTTTGCTCAGCCTGAACGACGGGATCATCCTATGCCTGCTGAAGCTGTACCCGCTGAGGCTGTGCCTGTAGAGGGCATGCCCGCACACGCTCTTCCTGCAGAGGTGCTCAGTGGGCACAAGAAGATCGTTCAGGGAGGTCACAAGATCTCCAAGACCGAGATCATCATCATCTGGGCGAACCCTGGAGCTGGTGCCGAGACAACCACCATCAACGAGAAGGTCACAGTTACTCAGACCGTCACCAAGGGAGGAGAGGCCGTTGCTACTCCTGCAGCCCCTGCTCAGCACACTGTCACTGTTGGTGGTCCAGGAGGTCTAGTTTACCAGCCTGAGGAGCTTCACGATATCCCCATTGGCGACACTGTTGTCTTCGAGTTCCTGTCACAGAACCACACCGTCTCTCAGTCTGGTTTCGACAAGCCCTGTGCTCTTCTCGAGGGTGGTATGGACTCTGGTTTCATGGCCAATCCCAACAACACTGTCTCTCCTCCTCCCCAAGTCGCTATGCAAGTCATGGTTGACACTCCTCTCTGTAAGTCACAAACCCGATAGTATCCTGATTCTCACACTAACCTTTGAAGGGTTCTACTGCAAGCAAGCCAACCACTGTGGAAAGGGTATGGTCTTCTCCATCAACCCTACTGCTGAGAAGACTCAGGCCAAGTTCAAGGAGATGGCCATCCAACAGAATGGTGATGGCAAGGCTACTCCCATCACAGGCGGCGATGCTGCCCCTGCACCTCCCGCTCCTCCTGCTGAGTCCAAGCCTGCTGAGGCTGCACCCCCTGCTCCTGCCGCTCCCGCAGCTCCTGATGCCACAGGAGTTGTCCCTGGAAAGGGTGTCATCGGTGGCGATGGCAGCTGTGTGTGCATGGTCTCCTGCTCAGCTGGTGGATTCCCAGCTCAGGCCCAAGGCATTAATTCATTTGGCGGCATGGGTGGTAAGTCATCTTCCACTCTTTGACATGATACCAAACACTAACGGTTCTCTAGGTGCCATGCCTTACAAGTTGGACAGTGTAGTTTAAGTTGGGCAATGACATGAAATACTTGGAGGTGTTGATACCACGGAGGACGATTTGAGTTGAATATCTTATTACTTGAATGTACCATTTATGGGTTTTAGACGACTGGGATTATGTTTGGGTACCTGGCCTAGATGGCTGATAAAATCTTCACGGGTTTGAAGATCGGTTTAGGTAGTTTAATGGGACAAAGCTTTATGGGAGAACTTATGACAACTTGTAATATTTGGCGAAGTTGCTATACCTGGAATTCATTATTCTGTAACGTACGCGCCTTTGATCTTGTATCACCCAAGACAGAGAACAGGCATGCCAACAAGAAGCACAGAGGTAATTATAGTCTCTGTTTCCAAGTCTCTATGGTACAACATTTATAGTACAATATTATAAACCCCTGGGGGTAGCCAACCTTATCCTTACTCCTGAGACGATGCAAAACCAAGCTTTTTATCCATTTCCTTATGCATCCAGTCTATTCCAGATTCCGTCCATATAATTATGTTCCGCCCATCTCAAGATCTGGATCAACCTCTGTTCCTAGATCCCGGTCCTCAACAAACCGACGTCCAACAAGTTCGTCCGGTAGATATGTCTGCTTCACCTGTCCATCACGGTAATTTGGTGGATACTTGTACTCAGCGCCATATCCCATGTCACGCATGAGTCTTGTAGGAGCATTACGTAAATGTAAAGGTACAGGAAGGCCGGCTACACCTGGTTCGCGCAGAGCTGCGTATGCGTTGTTCAGAGCACGGTAGGCCTTGGTGCTCTTGGGCGCATTACATAGCGCGACGGTGCAGTGTGCCAGAGGTATCCTAGCTTCTGGCATGCCGATTTGTTGTGTAGCTGTGTAGGTCGCGGTAGCAAGTGGCAGGAGGGTGTTATCCGCCAGACCAACGTCTTCAGAGGCGATGACAACCATGCGGCGAGCGATGAATAAGGGGTCTTCGCCGGATTGGAGCATGCGAGCAAGATAGTAGAGTGCCGCATCTGCATCGTTTCCACGGACTGACTTATGGAAAGCAGAAATTGTATCATAATGTTGATCGCCTGCACGGTCGTAAACGAGAGTCTTGGTAAGAGCAGCCTTTATATCTTCTTGTGTGATACCCTCGCGAGTTGTGAGCGAAAGGGCGAGCTCCAGGAGGTTCAAGGCAGTGCGAGCATCACCATCCGCAAAGCGTGCCAGGTAGGCCACCATAGCTTCGTCCAATAACGATGTTTGCGGATAAACTGATTCTTCCTCCTTGATCGCCCGCTGCAAAATGCGCACTACATCCTCTGTTGTAAGAGACTGTAACGTGAACGTACGACATCGAGAGAGCAAAGCATTCGCCACTTTGAAAGAAGGGTTCTCTGTTGTCGCACCAATGAGCGTCACAGTTCCGGCCTCAACAGGCTTGAGAAAGACATCCTGCTGAGCCTTATTGAAGCGGTGGATCTCATCGCAGAACATTATAGTCTTACGACCAGTAAGAGCAAGATCATTCATCGCCTCTTGGAAGTATTTCTTGCACTCGCTGACTCCCGTACTTGTCGCATTGAGCTCAATGAAACGACTGCCGACCATACGAGCGATACATCGTGCTATTGTCGTCTTTCCTGTGCCTGAAGCACCCCATAGAATCATCGAGGGTACTTGGTTCGATTCGATAAGAGAGCGCAGCACACCATTTGGTCCGACTAGATCTTGTCCGCATACTTCGTCGAGGTTTCGTGGTCGCATTCGTTCGGCTAAGGGCGCAGCTCGTTGTGTCTTTGTCTTCTTCACTACCCTTCCATCTTGTTCAGTATTTGGAGACCAAGTACTCGTTCCGTTGACATTCTCGCCGTTCGTCGTATCTTCTGCATTCTTGGAGCTTGCGACCCCATCGCCAGGGCCCTCTTCAAAAGTCCTCTTCTTCCCTGCTATAGGCTGTAATGCTCCGTTGACAGGAGTCGCTATTCGGTTCTCAGAGGCAGCTTGTCGTTTTGGCGCGGGCGTGGAGAAGAAGTTAGAAGCGTTTCGTTTTTGAGAGTTGCTTTGTGGTGTCTGTGATTGCGGCGGTGTTGGGGCCTTCTCTTTGTCTATTATGAAGCTCTCGCATCCTGAGTCGATGTGGTTGTTGATCTCGGAGGGTTTAACGGGCTTGTTGCAGATGGGGCAGTCGACCGCCATGGTCGCTGTAGTCGTGCCGATCACCGAATCACTGAGGGAGAGTTTGCTTTGCTATGCGACTTGGTAGTGGACGTTGTGGTGAGTTGTCGTCGGTTGGTTGATAGATTAGGGTCATGCATGGAATGAAGCTACGAGGTGAAAGCTAAGACTCGACCAAGTGAATAAAATAGAGTGGACCGTACCTGAACTAACTAGAACGCGTTCAAGTCCGTGTTCAAAATCGTGGGGACCAATCCCCGAACAACGGGCCGCTCTCGGATCCGTATAATCGGTATTTGTTAGCCTGTACTACTACTACCATCAATTCACACGACATTTCACGACACGTTATAGACAACATGGAATCAAAAGATTACATTGGTTTATTTTGACTATGGCGACAACCATTTCAATAGCCCGGTTGACTGAATTACTAAAAACCCTTAACATAACTCCGTGATAATGCTTCAACGACCACCAATCCCTTTCATGCTCATTCCATAACGCCTGTGCCGCCAAGCCGATATGTATTTGTATATCAATGCTGTGCCAATGTTCGATTTATTTAAGCTGATGTCTTGAGTGACCGCACTTTAGGTGATGCTATGCTTGTTTCGGCCTTGCGTTTGCCTAATACTGGGGTGTTTTCACGGTCTCGTGTTGCTTCTGCATGACATGATGCGTGATATGCTCGGTCGCCGACTAGAACTGTGTCTAGCCATACCCATTCTTGTGCCGTATCGAGCCATTTGTTCTCAAACTTGTCCTGGCAGATTGGACAAACAGTGTTGATGCGGCGAGATGCATCAGGAACGAGGATGTACTTTGGTTTAGCAGCCTCGGATGCCTTGGAGGCCTGAGCGGCAACATCTTCAGTTGTGGGGAGGTGGTCGACGTCGACGACTTCTCTTGACTTTAACCAGTCCTGTGTTGTTGTTAGTAATTTTGTATTCTGAGGAGGTAGTGTTGTGACTTACGCGTTGATCAACGTACCAACTCCGGTGCATACCTCGCTTCTCGGCTTCGTTGGTTCGCTGGTGGACACGGAAATGCCAGTCCATATGAGCAATCTTCTGCTTCTTTCCAACTGGGTCGTCTCGAAACCGTCTACCGCATTGGGTACAAGGTTGGCCCAGGTCGTTATGTAGTGCCCTGATCAAAGAAGGCTGACATGGCTGTTTGAGAGCGGCCACATTGATACCGCCTTGTACTGGAACTGGCGTTGGTGTTGCTGCAGGCGCAGGAGGGAGTAAGCCTGACTTTCGTAGTTGATCAAGAAGACTCCAAGGAGCTGCATTTGCTGCGGGCGCTGGTGTCGGTGTCTGGGACATCAAAGGCATTGGAGTCATCCCAGGTATCGTAGGTATCGACATTGCGGGCATAGGGGCCATGTTTGGCATTGCAGATATGTTTGGCATAGGTGGCTTTGGCGGTTCAGGATGAACCTGCGGCGGCTGAGGAGTTGGTGTCGAGCTCGAAGGTGTAGCCGACTGTCTTGCCATCAAGGCGGCCAAGGCTCCCTTGCCCAAGAGCGCATCAAGCGTCACACCTTCTTGCGCCGGAGCCGGAGCTGCAGACGGAGGGAGGGCTACGGACACTGGAGGCATAGGGCGTGCTTGAACGGGCACAGGAGGAGTAGGTGCAGGCCTTTGAGTCAGAGGCGCCATCATGTTTACGGCAGCAAGTTCAGTTACTTGTTTCTTAATGAGCTCAAGCTGATCCGGAGGCAAGCTAGTGCTGTTCACAATGCCCTGCAGGTCATGAAGTGCTCTTAATCTAGTCTGAACACCAACATCTTGGGGATTGCGCGAGGCTTCCGCCTGCATGGCAACAATTAGATTCCGAATGTCATTGCTCAATGACTGTCCTCCATTTGAAGTGTATTGCTGGGCTGGATGGCCTGGAGGGTATCTCATCCCAGGCGGTGTCGGAGTATCACGATGGGGCACGGCAGATCGCGATCGCCCAGGCATCATTCCCGCTTGGGGCATGCTTACGGCGCGTGCCTTCAAGAGTGCATTCTCAATAGGACGCACCAACTCGTGCGAAAAGACAGGCCTGCTGTCCATTGACCCAGGAACAGGCTCCTTCCATGTTCTAAGCATCTCCTCCATTTTTCGGCGAACTGGTTGATCGACTACTGCGTATGATTCCATAAAGGTCTTGAAGAGATTGCGGCCGAAGTAGAGAGTGTATGGTGTGCCGACATTCTTCACGATCGAGTCGAGTACGTACAGAGCTGGAAGTTTCTTGTTCGGTGGCGCCTACACGGGAGTTAGCATTAGATCGAATTGTTCGTGCGCATACACATTGCGCATCAAGATTCCAACCTACCTTAAGGATGTGTTGTTGCAAAACTTCAGCGATAGCTAGGGCATGTTCAGTATTCTCACGAGCAATGACTGTCAGGTTGCTAATCTCGAAGCGCATGTTAGAGGATAGATCCTCCAGGGCCATGCGGTAATCCTCCGCCACCTCAGCAGAGTCTCCAGACATGATGGCGGTGATGGAGACGAGCGCAACTGGTCGTGTGAGGTAAAGTGATGGTGATGGTGATGATTGGGCTAGGCACAGGTCAAGCTAGCGATAGGCTACAGAACCCGCTGGCGTCGGGTCGGGTCTGGACTGGAACAACGATGCGGATGCCTGAGGCTCCACTCAATAATAGTCGCGATTCAAATGCAAGAAAAAGCAACAAACGGACTTGATTCTCCTGAATAGAAAAGGCCAAAGAAAGAAGCCAGCTTTTAAAACAGGTCCCCTGAACGCACAGCTATTCTTGGATCTATTTTTGTACCAAAAGTCTTTATTGTTGCGTAAGGATTGTGTGTTCTTTGTATTGACTATTGATTAATAGGTTGTCTCTGAAATAAAAAGAAAGAACGAAAATGAGCTGCATATAATGGGTGTCAGCCCGCCTTTAAATTTACGATTTTCAAGGTTTACTCCCTCAGGCATTCGTTTGTTCCTTGTGGGCTTACAAATAAAGTCAAGGCGCGTGATGCCCCAGAAGGTTTCCGTGTAAGCTTCGAATGCGCTGAACTCATTCTGAACTTCAACCAACAGAAACTCAACGTAGTTCTCCTGAATTTCAGGTTGTCGACATAACTACATAGTCACTTTAATATAAGGTCTGTTCATAACTTTACAAACATCGGGATAAGGAGAAACAAGTCTCTGCAAACCTGAACCTTATGAATATTGACCTTAGAAACACAATTTGAGTTTGAACATGATTTGTTAAAATGGTTACAAACTAAGTTAAGCAAGATAATCTGCTAGCAAACAAATAACGAAAGCCGTAAATCCAAAACGTGGTATCGCTGACTCCTAATGCCTTAACGCCTTCCTATCTTTTTTCCTTCACGCACGCAATCTTTGCAGTTACAACTTTCCGAGCTGCACTTCACATTCTCCTTGTTCTTCACAGTCTCATTGACCGTCTTGAGGGCTTGTGCCGATTGCTTCTCCTCCGCTTCTTTCCGCACTTTCTCCTATTTGCGCGCCGCTTCTTCCTAGAATCGAGACATGTGTGCCTCCGAGTACATGCTTGGGCTATGCGGGCGAATGTTAATCGGGTGCAGAGCTGTATCTGGGCGACGAACTTCGGGGACGATGGGGCTGCGGCGATCTTCGCCTGAGTCGTGTGACTGTCGGCTGAGGGAGGAGGGTTCTTGATGCTCATAGTGAGGGGGAGGAGGAGCGTTGCGCTCAAGGTCACGGTCACGAGTAATAGGTTGACTTATGGTAGGTCGTCGGGGTGTGGGCTCGCTCTTCCTGTCCCAGAAGAATCTCTTGAAAGCATTCTTGGGTCGGTCTTCATTAGCAAATGAAGCGCTGTAGTTAGACTGGGGTTTGCCGAACGATTCATCGTCCGCGAGAGATCCATTAGACCGGATCTTGCGAGCATTGACGTTAACACCGCGAAAGATGAAAGTGCAGATGAGGTTCATGATGCCGAAGGTGCAGGTCAAGATGCCAGCGGCAATGATGAGTCGCCAAAAAGGAAGACCCAAATCATCACGACCATAGTCTGACGAATTGAGCTTGCCAAGGAGGTTCGTCCCAATAAGCAGCAGACCGATTCCAAGCCAGAAGAGGCCGTGGTTATCGGAGAACGCGGGCCAATGATTGGCGAAATACGCTCTGCAGAAGGGCAATTCGGAAATGATCAGGAAAATGGTGGCTGAGCTCATCATCGCGAGAGAGAGCGCCTCGAAAAAGAACCAGCCTTTGGAGGTGTTGATCTTGATGATGAGGATCCAACAAGAGGCGCCGGCGGTCAGGAGGCTGATAATCGTGAAAACACGCAGGATCTGGAGGATAATCATGCCTGGACCCCAGGCTCGTTGACTGGATCCGAACATAACGGGCGATGGCGTATTTGGTAGGTAAAAATGAATGAAATGTTGTTTAAGTTACGACTGAGGTCGAAAAGATTGAGATGAAGTTTTATAAGGAGGGAAGGAAGCTAGGAGAAGTGGTTAGACGAGGACTTTCGTGTTATAGGCAGCTCAGTACTTACTTTGAAGTCAAGTGTGTGATATTTGAGTTGTGTAGAAACTTTGAATCGAAGATATAGACACGACAGTGAAGTGAAGTTTGTTGGGTTGTGTAAGTGAAAGTTATCAACGAGTTGGTATATAAGTGAGTCGATGTTTGCACAAATGAGAAGGGTATGTGATATTGGAACCAGTCCGAACAGTCAATAAGTGAACAATAGGTAGTCAAAGAAGAGAAGGTTAATGATAGGAAATAGGTCAATGAAGGCGATCGAACACCATTGTTGGGCTTTGAATGAACGAAGAACAATAGGAGAAGGGAGAGGGGTTTGCCACCTGAACAGCTGGCACAAGCAGACTTTAAGAGCGACTGCATATGCACACATCAATCACACTCTTTGTTAGAAACGATGCGACATGCAGAACAAACTTTGGTTGGCCCCTGCATGCACCATCGACCAAGCGAAGCCGGAGTTTCTCGTCATGGCATGGATGTGAAGCTAGAGAGCCAACCAAAAGGGAGGCGACTCACGATTCGATATTTTCCCGCATCGAATCGCGTCAACGATTTACTCTGATGTTGGGCTCCACTCGGGCAGTCAATAGTGTCAGAATTGCAGAGAACCATCAGCGCTGCCGTGTCATGGCCGCCAAGTCTGGCCGCGAGCTGCTGCTATTCAGACTCGGTTTCAGCGGTTCCTTGCTCTGTGTGGAGGGCCCCGATGGGCAGCAACAGGTCGCAGCGACTCAGACCAGTCGACCCAGCTCAGCGCCTAAGTCTGGTGCTCGTGCGATTTCATCTGCAAGCGCTGTCGTCTTGAACGTTGGGCGCCATCGCTGGATGGTTTGCTATATTTGAATCTCAAGACTGGGGTTGAGATGGAGCACGATTGGCTGTGCTGTGTCGAAACGTTGTTTCAGGCCTTGCGCTACGAGCCGGGGCTCTACGTGGGTCTCAAGACCAACGTTAAGTGGCCTAGAGAATGGTCTCCACTGAAATACAGCAGACCAGAGGCTTCATGATGATAGAATAAAAGAGAGCTGGAGTCATGAAATGTGCAAAGAACTTGATTCATTAAATTGTTCAGATACACATGAACAATATATCCGATAGTTCAGGATGGAATTATTACTGTTAATGTGCTACACTGGTTCCGTATCTTGAATAGTAAGGGCTCAAACAAACGACCTGTAACAAGCCCCCAATACGTTGGAACTCAAACTGAAAACTGATTTCAGCTCGCGGCCAAGTTTTGAAAAGGTTCTCTCATCTTCCAGCTCGCTCAAGCAAACCTCAAAAAACAAGCCGGATCTCGTTTTCGTATGCTAGGGTCGCTTATTGCCAGGCCACAGACCCAGCCAGGCGCTTGTGTTCTGTCAAACGAAGCCTTAGCCGCGATGCTATTTTTGATCAACCAGGTGTAAGCGCTGGAGTCAGAAATAGCATCTATCCCGTAGGGCTGTATTCATGGTTCTCACAAACCTGACTCTGATAAGCGAGTTGAGGTTATTTCTGTATCTCCAATTTACTTTAACTTTAGATGCTTTTGCAATTACTTGCTGCAACGGCCTATCATTCCAAGAATACACTCGCAAATAAAAGCTGGAGCTGGCGAATGAATGTTCTGGATTATATATCTAAGCCTCGCTCGCAAACTCAACTTTTCAGCTACCCTGGATCTTGCTGCCAGGTCTCGGAAACGACATAAGGAACTGCAAAAGTAAATCAATTTTATTAAATGGAAGTGCATGTAAATGAAAATCTATGTGCACTTGTCTTATATCTTAAGAGCTTCCGGTAACTTTTACAAAACAAGGTTGCGGAAAATGTCAGAGGTGACATAATTACAGAGGTAATGCATCAGCGTCCATGTCTGTACATACCGAGTAACATGGCGCTGAAACTTATAAATTGCGCAACACTGTAAATGAATATATTTGATTCGATTCTTCGTAACGATGCTAGAAGTGATGGATCGTCAGTATGCTATCCGCTATATAACGCCTAAAACTGAACCTGAAAACGCCATTCCCATGCTGCTTCGTGTATATATGCCCTTAATCATCCTGCGTCAAGTCTATGAATCCAACATCGCTCGTCCGAAAAATCTTAGCCTGAACTCCTCTGCGCTCTAGAGCTGCTGTCTCCCTAGCCATCAGCTCGTCGCGCTCTTCGGCATCAACCTCCACCTCCTCATAGAAACCCACGGCACTGGCCTTTGGGATGAGCAACTTCTTCTTCCGCACAGGAGCAGGACTTGGGGTTGCGTTTCGATCTGGTGGGAGGGATGATTGTTGCCGTTTGTTAGGGGATGCAGAGGAGCGTGAGATGAGGGAGGAGAGGGGAGCAAGATCGGTTGACGAGTCACTATCAAAGTCATCATCGAATCTCGGTTGAGATTTTGGTTGGTGTTGTTTGGGAGCTGGGAGTGCAGATTTTGAAACAGAAGTCTGGGACGAAATCGTGTTCTTGGACTTTTTTGTGAACATGTCCATGGACATCTGCTTCATCTTGGGAGGCTGAGATGACTGAGAAAACTGAGAAGAAGTCGGTGGTCTCGTGCGTCTCGCATTCAATGCCGAGTCTTTCAGCCTTTGCGGAGAACCACTCGACGAAGGAATCGTACGCAGTGTGTTAGGTGAGTTGTGAGAGGCAGGCACACGAGTCCTTGGCCGTGGCGAAGGCGAAAGGGGAGGCGAGTCTGCTGCACAGGGCGGGCTAGATGTGATAATAATCGCTTGCTGTTCATTTGCAGGCTTTCGTGTCCTAGGAGTCACCTGTGAGCTGGCAAGTGTCCAAGGGGTTGTTGTCTGCCTGACGGTGCTACCCGAGGTTGACGTAGGTTGCTTACTTGGCTCCAGAGGTGACGGTATTCGCAAGCGACGGGATGTTGTCGGTCGGATCGGTGAGGTGATAATTTCGTTCTCTTTGGGCACCCCCTTGGAAGTTACCGTACAGACAGTATGAGGCTTGCTTGCTCGCACAAACTTGTTAAGCGCGCCAGCAGGCATACCCGACTTCGGACCAGGCTTGGACCTTGTTGCTTTCGTTTTGGGTTCCTTTGCTTGCTGTTTCTTTTTCTCTGCAGCCTTTTGCATCACCTGAGCATCTGCAAACACCTCTGGTATTCTCGACTTTGCCAATATTTCCAATGCCCAAACACCTTGCCGCGCTGAAGGGTTAAAAGGGGCCGGCTGTCGTTTCGCCGTGGATTCCTCAATGTTCTCCGCGTCTTCGATTTCGTCATCGCTGTTCAGTGCCAGCCCCCCTCGGGCTTGTACTATCTTTTCATCTTCCTCTTTGGACAAGTCTATGGGAACAATTTCGCTTGGAATGTGCTGTATGCGAACTTGTGACACCAAGTCATTCTTGAGATCGGATCTAAACCCTGCAATTCCTTTGACGTAGTCCGCGTTGTCGTGTCCTGCTAGAGCTTGCAGCTTCTGGACGAGCACTGCATGAGAAAGCACCTTGATGAACTTGAGAGCGCCAACTCTGTAATCCCAGCCGAAGACCTCTCTCGTGAACTCTCTTAGATCCTCAAATTGTATCTCTCTTTTGAAGTGAACCTTCTCTCGGATCTCGTCTATACTTTGTCCTGGAGACACAACGGGATGTGTGTAGTAACGTAGAACCTTGAAGTCTGGGAAAGTTTCTGGTATCGCCAAGGCCTTGTTCTTCCTTTTGAAATGACCATTCTCGTTGGTGCGAAGCTCATGTATTAGGGAATTTCTCCAAGCTGTGGTTCCTTCTTTGTCCACAGCCTTCAGCCGGCAGAGATCTCTACCAAAGCCAGCTTTGGCAGCCTCAACAGCCACTTTGATTCCACAGCCGGGGAGCCCGTTAGGATCGTAGTCACCGCCGCTCATCAAAGCAACCAGAACCATGCCCTCGCGATCCAAGCCATGCTGATCAAGCTTCATCTTCTCCGTATCAAACAGAGAGACATGTGTAGGTGTTTTGTCGCGTTTTGATGCTGGTGACCACTGTCGCAGCATTTTGGTGCACCCAAACATCAGAGCGTCAACATCCTCTGTTAGGACCATGTCTACAATGCCGTACTTCTGTAGCAGGGCGCACTCCGCCTCAGCTTCTCCTGGCGCATCGTGGGTGTTACAGCCGAATAGTCGAATCAATCGTTTCGCTTGTGCATTGGCGAAGGAGTCGCCTCGTCCGGATTTCTTGTTTCGCTTGACCGCAGGCTTGTATGGACCGTCAAAAACGAAGATAGGTTCGACTGGACAGGCCAGTAGACGAACGAGTCGGTAGAATAAAGTTCGAATTTCGGGGTTCGTGCCGCCTGACCGTTGTTAGAGAAGCGCTCCAGTATTTCAGTGGCTGTGATATACCTTGCGCCGCCTGATTTTGGAATTGCCAAATCGCAATATCAATAGCTATTCGTAAAGGCCGTCCCTGCTTCTCTAGTGACTCGGCGGCGAGTTTCAGTAAGGCCACTCGCTCGCCTTCGCCCACCTCCTGGTAGATCCTGTAGATATTAGCCTGACATTTCGCAGTATATAGCAAATAATTCTTACCCCTTGATACCCATTTGAACATCAGAAAGACCATGAAGCAATCCGCTTCAAACTCTCCTGATTTGATAGTCGATGATGTAGGTTGAAATTCACGGTTCCAAGGTTGCCCCACGTCGCTGCGGTTACCAGAAACCACTGTTTTCTTAGCCAGTGAAGGCGGCAGATCGGCGCTAGAAACGCCGACTTCAAATAATACATCAACCAACCAGCGTTAAGTTACATGGTTACGCCCTGACCAGGGCATCTCATCGCCAACATCGAACAAAGGGAAGAAGCAGGAAACACAGAAGAATCCATCTCACTTCGCGATGGCCTCTGGGACTGGATCTACACTTGCTCATCGAAGCGTGGCTAGTATCCGTGGAGGTCCTCCTCAGGGGCCAGGCCCCTCTACTCCACATACCCCGAATCGTTCTTCTGTTATTTCATCCTATGGCTCACCATCGACTATCCGCGCCGATGATGAGTTCATCATTGTTGAGCTGGGCTCACGCCATATCAGAGTTGGATTTGCGGGCGACACATCCCCGAGAGTGATTCTTCAATGCAGCCCTGAAGATCAAAGGCGGGCAGGAGACTTTAGAGGCTGGCAGCAACCGAAACGGTCACCTGGACTGCAATGGTCAAAGGAACATGAATTTTGGCGATATGATCTGAGAGATTTAGAACTTGGACTGTATCAGGACAAGCTGGAGCGTGTGCTGCACGATGCCTTCTCAAAGTTTGTCTTGCTTAAAACTCATAAGGGATAGTTGCTTACATGCATACAGATACTTGCTCATCGACTCCAGACCACGAAGACTTGGGTTAGTCTTGGACTCTGGAGTACCTCTACCACTGTTGACAGCCACTTTGGATACGCTGTTCAGCAGATTTCAGGCACCAACTATCTCTCTCATGTCAACACCATCTATGTCAGCCATCTCAGCAGGTGTCCGATCCGCCTTGGTGATAGATATGGGTTGGGCAGAAACCGTCATCGCCAGTGTCTATGAATACCGGGAAGTCAAGACCACACGCACAGTCCGAGGTGGCAGAGTACTTTTAGACGCACTTTACAAAACCATCGAGCCATTGATACCAGGAGAACATGATGCCACCAAACAAAGAGCCATCAGCTTTGAGGAATGCGAAGACATCATGTGTCGTTTGATGTGGTGCAAGCCGTCAGAATTCCGATCATCTCAACGGCAGTCAACTCAGCTGGAAACAGTTGACGAGCAAGAAGAGATCGAGGCTGAGTCGGCGCAAGCTGGTGTTCCAACAGGGGTCGCCCAAATACCCATCAATACAAGTCGTCGTCCATTGACAGTGGAGCTTCCCTTCGAGAAACTTGCCGAAGTTTGCGACGATACCTTCTTCGACCCTTCAGCAGACCGAGCGACATTTGACGACGATGAATTACCGCTGCACCTGCTATTGTATAGACATCTTTTACAACTACCACTGGATGTCCGAGCAATTTGCATGTCACGCATAATGTTCACGGGAGGATGCTCCAATATCTTGGGCATCAAACAACGAATTATCGACGATCTCACAGCGATCGTCAACAAGAGAGGATGGGAGCCAGTGTTCGGAAAGGTTGTGGACAAACATCGTAATAGTGCTAGGATCCATCAACAGTCCAGCACCACTTCTCCAACAGAAGGCTCCCCATCCTCATCGCCAGGTGAAGATGAGCAACGCAAATCTCCCAAGAAAGCAGCCGATGCCAAGCCAGAGCACGACCCGATAGAAGCCAAGGTTGTGCGACAGCGGGCTGCAATTCCACAATTCAAGGGCCAAATCCGAGCGATTCATACTCTTGGTCCCTGGATTGGAGGTAGCCTACTCTGTCAGTTAAAGATTCCTGCCATGGCGATTATTGATCGCGAGTCGTGGCTACTACAAGGTGCCAATGGAGCTTCTCGACCTAGCGAAGTGGACTTCAAGGCACAGCACAGACAGAGCGTGCAGGCAGGAGGATATGCTCGAGGAGGTGGAGGACATCACGGAAACTGGACTCTGGGCGTATGGGGCTACCTGTAGGAGGTTCAACGCTGAGAGAGGAATATCATGACATGAAATGAGGAATATGTTGGTGGTGCGGACAACTAGATAAGGTAGGCAACCAAATACCCGATTTTACTATGAGATCAACTTAATTGGTCCAATTGCAATGTTCGTCTCTTTGCCAAGAATGAATACCTACTTGAAAGTTGATGTCCTATTCCGCGATGGTCCGTAGTCTATTCGCTCGGGTAATTGCATTAAGCAAGCTCTCCACTGTTAAGCTTCGGCAGCCGACGTCAAGCTCCAAACTCGCTGATCAGGCAGTCTAACTTAGTACCTCAGTCATGCTTCATATGAGCTGCTCACCAATTCAACATCCACCATGAACAGGACATTATCGCGCCTACGGTGTCGCGCTCTACACCCGAGGCTCAATCCCCTATTGGCTCGCAGTTTCGCAGATGTAAAGCGACCTCCTTCAGCGCCCAAACCCATCGTCGATATCAAGCATATCAGACAACACGCAGAACTTTATCAGCAGACTTGCGTGGAGCGCAATTATCGCAATCAGGCGCAAAACCCAGCTAAAATTCTAGAACTTCATGCGAGATGGCAGGATCTTCAGCGACAAGGTCGTGCTTTGCGTGAGAGGTCGAATTTGTTGAGGAGACAACTTGCGAATCCGGCGACGAGCAGCGATGATGAGGATTTGAAGGAAGTGCGCCAATTGACCCGTGAGCAGATCCAAGAGGAGGCGCGGCAACTCAAACAGGATCTTTCGGCGATCGAAAAGGGAGAATCGCAGGCTGTTACGCAAATGGAGGAATTGGCGCTCGAGTTACCTAATCTCACTCATCCTGATACCCCAAAGGGAAGTGATTTTGAGGTTATGAGCTATATCAACGACCCGCCCACTTTTAAGGAATCACCTGAGGATAAAATCTGGCGATCTCATGTTCACATCGGTTCTGAGCTTGGTATCTTTGATTTTGCTGGCGCTGCTACTGCTTCCGGTTGGGGTTGGTATTATCTACTTGGAGAGGCTGCTCAACTGGAGCAAGCTTTGGTTCAATATGCCCTCGCTGTCGCAACTCGTCATGGCTGGACACAAGTCTCACCTCCTAGCATGGTCTACAGTCACATTGGCGCAGCCTGTGGATTTCAGCCTCGCGATCTAAACGGCGAGCAGCAAGTCTACACTATTGCCCAGTCAGCTGAAGACGCGGAGCGCGGTGTCCCTGAGATGTGCCTCACTGGAACCTCTGAAATTGCCCTCGCAGGAATGAAGGCCAATACTACCCTTGATTCCGAAGACCTACCTCTCAAGAGAGTTGCTGTCTCTCGCTGCTATCGCGCCGAAGCTGGAGCCCGTGGTGCCGATACCAAGGGTCTATACCGCGTACATGAGTTCACCAAGGTGGAAATGTTCGCTTGGACAACACCAGATGAGGATGCCGCTCAGGAACTCTTTGACGAGATGCTCGACTTGCAGACCGAGATTCTCTCTTCACTTGGTCTTTACTGCCGTATCCTCTCTATGCCCTCCCACGACCTCGGCGCATCAGCGACCCGCAAGATCGACATGGAAGCTTTCTTCCCCAGCCGTCGCGACAACTGGGGTGAAGTCACATCAGCTAGCATGTGCACTGACTACCAAACCCGCCGCCTCGGCACACGAACACGTATTGATGGAAAGCTCGCATTCCCCTGGACATCCAACGGTACTGCCCTGGCTGTTCCTCGTGTGATAGCAGCTATTCTGGAGAATGGATGGGATGAGGAGGCAAAGACTGTCACAATTCCCGAGTGTCTGCAGCCATGGATGGATGGCAAAGAAAAGATTGGTCTTGGTGGACGTCGTTCGAGCGTGGATCGTGTGTAAGTTTGAAATGATGGATGAAGCATGGCTTTGATTGCGTGCGTGTACGAATGGAGAATATGACGGAGGCATAATTGCTATGAAATCTTGATATCTTATTTAATATGAAACGCAAGGCGTGATCTATCTATTGAATACAAAACCCTGTCTTTTATAGCCTCTTTACAGTCTATCCTGAGAAGTCTTGAGACAAATATCTTATCACCACACCAAGTTCTTCACCGTCTTCTCCCAACCAGGCATCCTGAACTCCATCCCTGGACTTCCTCTCCATCGATACCATCCTGACATCTTCTTCATCGCCCCCACCCAACCCAACTCTCCTCTCCTCCACGCTTTGCCTCTAGTCCCATCTCTTCGGTGCTGCACAACATACACACCTCCGCCTGATGCAGTCGTCAACTTGGCCTCTCCCCGTTCGGGATCACCGCTACTATAATACTCTCGTCTGTGCGGTATTCTATTGGCTTGGAACCGTTTGTTGTGGTCCAAGTCCAGAATCTCACTTGCTGCAACTTCCATCCACACATCCAATGTTCGCAGATGATCTGCGTAGATGATGAGGATGGCGAGGAGGGAAGAAAGTCCTGATGCAAGCCAGAACACCCAAAATGATTTGCCTTCCGGACCATATGAGTTTTCAATCGACAGGATGCCTGATACAACCGTCAGGGGAAGCAAGAGACCTCCCAGATATGCTATTCGATCCAGACTTCTCGAGTTTGAATCTTTGGGGTCGTCCTGGGCTTGTTGGGCTTGAGCTTGGAGCGCAACTGTCACAGAAAGCTGTATACGCCTTTGTAGACGTTCTGCAAGATTTGACCAGTCGGCGGCCGTTATCGTACTGAACTCTCCTCGTCGCTCCATGCTTCTTGTGATATCTGCATTGGTTTCAAGGGCTCGCGCGATGGTCCACTGAACATCCACGGAGTCGGATCCGAGAGGCGGTAATGAGTCGAGTTTCTGTAGCCACATGTCGTAGATGAGCTCTGCCACTAGATCCTCTATTGGGCGGATATCGACCAGGGCTTCCCAGAGGGAGTCTTCTAGACCGGATCGCTTTGGAGGACGCTTCCCTGATGTTTTGCCGTCTGGACGTGTATTACTTGGTACTCTTGAAGGTCGGTAAGGTCTTGAGGATATTCGAAATGGAAGACCATCAAGGAGAAGAATAGGGGGTCGTTCCTTGACCATGAGTGATGCACGACATATTCTGATTCCCTCATCCTCATCAGACTCGTCATCGCCATCTTTCTCTTTCGCATCATTATCCTCCTCTTCAGGTTTCCTTCTTCTTATCTCAGTCTCAGGGAACTCCCAAACCCATCCTCCCTTTCTCTTTTCCAACTCCATCCCTAATAGAACACCCATATCACATTCACCTCTTACAATAGCCAACTTGCGCCAACCGGGCCTTTCCACCGCCACCATCTCATCTTGAAACTCTTCAACATTGAGAATTTCTTTCTGCCGACAATTTTGTGTACTCCATTCGAGAAGATACGGCCTAGAATGTTGTGGCCTTGCGGCGACGGGAATGGCCCGATCCGATGAGCGCCGGGTCCGGTGTCGGGGCTCGGAAGCCGGGCGTAGTCGTGACATCGGGATTTGTATACTCTCTCTGAAGCGACTGAAATCGCTGGATTAAATATCAAATGAGACTCAAGCTAGTCGAAACTACTGCTAATGTGTTTCTGAGACCATGCCAACTCGAATTCGGGGGAGTTTCACTCTTTTGAGTCTTTCAGCACTATCTTCTACCCGACCCCATGAACACAACTACCGTCATGCGAGAAGTTCTCAAGGCATTTTGTCTCCATAATTTTGCAGGCAAAAACTCCTTTTATCTCAGAATTTAGGGGTCCTGAAGGATCTCAGTTAGGCAGATGTTCCCCTGCGCCTCCATCAGCAAGTGTCTAAGTGTGGTCATGTGCCGAGTCCTTAAGCCCAGATGACCCAGACCGTGAAATAACCTCAACACGCGACGTATTCACCTGTGAAAGGAATATTACATAAACACCTGTCAAGTCAGATAGATGAACTCTGCTTAGTTACCGTCGACTTGTGATGTGGCTTGGCTTATGGTTGGTATATTGGTGAATTGCCTCAACTCGTATCACTCAAGACACCGTCAAAAATCATCCCTGTGGTTCTATAAGCTAGCCTTCGTTCGCGCATGGCTCGTCATCTTTGTTGAACGGTAACTTTACATAACATGACTTCTTTCCCGCTCTTCCCGAAACGCCAGACCAGACACCATTTTAACAGCGGCAAATCATAGGATGCTGAGACTTCCTCTCTTTCGTCTCTTTCATTTCTCTACCCTCCGCTTCTGTTTTCTGTCCCCTTTCGTTGTCTGCTTCTCTCATCTCTTCTGCCTTTCGTGGTTTCTTTCTTCCTCTCCCCTCTTACAAGCAATCGCCCAAAGGAGTGTCGAGTGCAAAGTATGTGTCAAATAACGCTGAATAAAAGAATAGACGCCCCAGTGCAAGAATCTCAGATCATAACCCCGTGCGTATACGTGCGGCAACATGTCCAATCCATGATCAGAGGTCAACTATCAATAACAATATTTCGAACTCCGGAACCTCAAATGTCGCATTCGGAGACTCAAACTTAACGGTGATGATCGTCGTCACCATCGTGATGCAGAGTGACACTGTTGAACTCGAGGAACGGGTCGGCAATTTCGCCACCTGGAGTTGCCAGTCCGCTATCCAACGGAACTCCCTTCAAGTTCATCGCTCTTGATCCTGATAAGTCGACACTCTCGCTTTCCTTGACGTTTCGGAAGTTGACTGTATCAACTCCTCGGCCGGCATGAGGAACAATCGGTGGTTTTTGGTGTCGAATGAGTGCCCATTGTGTCGTCCTGAAGAATGGATGCGCCTTGATATCTGATGCGCCAGCTCGGGCGCCCAGTCGTCGGTTCTCATCCTTGATGAGTAGTTTCCTTATCAAAGACTTGCAAAGGCTGTGACTTGGTTAGAAACAGTGGTTTAGTGAGTTTCCATTTAGGACTTACTTGGAGATTTGTGGTGCACCAGCATGGTCGGGGAATGGAATATCCTCTCTAAGGATATTTGCGAAAGTTGCATTTCGGTTCTTGCCCTTGAAGGGCGTTGTTCCGTAAAGCATTTCGTAAATAAGGATACCCAATGTCCACCAATCGACCGCACTTGTGTGACCGCTGCCCTTAATCACTTCTGGCGCAATGTACTCTTCTGTACCAACAAAAGAATTTGTGCGGAAGTTAGCGATACATGAACGAGTGTCGATAGTTGGTAGGGCGTCGGTACGGGCTCCGTTCTTGCCGACGATCATGGTCGGCTTGCCACCAGGGTCTGACTGCTTGGACAAATCGAAGTCTGAAAGCATGATATGGCCCGATTGGTGCAGGAGAATGTCTATCACAAAGGGTCAGCGGCAGATTTGTAAGCACGGCTTCTCAACATACTCTCAGGCTTCAGGTCTCGGTAAATGAAACCCATAAGATGCAAGTATTCCAGTGCTGCTGTCACTTCGGCGGCGTAGAATCGAGCATCCTCTTCAGGAATGCATTTTCCAGGTCGTGTTTGCAGAGCGCGGAAGAACTCGCCGCCACTACAGTACTCCATACACAGGTATAGGTAATCTTCTGACTGGAAAGAGTGATATAATGTGACAATGAACGGATGGTTACTTGTCGCAAGAATTTCCTGCTCTGCCAAAGCTCGCTTAATCTTGTTGCGCTTGATCATTTCCTTCTTGCTTAGTACTGTAGCTAGTTAGCCGTTGTCGCAATGCGAGACGTGAGTGATGGACATACTCTTCATGGCGTAAAGCCTGCTGCTCTTCTTCTCCCTTACGAGGTACACCTTTCCAACATCTCCCTTTCCAATAAGCTTGATCTTGTCGAAGCTGGAAGGGCTAACTTCAACATTTCGAACCTTGATAGAATTGGAACTATAGGTTCGGCGGAAAGCCATGCCCAGATTAGGGGCAGGAAGAGCAGCAAGAACATCGTCAGAACTGGCATGCTTGGCCTTGTCCTCGGCCTCCAGAGCCTTGGCAGTCTCAATGAGACCCAGTGCGCCTGAACTTGTGAGGAGAGGATCCTTGCCAAGCTCGGCAGTCGCGGGGCGCTCATTGTTGGGATCGTTTTTGGAGAACAGGCCCTGGGCATTGGGTGCACTGGCGACTCTTCTAAGTCTCCGGGCAAGTTCTTCCTTGGTTTCACTGGTAGTCTGATCGTTTGCAGGGGCACCATCGGGACCTTGAACCTTGAGACTCGGTGTATCGGGGGGGCTCGGGGGAACAGAGTCGGAATTGTGGTGACGCAATCCTGGTTGGCCTTGATGGGCGAAATAAGGGTTCGCATGTGCCGTAGGACTCATGGCTTCCTCCAGCTGGTTACCCTCGCTAGCGACGGTGTGCGCGCGCAGACGGCCAACGGTATTGCTAAAAAACTTGGTATGACGGGATTTCGAGGGATCGGGAGTGGTGGCAGCCGAACCCTTTTCCTTCTCCTTCTCCTTCTCCTTATCGCTAGAAGCACTGCCGGTGCTACCTCCAGTGTTCATGCGGAAGAAATTGCGCAGGCGATGGCTCACCTGGCCGGGGCCATTGGAGGTCTTTTGAGACGGCATAGCGACGGTAACGTTATCGGAAACGTTTGGATTGGTGGGGACGAAAACAGCTTTGGCGGGTGTTCGACTAGAGATTCGCTTCCATATTCGACGAAATAAATAATTGGGAGGCGAGAGAACGGTTTCGGTTTGATGTTGATCGAGGCGGGTAGAAGATCGACGAAGGGGTTGTTGTTGCGCGTTGTTGAAGTCGCGGCCTTGTAGCGAGATACGTATAAGTGTCGGGACTGATGAGTAGACGAAGCTACCTTGTTGAGAGAAAGAAGTAACAGGGGAGCTTAGAGCAACACTACTGTTGTTGAAGAAGAAAAGGGAGGAAGAAGACACAAGAGCCTCAGAGGAATGACGCTGCTGGCCTTGAGACCGAGACTGAGACTGGGTCGGGCAGGCTATGGGTCTTGCTTAGGATTGGCCTTGATCTGGGAATTGGATTGGAAATGGGCCCTGACAATGGATGGGAATGGATGGATTCGATGGGAATGGGGGCGCCGTCGGAGACTTCTGCCTGAGGCATGATTAATAATTACAATACCATGCAATGCAGGTCGGCATCGGCCCCTCTATCACCATTGCCCGCCCACTAACTCAGCTAAAAGTCTAGCGATCTTAGGCGTAGCTTCACCCATGGCTCAATGGGTTGGATGGATGTTACATTGTGTTCTCTTTTCTGTCAATAGAGTTACATATAAACTTAAACTGAATAGGGAAATACTGTATGCAGGCTGTCACTTTGCATAGGTATTACTACGTTCATTACAATTATAATATGATATAATAGCATCTCACGCAACCTCGAAGTGAATTCCCTTGTCTCCCTTGTAGGCGGGGATCTGGAAAGCCTCGCCTCTTCTAAACTTGCCCGCCTCGCACCTCTCTGTGGCTTGGATAGTCTAGGCTGGGGTTCCCTAGGGTCTAGGTAACGTTAGTTTAAGGTGAGCTTAGGTTGGCTTGGCTTTACTTATCTGACAAAGCCAACTGCGCCTTCGGCAGCTCGGTATCGTTCGACTGCCCGCAAACTCCGGTGAGATAATGCCGTGAGATATAAAGCGTAATTGCGAATTTAGCCAAAGTACTCATCCTCCCGAAGTCCCCGGTAAAGGAGTGCCGTTCTTCAGTGGGTTGTTTGCAGGTCCGTCTTTCGGACATCCTAGGGCGAACGAACCACTAAAACGGTAGGTTTCAAGACTGTCGATGCGCTAGAATCATGAGGCGCCGATAGCGTCTTGCCAGATCGGAAAAGAGACCCTGCGGGTTCTCGATATTGATTCCCGCGGCTGGGGTTGCTTGCTTGGATTCTGCAGATTGTACCTTGCCTTTCTAGAAAATGACTGAGTCGAAAGCTCATGACATGAATGAGGCGATCAACATTGCAGTACTTCCTATCCTGGTAACTCATGATTGTGCAATGACAATGTGGGGAGATATAAGAACTGGGCCATCTTGTTTGTGGAACGACGCGAGACATCATCCGAGTTACGGACTCAAAAAACCCCAGCTTTGCTCTGGAAGTGGCTTCGGGATCTAATACTGAACCCGGTCCTCTCGAAGACCTAACTCTAAAGCTCAACAATTTATTAGAATATTTATTGCCGCAAAGCTATTCGATGTCATTGTAACTTCTATAATAAGAAATATTCGAGAGTGAGCCGACTACCTTGGAAGTAGTGGCATGATGAAGCTTGAACCACCTTCAAGGCTTATCAACGCTAGTCAGCAGTGCTTTACCAGAGATATGAAGAAGACGGGACTATCTAGGGGGTTCATGCAGGATTATGCAGCATGCCACTTTATCATGAGATCCAATACTTCGTACTGTTTAAAAAGCTTATTAGTTTCAACTCAATTGATTTGCTCATTGTAAAAACCCCTCCCAAAACCATAACGTCATTTCCTATGAGATTTGCAACATTCAGAACAGATATTGACGAGAGAGGCTGTGTTACTGTCGCATTCGAGAAACTATCTCAACTGAGATTAGGTAAAACTTACTATGCTGATTCACGAGATCTAACAGCATTTACACGTAGGTTCGTTAGTCGTAATTGATCTTCAAAAAAGATAAGTGGAAGTATCGAAATACGCGTATACAACAGCCTTGAGCCGTCGCCCTATGGGTATAGAAGGACGATACCGGTGATGTTTCCCTGTGACGTTTCGCAAGCCCAACATGCCAAACATTATGAAGAGCTCAAATGCACCACAACATGCATCATATTGTGAGCGACGAGTAGCGTTCCGGGTATTGACTGAGTGTAGCCATACTAAATAAACATAGCGAGCTTAGCCCTTCTGTTAATGCTGTACTTAGAGAGACAATTCGTGTAAGTGAACAACGACGGCTGGCCTTTTGCTCTGGTGGCTTGCCCACACCAGCCATTTTGTACCTTTATTCCCAAATTGCTATTTGAAAGACTTTCGGATACTAGCTTCGAAGTGTCGACCAAAAGATCTTCATCCCATCACCAGAGAAACCTGCCATCGAGTGACCGAAGTGTCTCCGCTGGTATAGACTTATGATGACTCCTCACACAATTGACCAGGGACAGTAAGTATCCCTATTCTTTACGACAGCCATATAAGTAATAAGAAGTGAAAACCACGGTCCAATTGTGCAAGACCAGCTCAAGAGGCGTAATGAGGGTGTTTATATACTCTGAACGTCAGGACAAGACGACCATGTGCTGAGCTTGATGAGGCTGAAACTTGGAAAGCCCCTGAACGAATGAGGTACGATAACTTCGGTCTATCTGTTTCCCGGTGATACACTTGATGAGTACCGATGTCTGTCTGCCTGTTGTGTCTTGTTCGGAGCATCAACATGAGCTGGAGTATGGCAACAGACTATCACATACGACCATACCTATCAGAGAACTCGGGATCCCGTCCGCTCTCCCATAGATAAGCTGATAAGGGGCGGATTAGTAGTTGGGTCGGTGACGACCAGCGAATCCCCGCTGTTGTATGTTTTTTGGTGATAGTCTTTTTGGTGTTTTGGTCAAGCGAGGCTCCAAGTGGGCCGGACCCGTTGTGCTGGGTCACTTACCGGTCAGGGAAGGTCGATGAACTTGTCAGTTTCATTAGCAATTTATTAAAGATGCTACTTTCAATTTGTCAAGTTCAAATAGATAGATAACCATGGTATGTGTTATTACTGCCTCTCTTGATCTCAGCTGAGCGCATGTGAGTGGTATGTCAAGCTGAAAGTTTGTATCCACCTGACATCCAATAGCCAAAGCGCAACAGCGCCGTAAGCAATACAATAAACTATTGAACTCAGTATTGCATCTATTTGCTGGCACATGAGCTTCAGAAAGCCAATTAGAATGCTGTTGTAGCTCACTGAAGTACAAGTTCTTGTATTCGGGCTTGCCTCACTTCCCCAGCATATCATAAGTCTTTTGGAGTGTTACATGCCATCATTAGGAACGCATCGAGTTCGCTGAGTCTATCTCTTACGTGGCTTTTCTATTTTTAAGAAGCTCAGCTCGGATAAACTTTTTCATATGTGCTGTGATGTAAGTATTGAATGCTCGCGTTAGAGTTTGGACCTCTTCTCGTGCTGTAAAGACTCCTTTATGAGGAGTCAGTCGAGCAATGAGAAATGGTACTTTTCCTCAAAACTCAACTGAAACTAAAAGTCATTTATATCAATTGTTTGTCTCCTCATTGTTTTGCCATTTGACAATTATTGATGAGGTCGTGTAAGCAAAAAAACAGGGTTGGACGACAAGCTGACGCGAGGTACATAAGATTGTATGAGATTAGTATACTAAAACAAAGTACCTCGATCGGTCAATGCAGCCCAGATCGAGGCCATACGGGCCTCCAAAACCCTGTTCTCCGATTGGCTCTTTGTTAAGGACTGTCACTAAAGCGGAAAAGGGCACAACCTTCAGTCCCGTCTGCTTAGGTTTATATGACGGTCTGGCCGCTTGTGTCGCGACCGACTCTTTCCCTCTTCTATATCTCGCTCGAATAGAAACGCCCCACGGTCCAAACATCCAAGTTCAAATCTCCCTAAACGAATCTTATAGGATCTTTCCATTATTGGATTACCTGACGCTATGTCTCGTGGCAACCAGCGCGAAAAGGATCGCCAAGCCAACCTCGATAAACAGAGAAAACTTGTTGGTCTTACCCCTGGTTTTCCTCCAGATGTCAATAACATCAGATACACTAACATGGCATCTCCTCTATTCAGAAAGGAGGAAACAACAAGAGCGGTACCAAAATGCAGCAGGAGAAGGAGACTGCTGCTGAAATTATGCGACGAAAGCAGGCAGCTTGTATGTCCACCCCTTACACCCCTACGATCCGATTTCCGAATACAACCACGAACCAACACAACGTCGCTTTTGGGACAGGAAATGCTGACAAACCCCATAGCTGATGCCCGCAAGGCTGGCACCGCAGGCAAGAAATAAACGCTGGTGTACGAATATCAACAAGTTCGACTCGAAATCATCGCTCAATTTACCGAAAACCGCAACAGTAGATGAAATCGAGGGCCAGACGAAATGTGGAATGTTCGAAACCAGATAGCTTTTTTCAGCAGCGACGAAACGAAACGAATTTTGGGTAGCACAGGCGAAGTGGTGCAATAATATGGGTTGTCTTTTAAAAGGTTGTTAGCCTTCCACTCTTTCAATAAAATTTTGCGATCATGTTTCTCGTGACGGTTAAACAAGCAGCACTGATCTCTCGTGTTTTTTTTTTTCTGCTTCTCCACTCTGGGACCATGATCTAAACATGCTCTCGAGAATGATATACTCCAAGCACTATCAACAAATGTTTCTCAGCCATCAAAGTCATAATGCTTGTTAGCAATAGTATGATTTGCTTACAGCAAGAAAGCTCATCTTACAAGTATGCGTCGTATCTTTAATGTACGCCTGGGCGAGAGCACCCGGATCGCCTTATCCCAAACCAAATCTGACAAGTCAAGTCAAAGTTCGTGTTGGTTCGACTTTTACTATCCTGACCCCGTGTACACCCTGCCAAAACTGCAATTCTCATTTGATACCGCCGACCACCATTGAGTTTAATGGACCATGCCAGGCTACAGTCCCTCGGAGCCCGGCGCTTATGAGCGTCTCCTGATGCGCTGGGCGCTTAGAGATGATACCCAAATCTTTATGAAACAGGATCAACCCCATGATTGTGTAGATTGTTGTTCTTCTACCTCATTTCTAATACATAGTTGCCTGTCTCCTCGAAAATGCTTTTTTCTGTGCGGCGCATCTTTCGTTCTAAATCCAAATCGGATATAACTCCTAGTGATGTTAAGGAGAACCCAACTCCAGAGCCGTCACCAGAGCCAGTAGCTCAAACCCGTACAACATTCTATTACTCTGGTATACAGACCTTTCATAGCACAGAAAGTGACAATGTCGAGTGAGTTTGCCATGCCACTTCGTCAGGTTATTGTTTAATTGTGTGGCTAGTATCGTCTTCGTCCATGGATTGAAAGGAGACTGTCAAAAGACATGGACGGATAAAATTTCAGGAAATCCGTGGCCGAAAACACTCCTTCCCTTGGAGATTGAGACTGCACGTGTTCTTACTTACTCTTATGATTCAACTGTCACCGGTAAGGAAGATGGTCCTTCCCAGAATCGAATCTCCAATCATGCATATAATCTCGTGACTGCTCTTGCATCGCTTCGACAGAGCGATAACACAGTAAATATCCCCATTCCTAATTTCATTCTTGACTAACGTTCCTAGAATGAGCGACCTATTATATTTGTCTGTCACAGTCTAGGTGGACTTGTTTGTCAGGATGTAGGTCATTCGAGACAATGATCCTGACTGGAGGGCTCATTAAGAAAACAGGCTCTTGTCACAGCAAAACAACGCTCTGAACAGCACCTTCAAGATATAGTCAACTTCACTCGTGGTGTTGTATTTCTCGGCACACCACATCATGGATCAAGCCTTGCTAAGATAGGGGAACTGGTCTCGCGCTCCGTTGGATTCATCAAGGAGACCAACAGCGACATTGTTCAAGTTCTTACAAGAGACTCGGAAGTTTTAGCCCGAATCCAAGATAGCTTTCAGGCTCTTCTCATGACGCGCAGCAAAGATGAGACCAGCATGATAGACATCACATGTTTCTATGAAGAGCTTCCAACAAAAAGATTCGGGGTGATCGTCCCAAGCATTCGGCTATCTTGCCTGGCTACATTTCGATCGGCATACATAAGAACCATGCCGATATGACAAAGTTTTCCAACTCTGATGAACCTGGATTTTTGGCCATTTGCGGAGAGCTTAAGCGTTGGATGAAAAGGATTCAGCAAGCACAGTTCAAGCCAAAGAAGCACTCTCATGTTGCACATTGTGAGTACTTAGCCAACACGGACTCCAGGAGTCCCTAGTCATTTATACGAGGACTGGAGTACCGGACTCAATACTGACTTATCAGGCCTTATTCCATACACTTTTAACCCAGATTTCGTCGGAAGATCCGAGATACTTTACCTACTGAAAAGTCAACTTGGAGATCTAGAACCTCAACCTCATGGCAGGGGCCATCAAAGAGCTGCACTTTGTGGTCTCGGTGGAGTTGGGTATGTTTACAATTCTCGATTGAAAGCTTACTCGCTGACTTAATTCAGGAAGACCCAAATCGCATTGTCGTATGCATATTGGGTTCATGAGATTTCTCAAGATACATCAGTCTTTTGGGTTCATGCCAGCAGCGTCGAAAAGTTCTCCGAAGGTTACACCAACATTGCCAACGAGTGCAAAATACCTGGGCACGAGGACCCAACTTTCGATGTTTTGCCAGCCGTCCAAGACTGGCTGGAGAGCAAGGAGAGTGGAGAGTGGTTGATGGTTATTGACAACGCTGATGACATGCAACTTTTCTTTCCTCAAAATGAATGTTCTGAGATGAAGCCAAACACTGAGAAGAGCTTAAGCCAGTTCATACCGCAATGTGCTCACGGCAGAGCCCTCATCACGACGAGGAATATGCAAGTAGGCTCAAGACTCACAAAGGGCAAATACCCTATCGAAGTAGGCCAAATGGACGATCAAGAGGCGACTCAGCTTCTCCGTCAAGGCTTACAGCAAGAGGATGAGTCGGAAAAGGACCTGATTCAGCTCTCAACCCGTCTAGAGTTTCTTCCTCTAGCATTGGTGCAAGCAGCTGCCTTCATTCAAGAGAACTCCATCACGGTCAACGAATACCTCGAGCTCTTAGACGGAAGCGAAGACGATCTTATTGACCTTTTGAATGAAGAGTTCGAGACTGTCGGGAGAGACTCCGATACTCCTCGCGCGGTTGCCCAGACTTGGATGCTGTCTTTCCAACAGATAGAAAGACAGTACCCCTTCGCCAGTGAGCTCCTGTCACTGATGTGTTTGTTCGATCGTCAAAAAATACCTCTTGATTTCGTTGACTTTCACGCCAAAGAGAATCTACCTCCAGGGTCAAACGTTAAAATGCAACTTGTCAAGGCCCTTGGGATTCTGAAGGCATTCTGCTTCATCCGGGCAGAGAAGGGTGGCGATCATACTATGCATCGTCTGATCCAGTTAGTCACACGAACTTGGTTGGTGCGAAAAGGAAGCATAGCCGAGTTCACGAGACACGCTTTTCTCGCTGTGTCGGACTTTTACCCCTTTGCAGACTTTGAAGATGTTGAATGGTGGTTCGAAAAGTTGACGACATGCACTAATTATCTTTCCCATGCAAACTCTGTCCTTGAAACTCAGATAATTGAAACGGAAGAAGACAGACTTATCAGGGCTTCTTTGCTTCACAGAGTTGGATCATTCTTCTGTCACCAGGGTCGCCACAGGGAAGCAGAAAGATTGCGGCGCGAGGGACTGGACATCCGAAGAGAGTTACTCGGTGAAGATCATCTAGAGACTCACGTCCTCATCTCCGACCTCGCAAGCTCGCTCGCAGATTTAGGTCGTTACGAGGAATCCGACAGGTTACTCACGGGCCTTATTGAGACCTTGAAACGTCTCCATGGTGACGAAAACGAGCAAACACTCGATGCCATGGCTAACTTGGCAGTCCACTTATCAGATCAAGAAAGAATCGATGAGGCAATATCGCTAGATCGCCACGTCTTGGAGGCCAGGAAACGGATACTTGGAGAAGAACACATCAATACAATCCGAGTGATGGACAACCTGGCAGTCCATCTTGAAGGTGAAGAGGCGGAAGAACTACAAAGACGGGTTATAGAAGTAAAGGTTAAGATCTTGGGTGAAGAGCACCCCTCGACCGCTCACAGCAAGGCAAACCTAGCTATGACACTCTTTAACGGGGATGGACTCGGGGAGGCAGAAGACCTGTTCCTCGAAGCATTCGAGGTCAATAAAAAGATCCTTGGCGAAGAGCACCCCACCACCCTTCGGGTTATGGCCAACCTTGGACATGTGTGGTTACTGTTTGGCCAGTTGTTCATTGACGATAGGCACTTATACCCTGATGTAGACATGCTTGGGGATGCAAAACGGTTGTTTGAAGAATGCCTTAGGCTCCAGATGAAGCGACTTGGGCCAGATGATAGCGAAACAATTGCGACACGCGAGTTACTAGACGAATGTCTAGAGGCGTTGGAGGTTGCGGATCTTATTGATGCAGAAGCAGAGGCAGAGGCAGAGGCAGAGGCAGAGGAGGGCAATGATCAGACATAGCGATGCTTCATATTAATGTGTTCGAATTGAGAGTCACGACAATTCTGTTTCGAGTCGCGGCGTAACAAATCCAATGCATATTGGCAGATGCGTCATGATATGGATGTGATGAAACCTCTTTCCACATGCCGTGGTCTATGATAAAAACGCAGGTATTCCCCTCATCTTTCATTATAACTGGATTTCTATCCCAACCCGTTCGAGAGTTCATTAAGCTGGAACAACATAAAAAGAGCCTCTAACTACTATTTTTATTGATACTTATTCTTCAATAGTCGATGAGAACGCATGTACTTATGTGCTTATAGAGTAGTCAACACCTAGAGACCAACAGATTTTCTTGTCTTGTATTGGGGGCGGAACTGAGGAACAATGTAAGATAGGATCCTCAGGGCAGCCGCCTTTTTTGGGCACACAAGGACAGATTCAACTCAAAGGATCGTCAAGCTTATTGAGTTAAGTGTTTGATCTGCCTGTCATAATCATCAGACCCCATCACCCACTGATCCATAATTGCTGTCATCTAACTGTTTAGAACCCAAAACTTCAACATTCAGAGACCACTTACTTGATGAAATGTCTCTGATACAACATCATATCACGGTAATGTCATAAATAACCAATCACAAACAAAACCATCATTCCAATCCCATCTTACACGAGCAACGCCCGCTTAGCTCACCAAAGTCCCCAATTAGCAACGGAACTTCACAATCCCGTCCTAACGAAATAGCTTACCACCGGGATCATGCTGCCGAGTAGAATCAAGTCTAAGCCCTATCTACTATAGCCCGATGACAATTCAGTTCCTGGCACTAAAGCTGGGGATTCATGTAGCCGTGGGGCGGAGTACATTTTTGTGAGCACGGTGGTATTTGGCGTTCAAGCCACACGGCAGATGAGCCGGTCCAAAGTTTATGAAACAGTTTCGTTAATGTAACATTCTGCATTTTGTTTCTTTGTTTTTCCTTGGCGGGTTATGTTTGTTAGGTCTTCGACTGTTGAGAAATCACCTTTCTTAGGAATTGCTCTTTCATCACCATATTAAATGCTATCTGTTTAACCATAACATCAATTAATTGATTCAATATATCAATGATGCAATAAGCTCAAGGTAACATCGTCTCCGCGCTACCGCAATTCTCCGACCCTACTCCAAAGATAGCTCTGGCCGTGTTAGCCGTTCCACTGCCACATATCGGCAAGGCCTAGATCCAGAACTGAAAGAGTAAGACCTAGCATAGCATCAAATACACAGCGGGATTCAGCACACAAGCGCAATCTCATCACATTCGTCCTGTGAGATTCATGTCGTCATGATAGCTTCAAAACCCCTCCTCAGAGGTAACCTTGCCGTGAACTCAATTCTCGCCGCTGAGCCATCCTCCAGCCTCCTCGAAGTGCCGTCTCTCTTCTATTACAGCTATATATCCCCCAAGCAACTCTCCTCAATAGATTTCTTTTCTCCAGTCCATACCACATTCGCTGTCTTGTCCCATCTTGCAGTATAAAACATCACATTCTCTGTCTGTCTATCTATCATAGCCAACACTCCCTTTCGTTCATACCATAACAACTGAAACTATGCGTTTCTCAACAATCTTTGCATCTGCAGGCCTTCTCGGCTCTGCCCTTGCTGGCATCGTTCCCCGATCTTACAGGGTTCCCGCTGCGAATGGTTTCCCCAACCCCGATGCTTCACAGGAGAAGCAGATCGCTATCCAGGCTGGTGGAAAGCTCCCTGGTGCTCCTCTTCCTACTTATCTTGGTGATGGTTCTGCCACAGCCTTCCAGCTCATCGCCTTCAACGAGCTCTTTGAGACTTCTTACTTTTCCTCCCTTCTCTACAATGTTACCAACAAGATAGAGGGATACAAGGTTGAGGGTGACAAGTATAATGAGGCTGTCCATGTTCTCAAGACTGTCCTTGCTGTAAGTACTTACCCATGACCATAAAGGTAACAGTCAACTGACACTCTCCGACAGCAAGAGGAGCAGCACGCCATCGGTGCCCTGGCCACTCTCAAGTCAGCCGGCAGATTTGCCCCCTCACCTTGCAAATACCGATTCCCCGTCGACAATCTCAAGGACGCCATTCTTCTCGCCGAGACCTTCACTGCTGTTGTTCTCGGTGCTCTCCAAGACGCCAACGTTGTCTTCGCAAGCGAGGGTCTTCCCGAGGTTGTCCGCCTGATCTCATCCGTCATCGGCCAGGAGGGTGAGCAGAACGGTTTCTACCGCATCTACCTCGGCCAAGTCCCCTCTGAGTCACCTTTCCTGACCACTGTCCCTGCTGCTTTTGCCTGGTCTGCTCTCCAGGGCTTCGTTGTTCCTGGCTCTTGTACTGAGGACATCAAGAAGATCAACCTTCCCATCTTCCCTCCTCTGCTGGTCAACGGTGGTGCCATTGCTGTTCTTGATGCTGAGGACCAGAGCCTCTCTTTCAAAGCTACTCTTGAGGAGTCTCACAAGCACGAGGATCTCTACATCACCTACACAACTGGCCAGCAGCTTCCCTACAGTGTCAAGGCTGAGAATGTTAAGTGGGATGGCAAGACTGTCACTCTTGAGGCTGAGTTCCCCTACCACAAGCTGGTCGCTCAGGGCTTCACCCACGCTGCTCTGACTACTTCCAACAACATCGCCACTCCTGACGCCGTTCCCAACTTTACTCTCGCTGCTCCTGGTCTCATCCAGGTCAAGAACCCTCTCGATGGCGGCAAGGGAAGCCACTCTGACTAAAAAGGGCGGGATGTTTGCAATGCCAATTGGCAGTTCTGGTACCTAATAGATCGATGGAATTGGTGCTTCGGTGTTTACAATATTCAAAGTTTTTGCATTGTTTCTCAGGGCTAATGATAATTCAAAATTAAATAAATGGTTGGTTATGTTCAACTGCAAAAGTTCCATGTTGATGTGCTGTGAGATATCCCGTCCCTCCATCTCGGATAATCGGGATGTGTGGATGACGCTTCTAATTTCCATGTATGCCAATGATATCGAGCTGAGACAACTGAGCTGAACGCCATTTTCAGCCCTAGAGATTCGTAATCTTGTAGGTTCAGCCTCATTTGAGTGATTTTATATACGGGGAAATCGACCTTGAGAAGCTCTCAGCTGCGGCTGATACCTTCGGCTCTAGCACTCAACTGTCTAGGAGCTCCAATCGAATGTCAAGTTCTTGTCACGTGTAATCGTATAAGCATCATAACGGTCACCATCATCACCTCATCAAACGCGGGGGATGAGACGTCTCTCCACATGTTTCACCGAGCAAAAGCTCCTCTCACAAGCCACTGATAGCAAGACACCAATACCACCCTCACTTAACGAAACTTCGAGACCATCAATACTTAAAAGGTAACCTTAAATCATAAACTCGCTTTGCATTGGACCGAGCCGGACTTGTGCTCAATTCTATTGACCAATCTCTCTGAACCCCTCAGACTGCTTGTTTTTCGTCTCCCATTTCCTCATCTGACTCATCGGGGAGGTTATCGTTCATACGGATGAGCAGCTCCTTCAGTTTTCGCCGGTTCTTTCTCCATGTAAATAAATCTTCTTCCTGCTGATCTCGTATCGAGGGCGTGACTTGGTTCCCGTGTTCATCTTTGAGATAATCTGGTACATCCTCTGCCGTGTTCGGTAAACCCCGCTCACCAAGATTGTTATTAAAACCATCACCGCAGTGCCACGATAGGGGCACTAGATGCGCCTCTTCGATGTGTTCTTTAAACCCCTCATCAGTCTGAAACTCGGACGGGTTCTCCAGCCTCCCACACTCTCCCCATAAGCAGTTGATATCATCACCGTGGACGATGTAAACGTGCCGTCGGAGAGTTTCGAGGTTATGTAGTTCAGCCTTGCAGTCTCTCCACTCACACAGAAACGGGAAGATCGGTGCATCCACTTGATAGTAGATAGTCTCTGGAGGAGGGGACGGTTGCTTTGGTGGCCGGCCTCTTCGTTTTGGAAAGCCGCTGGGATGAGGCCGCGGCTTAGTGGCAGCTTGTCGGGCCTGCCGAGCTCCAGCTGCTGTTTGTAGACCCTTTGATTTATTTGTTGATCCTTTAGGTCTTCCTCTTCCTCGCGCTGGTGTTGTGGACGTTGCATCGCTGGAAACTCCCGTCTGTGTACCACCTGGAATCGACGTTTTGAGAGCGTTGACTGCTTTAAATAACGACTTTGGTCTTCCCCGTGGGGTAAGATCTGACGTGACCGGCGCATCAAAGCCATCTTCATCCTCGATGCTGACTTCTCTGTAGGCTTCAGGATGTGCTGGTGACCTTTTGAGAACAACAGCGAGACTTGACCGACCACTTGGAGTCAAGGAACCTGGATGTTGCTTAACCGGACTCTGGCTGTGACTTCTTGTTGGTGCACCTCTGGCTAGAGGATCCTCTGACTCTAGACTATCTGAGACGGAATCATAGCGGGTGATATGTGGTGGTAAGTGGGTATGCTTTGCCTTTTGGCTTTGGTTTCCAGGGTTTATGCTGTTGAAGCTCATACTGTACAGCTTAACACGCTTTCACGCGGCGTGGCGCGATGAGTTAAGCGTGTATAATGCGGGTTGTGTAGGTTATTCGAGAAGGAAAGGAGCTTCATAAGACAGAGTGATAAATGAAAGCTCTTGATGTGTAAAACATGTCACTCTTGATGTTAGATGAAAGTGCTATTGCTGTCGAGACGGTGCTGAAGGCATCTAGTTAAGATTGCCAAGAGATCCCTGGCGCGAAGCCGATTTCAATTACTCACGTGCTAGCACTATTAAGACGATATGCCAGTTATTAACATCAAGAAATTTAATAATAAAGAGCGAACATTTTTTTTTAAATTATTGCCATACGATTTAGAAACACTGCTGCTCATTTCAAAATAGTAATTTTCCATATTGGCAGCTGGTGGCGCATCATTATTTGTTCAGGAATTTGATGTACAAATTAGTTGGTTATTATCAGGGGTTCAATTCATTTCAATAACTGCTATTCGTGTTTATACAAGGCAATCATAATCAGCAAAACTCCAATCGTGCCATCATCAATCTCATCCGTTTACCAATCGCCTTTCCAACCATTGCCTCTTCAAAACAAAGGGAATTCTTATGCATTAAACCTCAGTCTCAACATCAGGCTTTCGGCCATCTAGGGCTCCAAGCTTAGCCACCTTTCGGACTGCGAACTTGGCTTCATCCTTGACAAACTGCACGTTGCGCATGGGTCGCCATTGCATAAGACCACGGTGCTTGCGATGCATATCGCGACTGTCAGATCTGTATGACTTGATCTTCTTGATGGGATTCTTGCTGTTGGAGTCAGCCTGGGAACTGTTGGTAGCGCTCGTCGCGTTGGTGCCTGCTGTATCGACGGAAGGGCGTCCGTCCTCAGAGGGGTCTGTAGGCTCAGTGTCGCCATCTTGAATACCAAGATCAGGATCAGAGTCATCCTCATCAGAGTCGTCGTATTCCTCGCTGGACTCGCTATTGCTCTTTTTACTCATCAACGCAGACGGATCTTCACCAAAGGCACCGCTCCAATCGGTGCCGTCCTTGGCAAGCCACTTCTGCTTCTGCTTGTCGTCGGCTTGGGCAAGAACATCACGGCCGTGAGTCAGAGACTCTTCGTGAAGTTTCTGGATCACATGAGGAACCTCGGTCTCAACATCCTGCTTACGCACACCCTCTGCGTAGCAAGCTTCCCAAGCCTCGATTGTCTCACGGTCGTCGTTGGTACTGGCGAACTTGATGTGATCGGAATCTGTTCCAGCAGAAAATCGAGCTCGGAACCGGACTCTTCCAACCTGCTCCATATCAATATCGGGAACAGACTTGTAATTTTCTTCTGTAATGTAGTTCTGAGAGAGTCGCACGCTGTGGTTGCACTTCCAAACAGGGATATCAAAGTCAGTCTCTTCACCATCAACAAGCTCCAGGAGCCAGAGAACGGCGTAAGCATCGGGGTTTCGTTTTCCACTTGGGTAAAATTCCATAAAGATGGGCGACCTATAGCGATGTCGAACTGGTAGGCGAACACGTTGGTTACCGTCGGCACCGCTGATGTTGAATGACATGCCATCCGCCTCACGAGAGGATGAGCTCTTACCAACGCTGGCAGATGAGCCTCCAGTACGGAAGCGAATCTTGGCGTGGTTCGAAGGAGCATAACTAGTGGTAGTGATGGTGTCAGACAAGAACTCGAAAGTACCAATATCCCAACCCAACTGAGGAGGAGGAAGTCGGAGCTCAACAGAACGGAACAACAGGGAGATACGGATGCGGCCAAAACCGATGCCTCCGTCGAGAGGGTACCACCTGGTAGATTCGCTGCTGGTTTGAAGAATGTCGGTGATCTTGAGAGGGACAACACCAATAAGAGGGTCATGCTGGCGGTTGCGTGAGTCACGGACTGCAACGGTAACGATAGCAGAACGCCAATCTCGAATGAACTTTTCGGTTCCAGCGTTGAAGATGGGTTGAGAAGAAACAACCTTTGTTCGGGTCTTGTAAACAAGATCGTCGTTGAGAAGGATGGTGCAGTAAGAGCTAGGGAGAGACTTGGCCTGCTCTTCCTTGACTTCACCGGCTTCAGGACGAGCTGGCTCATATTCTCTACCCTTTCTCTTTCCATTGGAACCCTTGATGTTTTCCAATTCCAGGCCAACAATCTGGTGGACGACGATGCTGAGAATACCAGAAGGCCACAATGGGTCGGGAGGAGTGTGAATGACGGCGTCTTCTTCCTTGGTGTCGATCGCGCCCTTGTTCTCTTGAAGCTCAGGCTTGTCTGCGAGCGCCTTGGGGAGATTGAGATCCCGACCATCAGTTCGAAGGGCCTTTCGGAATTGCGTCTTGCCAAAGAAACCGACTTCCCAGTGAAGCTCTCCGGGCATCTCGCTATCTGCCTTGACTCCTCGAAGCTTGGAAACCTGGGGGAACATTTTGCCGGGGTGCTGAATAAGCTTCTGAATACTGAGTTCGACCTTGCCAACGACATCATCAGCAGAAGATCGATCACTGTCCCAGAGCTCAACCGAAAGCTGCTCGTCAGCCTTGAGGAGATCAGCAGTAACCAGAAGGCCAGCGCTCTCTTCAAAAACGGGATTAAGATCGTCCTGGATAACACGAGTACAGAATTGGGGCTTGGAGAACTTGCTCCAGCTGATGGTGATGTAGGGATCGGAACCACCACCCTTGCTTCCTCGCTGATCTTGCTTGCTGAGACCGGTAGCCTTGTGGATGCGAACAAACATGACACCAAGAGCCAATGTCTCCTTCTTGATGTCGTCACCCTGGAGCATCTTGCTAAGATCAAGAGACAGACTCTTGGGGGCCACGTACATCGAAGCGGCAGCACCAATGGCCCAGTTGACAAAGTTGGAGATGAGAGGAAGATTGAGAATATTTACACCTTTCTCAATCATGGGTGTACATCCAGCCTGGACCTTAGGAATGCCCATAAGCGTGAAAGTGAGGGTCTTGAGGAAAGGAGGATCTGGAGTCAATTGAAGTCGGATTCGAGCGGTCGCAACAAGGCCTTGGAGTTCGACCCAGATGGGCAAAGGAACACCGAAAAAACCCTTGATACCCAGATAGAAAACAAGCTGCATACCCATGTTGCGCGCTTTGGATGCGATATCCGCACCAGAGGGCTTCGCATGATAGGCGATAGCAACCTCGAGGTTGTAGAATGAGCCAGCTTGCTCGTTCGCCGCGAGTTCTTCGGGGTCGGTGGTCTTCTCGTTCTGTCGGTGCTGCTCGTCCTTGATGTCCTGGACATGAGAGTCGGGAAGAGCACGCATGTTGAGGATACGAATGGGGTTGTTGCCCTGAGAGATATCTGCAACGCGAACGTTCTCAATAACGCCAGGAACTGAGGCCGCCATAACATCTTCGAGACTGCTACAGTTAGTACCAAGTCATGCCACTGGAAATATTCACTTACGTATCGGCAATGCCAGCGAACATCTCGGGGTTGATCAATCCCCACATGATTCCCAGCATGGTGTTCATCCATTCAACTGACTCAGGAATCAAGTTTGCGGTGGCAGTCTCACCACGTTCCTGCTCGCTCGACCATTCGAGATCTCGACCTTGACGGATCAAATCCTTTGTCCAGAGGAAAACGCCAGCAGCAACGCAGAAACCCAATGGAATAAGACCAAGAAGGCGACCGCCAAACATCTTTCCAATAAAGACAATGGCGGCGAAAATACCGATACACAAAACGTTACTGCGCTGCTCGAGAATCTCGAACATTGGTTCGTAGCTGACTGACGGAGTCTTGTAGAACACCACTGAGGTCTTCTCACTTCGGATGGGGACATCTGAGGTCGCACCCTCTTGGACTGGGTCAGGAGGCGCTGTGACATCTTGGGCGTAACGGTACTCTTCGCCAGACTGCTTCGAAGAGGTTGCGAGGGTAGCAGGCTTCCCTAGGTTCTCGTTGGGAATTGATAGCTGAAACTGTTAGTCCCTGTTTCTTCTTTAATAACATATTGGTACCTACCTGAGGGTTTTCAACAGCCTCCTTGTAATCAATGTCGGCATCTCGAATACCCACATCCTTGCCTGTTACGGGATCACGCACGGTGCGGATATCCTTCTGCTTTCGAAGAGCTTCAGCTCTATCATTTTTATGATCCTTTGTCTCTCCATGGATCTTGTTCTGCTTCAGTTGCTCGTCAATCTCAGCGTCGCGGGCCTTTTTGTTCTGATCCAACTGGTCCATGAACTGGCGAACATTAGGCACACGGTTCTGAGCGCTGTAATGCTGCCCAGCCGAAGGGATCTGCTGCTGCTCAAACTGCGACATGATGGCGGACCTCAAGGCAGACAGAGAATTAAGCTGGTGATTGAGCTCCCCAACTCGGGTATAATGATGAAGAGAGAAAGAGGAGAGGAAGAAGAGGAGAACAGGGAGAGAAATGAAATATTGATATGACACCAGAATTGATTAGCGTCACACAAATAACACTACTTGGCCCATTGCGATTGATTCATCACTTTGGGATGGTTGCTTGAAACGCAATCAACCAAGGAAAGCAATCGGGTGCAGAGCATGATTGAGGTCGATGACGTCGATTATCCGTAAGTACGTAGTTTTGATACAGGGAGCTTTGGCCCCGGGACGATCAGTTTTAGCGGGCAAAAGAGCCGCGTTAAGGCAAGTTACAGGGGAGCACCCCGGACTCGTGGCTAGGGGTTTAATTCCAGAGCGCCACTAACCGTGAATGACGTTGACGGTCTTATTAGTAGCACTTTAGAAAAGATGATGTCTTTCTATTCAGTGACAAATTCAGAGATAGTTATAGGCACAATATCGTGATAACTCATCAGATCACCTTGATTCATGCATGCCAAGACTGCTAATCGCTGATCAAGATGTGCAAGAGTTCAGCCAGACAGGGAATTCCCAAGCATCAACATCCATGGCATGATCATCCCAACCCCACCCCCAAAAGCTTGCGTAAATGGCTTGGCCAAGCTTGGATACCAAACAAGACTTCAGCTGATCTCGATCTTTCAATTGGTGCAAGCTCTCTTTCTGCCTCTGAAATCGCTTCGCACCACCAACGCCAACTCCAACTGACAGCTTCTCTAATTAAGAACTAGAAGCAGGGGCTTCGCCTACCTTTGGATCAATCTCTTTACCCGATAAGTCAACTGCTGGTTCAACGGTATGTAAGCCATCGAGCTTCTTGTATTGAAGTGAGTCGAGATCGATGTTGTTGAACTGTCGCACCTGCAAATGTTCAGTAAGACGCTTCAAAGTAGCGGTTCATGTCACCCACACTGATGCCATAGCGAGGATCCTCGGGCCATACCCTCGCAAAGTCGATACCAATGCTGGCACCGCATTTGGGGCAGAACATGTGATCGCGAGCCTTTGTGTTGAATTGATATCGTGAGACACGTTTGTCTGAGTCGTTGTGCCAGGTCACTTTCTCATACGCTGGGTCTAGTGACTCGGGTCAGCATTGTCCGAACATAATGCATTAAGCCATTCATACAAACAAGAAGGTAACCTCCTCGACGGCAAATAGAACAATTGCAGTTCACGACCTCATGTTCAGGCAGAGGAGGGGAGAGTTTTACTGAGAGGCTGATATAACCACAGTGACAGCCTGCCTCGTAAGTGACCTCAGGTCCGCCAGCATTGGCGAGTTTTTGGAGATGCTTGGCAAACATATTGTGGTAGTTGTTATCATGCGTAAAGGTGAATAATACCAAAGAAGAGGTTGTAGGCGAGAATCTTTGTATTTAAGAAGGAATTGGCCGTAAGCAATTGACAATTCGGATGAATTGGTATAAATAGATTTCTAGTTGCCTATTTCGGACTCCGGAAATCCTGGAGTTCCACCGACTGGGGAGGAACGATCCTGCCGTCAGCACCGGAATCCCGTTTCAACATCAACACTGAACCCTCTTTAAGTTGAGATGTACGACAAGGCCTTGAATATTTGGTCTGTCAAAAAGACATCAGGGCCGAAGCCTAGAAATATTGCACACTTAGAGTAATCTTGGTCAACTAGATCATGAGGATTACACAGGCTACCCTGCGACTCCATATCCGCCGCCCATAAGTTTTAGGGTACCATTAGAAAGACTATGTCTCGGGTACAATAACAAAGAATTTATGATGCTTCGATTGTAGTTGTTAATTATTACCCTTGGGTTGACTTTGGCCCTTTCTCAATGATACTGATCAATAACCTAGGAAGACCTTTCACAGACTGCTCCTCTTTCTTTATCATATCTTCGCTCACTTCCAAGTAATGGTCTCTAAAAATACCCCAAAGCTCCTGATCAGAGTTGTCTGCAGATCCAGGTCGAGGATAGTAGGGATCATTTCGCCAAAAACACTCAGCAGCGGTTGCGGCACCGTTTTCGTCCATTGTAATAGGATCACAGCAATCAAAGTCTATAACCCACATTGAGTGAGGCCCAAAGATGGTAATATCGAATGGAATATGTGAGTGCGAGTGTGAAGTCGGGCGTGAACGAGCAAGAACGAATTCGACATCGTTGGCATCAATGCGAGCGACCCAATGGAGAAATGCGAGGCCTTCCGCGATGACCTTCGCGTAGCTTTGCACATCGAGACCAAGCTCTATCATCCGATCAAGATGAAGTGGAAAGTTCCTCAGGCTGAAGAAAGTGCTGCGGTTAGTGTCTCCCCAATCCTTCTTCCTGCGGCCAAGATATGGGCGGATGAGGCAGTGCTCGTTCTTTTTGTCGTTGATTATGGCATCCTGGTCACTTCCTCCTCTTGCGAATTTGGAGACCAGCAGCTTTCTAATGTCTTCTGAGAGTGGCTGAACTTTTTCGCTGAGCAATGCGTTACAAGGTTTTGAGCCTGGCGGGAGTCGGGGGAGGACCAGAGACCAGTCCTCGTCTTCTTTGTTGAGAAATCCACGGCAAAGAGGTATTCGGAAGTTTCTGGCGTGTTGTGGGTTCAGTTGAAGAGACTGAACAACAAGTTGATGTATGAAGTGTTCATTTATGATGGATCGGTGCGGATCGCCGTCTTCTCTTTTGATGCAGGAGGGGGTGCCGTCGTCCTTTGATGAGTTTGCATCTGCCCAAACGCTTCCACAGCAGCCTGTGCCGATACGTGTGAGCTTTTCCGAAGATGATTCTGTAGTAAGATCGTGGCTAATCCCTGTTGCCATGTCTGAACTGGCGTCAAGACCTTCTGATAAAAAGATCGTGAGATTGTGATGGTGGAGGTCGCAACATGAATATGAATGACGGTGGCGGGAAGTACGAGCCTCTGCTTGCGTAAGTCATAAACTTTAGCTTCACCACCAACACCACACACTCGTCTCAACCGTCGGCAACCTATTAACTCATAATCTCGTGGTAAGTTAGACAAGCTTAGACATATTTACTTAAAAAGACAGAGGCTTTCATGTACTCATCCTACATAGAACAGCAGAATCGATCAAACTGAACGGGGCTTCATACCTTCATCACAAAGCCAATCAATGTCTTAACTGAGGAGAGCATCCTGACCCTCAGCAATATTGGAATCATCATGGTTCCAGTATCTCGTGTATAATATGTGCCAATGGCAATGCGGTGAAGCGTTGCGCCTGACTATTCCTTGATTTCATGGTGTGCGATGCACTTCTTCACAGTTCCTCTCGATGCAAAGTGCATTCCAAGTATAAGACAGGCTAATACAATAAGTGTCCTTATATGGTTCGCTTCTAAATATCAGAGAATAGCTTCTAGTTTCCGAAAACCGTCAAAGCATGCTCCGCCATCCACTCCATACCTCCAGCTCTCCAATCATCAACCTCAATATGCGTTCCATTGATGTCGAAGACCGCACCCTTCCCGTTAGGGCCATCAGACAGCTCATAAACAGGCCAATCGTTCCCATTAAAGAGTTCCGGCCCTGGAACGCCATTAGGATCAAGACCATTGATAAAGTTGATCCAAGCAGTGCTGATCGTCTTGGACATGGCTTTAGCATCCGCTGGATATGTTCCATTACCTCCAAATGGGTTAGGATCGTATCCAACACCGTTGGTGTTATGAAACACAAAAGCGACCTGAAATAGTTAGTTGTTTCTCACTGAAAAGGATCTGATGGTCTTACTTCTTGGAAATGTCCTACTCCAGCCTCCGGTGGTTGTCCATTCGGCCTGATGTTGAAGCGATATACATAGCTGGGTACGCCATGCTTTGCCCAAGCTTTATTCGCACGACGTCGTTGGTACTGCATGACATAATCTCCGAATATTGCGTTATCCCGGCGATACTGAAGTCCGAATTCCTCGGCGTAGCCATCGCCTGGCTTGATAACGTGTGGCCAGGTCTCCAAGGACGGAATTCCGAGGCTTTGGTCGTTAGGATAGTGACTCATCAACTCATCAATGAGTTCATTTTTGGTCTTTCCAGTGGTCTTCTCTACTTCATCTGGGAACATCCTCATCCAGATACCCTCCCTTAAATCGTCGTCGTCGTCAACATTCCTAGTGCCAAAGGATGTCCCTTCATCTGTATTCGCTCCTACAAGAATTGGGATCTTGAGGAAACGTCCACTGGCTAATTGGTTCGTAGTATAATCCGCAAAGAAGTCACCATCCAAGACGGGAGCCCACCTTTGGCCAGTGCCGGATCGCAATGCTATGTCAATCTCTTCGACGGGTGCTTTGCGCAGACAGTCTAGAGTCGAGTCTGATCCCGCCAGTTTCTCACACGATGGGATGGAGCTAACAAAATAGTCATAAGTACTCTGTGGGTTTTTAGTCGCATTGAAGCCACCAGGGTATCGGCCAAGGGGTGCACCGAAGCCAGACTCCCCAATAGCTCCCCTGAAAAGGCCATCATCTCGTCCTTATATAGTCAGAGAGATTATCTCAGATTGAACGGCTTGTGAACTTACCATTGTGGGCAAATATTTGAGCCGCAACACTTTCTGCGCCGGAGCTCTCCCCAAAGATGGTGACTTTATCGGGATCGCCTCCGAACGCCGCGATATTCTCGTTAATCCAACTGAGTGCAAGTCTTTGATCACGAAATCCAAGATTCGTGACTCCTTCTTTCATGGCCTCTTTACCCATGAGGAATCCAAATGCCGAAAGACGATAATTGAAGCTGACGCCAATGACTGGTTTCCCCAGGGCAACACTTTGTTCAACAATGAATGAGAGATTGTAACGCGGATTCGCAGCACCACCCATCCATAGACCTCCTCCATGAATCCAAGCAGCGACTGGAAGTGCATCGTCATGAAGGCCTGCAGGTCGCACTATATTTAGGTACAGACAATCTTCAGACTGCTCGAAGCCATCTTGATCCCTTCCGTAGCCATAACAATGAACCGGATATTCATGCGCTGTTCGGATAACATCCCAAGTTGTATTGAGCCCTTGCGCTACTGAGAAACGCTCTGGTGGCTACACAAGAATTAGCCAGTCGTGACCGGAGGACTAGGGCGAGCGTTACCTGAGAAAATGGTACACCAAGGAAGTGGTCTTGGTCATATTGAGAATTATATACTCCGGAGTATGTGCCGTTCTGGACCGTAACTAGAGGTGCAGATGTTGTCTGTGGTGGGGGATACAATAGGGCTTGTGGCAGACTCAGAAGGGCCCGGCCAGCGTCGATAAGAGACATGTTACCGACGAAGCGCATCATAGCAACCGAGTAGAGACTCAAGATGACAGGTATTTATATTATTTATAGGGGAGAGCCAGGTTCGTATATGTCAGATCTGTATAGACGCATATAGAAATCTCCGACGATCAGGACAAGGTGGTGTAAGCCGGGTTGCTGATACAGTAGGCTCAGAGAGGCCAATCGTGACTCACTAAATTACAGTCAGACTCTTATCTCGTATTTCACTTCAGCCTTCTTATTTCCTTGTATGATTTTTGAAGTTATATAGCTTGTCAAATGTTGCCTCTAGTATCGCCGATTGGGGGTGTTGGCTGGAGAAGATTGATATCGGAAAGAAAAACATCACCTGATGAGAGGTTGAGAGCAAGTCGCTTACGGGGGCCTCTTAGCGCTTTATAGTGTCGTAGGTCACATACTCGTATCCCGTAGTGATTTTGGACCCGATGCTCGGGTTCTTTGGCCGCTATAGCTGCAGGTAATCGCATCCAGTTACTGCCGGAGTATTTAGCCATAGGGCCATCTGCCCGGAGACGAATTAGAGAAACTACTGTTCCAACAACCAGCATAAATCCAAAGATAGGATAGCTTTGTTCAATTGACAGCATTTGTATTCTGCGACAATAGGTTTGCTTATTGCAAAAAGTCGCCCTCGGATTCCTTGAGAAGCATCTGATACTCGGGTTCAAACTGCATGTACATCGCCTCAGGACTCCCTGTGTTCTCTTTCGTATACTGCGCCTCCTCATCACTCACGATAGTCTTCTTGAGCTGAGATCCATTAGGAGCCACAGCAGCTTCTACAAGCAATTGTGCCTGACATGCTCGCTCCAAAGCGATGAAGAACGCTGCTGCTTCACCAATTGTCCCTCCCGAAGTAAGAAGGCCGTGGTTCTGCAAGATGATGTTCTTCTTAGTGGTTCCAAGAGCATCAGCAAGCCTATTGCCTTCTTCCTTGGCGAAAACGACTCCCCCAAAATTGGCATAGACTGCGAGATCGTTGTAGAACATGCAGCTGTCTTGATTGATCATCTCGATGGGCTTTCCGAAGGTTGACCAGGCCCGGCCGTAGGGGCTGTGAAGATGACAAGCGGCGTTGATATCTGGACGGCGTTTGTGAATGGCAGCGTGAATGATGAAACCAGCTGTATTCACAGGCTTCTCTGCGCCTCCGATACGATTGCCATTCTCATCAATGTGAACCATGTCAGAAACGGTCAGCAATCCGAAGTGAACACCATATGGATTGATCCAGAAGGTTTCTGGATCAACAGGATCTACCCTTGTTAGTCTGATGGGATAACACCAAGATATTGCTGCAAACCTCTCAAACTAATATGGCCACTGCTTCCATCAGCATACCCAAGCTTGGCAAAAACACGGAATGCACCAGCCATCTGTTCCAGCTGCCATTGTCTTGTAGCTTCTTTGGTGGAAAACTCAGGTATCTTGTGAATGCGTTTCACTTTGCCATCTTGGGCTTTTGCTGTGTTTAGAATGGATTGACCTGTGGTGGCAGATGGTGACATTCTCGCTGATTAGAAATATTAACCAGTTGAATAGTCGATTATCAGATGAATAATAGAGGCAGATTGATCTTAATTATATCTGTATCGATGCGGGGTTGATCGCCAGTGATGCTTGATGGCGAATTGATATGCTTCATGATTGGTGGTTGATCAATTGACAAATTGATTATCCGAAGCATTGGGTTGATGTTGAGGGCCTGATGAGATATCCCATTGCGCAAAACAGCCAACAACAATATCCAGAAAATACAGCCTTTTTCTCAATTTCTTCTCGTTCAATTGTGATATCATGCCATGTGCAATGTCTCACGGACAACCTTACACCAAGCTTCAACATGTCAACATCGAAGGCACCCGCGGGATGCGAATATTTGTAAGCCAGCGGAAAATGATCGTCAAGACTGTCAGATTATGCTTATCCGAGATCCACAAAGCCAAGTTTTTAGAGGACGGTCTTTCGGTATTTCGGACTCTCAAAGCCCGTCGGTACTGCTGAGCGGACTTTCGAGCTTCAAATTATCTAATATATTGCCAAGATGCGGATGATCATGGCGCTCCAAGAGACTATGTTGCGCCGGAAGTCCGCTTCGATTATGTCATCTGACATGATCTTATACTTGACTTGGAGGTGAATGAAATTGTATATAAGGTCTTGATGTCTGTTGAAGAGTTGAAAATATCATCATAAGTCAAGCTTCAGATTCACAGACTCCAGCTTACAACTCCACCAACTCCGGCAACATGTCTCGTCACATCACCGTCATCCCTGCCTCTACAAAGGCTGGCCGAGAAACCATTCGGACTCTTTTAGAGTCTGACAGCAAGCCTTCTATTCGTGCCGTCTATCGAGACACTTCCAAAGCGCCTCCTGAGTTTCTGAAGCATTCGAATTTCGAAGCTGTCAAAGGTGACATCGCAGACAGTGACAGCCTTGATTTTACAGGCTCAAACACAGTCTTTTACATCCCACCTCCTACCTACGATGGGACTGACACTGGTGATTGGGCAACTCGAGCTGCTACGAATGTCAAGAAAGCTCTGCAAAAGGCAAACATCAAGAGGCTTTTGATCCTTTCGGCCATCGGAGCTCACAACTCAAGCGGCATTGTATGTCTAGAATATTTACTTTGAAATTCTTAGCACAAAGCTGACCACAACTTTCATTTAGGGGGTTCTTAAAGTGAACTACATCTCAGATGAACTTCTCAAGGACTCTGTTCCTGAAGTCTCGATAGTTAGGCCTACTTACTTCCACGAGGACTGGGCTCATCTCCTCGATGCTGCAAAGGATGAAAACCCAACCATCTACTCCTGGATCGCACCCATCGACTACAAGATCCCTATGGTATGTAAAACCTTTGAGACCTACAAGGAACTTGAAGAAAATCATACTAACTTATACTTCAAGGTCGGCCTCAAAGACGTAGCCGAGAACTGCGCAAACTCCCTCTTAGCCGAGACAGCCAAGCCCAGACCTCACTATTTCAACGTTTTTGGACCACGGGCTTACGGTTCTCTTGATCTGAAGGAGGCAGTCGAAGAAATCACCGGCAAAAAAGTTGAGCTGAAGCTTGTAGAGAAGGACCAGCTCCTTGATTACTGGAAGCAAATTGTTCCTGAATTCTATGCTGAAGAGTTCAAGGAGATGACGACCTGCGGCTTGGCGGACGGCATTATTGCGAAGAATTTCGTGTATGATGAGAACACCGTCAGGGGAAAGGTGGAATTGGTTGATGCTCTACGCAGCTTGTATAAGAACTAGGAGAACTCTTTGTAAAAGAGAGTGACAAAGACTGGCTTCGCGTATGCAAAACAACTATCCTCTTATATCAGATATATATTATTATTGCGATTTATTATCAACCACCTGCACGAGGCAAAGTTCAAACTCTTAAAGACACGGGATCTGGTTCTTTATAAGGAAATATTCTTATAAAATATAAATAATTTTAAGGATAAGTTTAAAAATAAGGCTAAACTTAGCCTATTTTGATGTAACTCTCGAAAACCTTAAAATATTGTTGTTGATATTAATAAACAGGCTAAAATTTACAAATTCCTTACTGTTCCTTCTTAGACCCCCTTAAAGTACTCCTAATACCATGTGAATGGATCCAATCATTACAACCACAGCCAATATCCTCGACATGGACATCCCGTTCATGGCCCCATCACTTCTTGGATTCAGATCCTTTGCACACTGTTTCACACAAGCATATGCCTTATCTCCAATCGGCCCATCTTCTTCATCCTTTGTAGTGTAATAGGTCACTTGGCAAGTCCTAGCACACCCATAAGCCCAACAAGAAACTTCCTCTGCATCAATATGGTTCCTCCCATCCAACTCCTTCTGACTCCAAGTTGCATTCGCTCCAACAAGAGTAGTTCTACTGCTATAGGAAAAGCCCATACCCCTTGGGGCGCCTTTCTTCAAGAGGGCAGTTGAGATGCGAATTCGTGATTGGTCGGGTGCTGCATCTGCAGGAATCGTGACGTTGACTTGTGTCACGTCTAGGTCTACTTCTTTTGCGAGCCAACATACAGGCCCTGTGCCCCATCCTGGTGGTGTCAACGCGAGATAGACGCGGTAGGCATTTGCCCTCTTGCGGACTTCCTCGTTTGGTGCAATCTTTTGATCGATTTTGAGGTCGTAGAGTTTGTCGGCTTCAAAGGGGTAAGGGAGGCTGATTGCAGGTGTAGCGTTAACAGTTGGGAGGGCCACCAAAAGAGGGAAGGCGACCACTCGCAGAAGGAATGATATCAGCTCCATAGCATGCTTTAAAGAATGTGGCGTGGAGAAAAGCCCGATAAGATTGAGGAGATGAATGTGAAGAAGGGAAATGAGTGAGATTCAAATTAGATCGTGCTTTGGCTGACAAAATCATCAAACAGGGGCTCCGTGTCCACCACGCCAAACCTGTCTAGGCAGTCTTGTCATCCTTCAAGACTATAACCGATATGAGATGTCTTAATGGGAATATCAAAATGGCATACAATCAGATTCTGCCACTATGTATAAGATGTTTTCTGTTTTATCATTTGCAAAGCGAGAATCGTGATGTTCAGATATGCTTGCCCTTATTCATTTGCTATTCCCATATCAAGATTCAGACTCGAAATCAACGACCAATATATATCTATGTGAAAATCAAGAACTCACGAGATGGGAACTAGTCATTTACAGAGACCAAAAATGTTGCTTGAAACCTAGGCACTGATAAGATATTCACTAGACAAACAATAGAAACAAATGAGGGCAAATACAATCAGGACATTGAGCCAGTCGGGCTGATGCCTGGCCTCGCTCTAGAAATATTTAAACGCGTTCTCTGCAAGAGCAAGTTGACTTCACTACAACATAAGACTTTCTGGGTCCGGTATTCTCAAGTCTCATCATAAACACCACAACCGCCATCCTTGATCCTATCCAGTCAGCAAAACGAACAGAGCTCTTCCTGATAACCACCTCCGCCAGAGTATCTGCATCCTTACGAGCAACATGGCCAACTCGGCTGACCGAGTCTTCCACACTTTGGAACTCGCTCAGCAAATCGTCTTTGAGCTGGAACTCAAGGATTTCTGTAGAACATTATCGATAACAAAAAGACTATGGGAAAGCAAGGTACCAGACCACGTTTGGGAAGAACAACTCATGCGCCTCGGATATCCACGTCATGATATTCGACGAACCTCGCACCCCCTGAGGACCTGTTACAGGAGTGTATCTCAAGCTGCCGATGACATCAGCCATGGAGTCAAGCCGGAGCAAGCCTCTTGAAATTGAAAGACAAACTTGAGGGCAGATACACCTTCGAATTCGACCGTCATGACGATATGGTGGCGCCACTCATAATTCGGTCTTCGCCAGGCAACACAGAAGACGAACGCGACATCTTTGTGCTAGACCTCGACGAGCCACGTCTCCTATTCACAAAGGTAGAAAAGTTTCCTGGATGTGCAATGATCCTTGGCCCTGTCCTCATGGGCAGGGAATACAGTGACTCAGATGAAGATGCACCTCCCATTGTTGTTTACAGTCTTCCAGACTGGTCTCTAATGGCCAGGTTTACAAACACCCATCTCGGCAGCGATGAGCTCTATCCCTATCTGAGAAATTGCCAAGTCTATAAGCATTTCATCCTAATTGTTCATGTTATGTATCATAAGACAGCCCCTGGTGTGATCCAGACTTGGTTCGATATTTGGGACATTCAAGGAACGCAGCGCGGAGAAATACTCTTTCCCAAAGAAGGATTTGTATGTGATGCGTTCCACTCTCACGCCGGAAATCACTACTTGACGATACACAGCAGCCCCTGGGTTGAAAATGGCCCAGAAACCGTCCAAACGTGGGACCTAGAACGGATGGAGTTGACCTATGAATACGCCATATCCCAAGATGACATGGATAAAGGCTATTCCTGTGAACCAGGTAGTGGCATTGTGTACCTCTGGGCTGAGAATGAAAAACCGTTCGAATACTGGACTGTTGATGGCAGGCCTGCTTCCAGGAAAGTGGCGAAAATGGAATGGGAATCATTCTCATGTCACCCGGGAATGTTTTCAGATGGTAGCAGGATTGTAACAAGCAAGTGGCTTACGCTGTATACGAAGGAGGGAGATGTAGTGAAGCGCTACAACGTGAAGAGCGAAGATGACTACTATCTTGAAGCTGGCGTACTTTTTGATCGATTCTTCTTCAGCATCTCTTGGCGTGAAAAATCGAAATCTGCCTCCCTGGTCGTTTATTCCAAGACGGGAGAGAAGTTGGCGTGGACTCGTCTACGTGTGAGAGGGAGATACTTCAGCTGGTTCATTGACATTTCGGAACGCCTGGTTTTAGTCTGGGACGCACGTAGATACGTGGAAACTGTAGACTTCCGTGGGCTTTTGCAATAAAGAAGAGACGGCCAGGGGAGAAATTCAGTTCTGAGAGAAAAGATTATGAACATTGGAGATTCATCAATATACGCACCCTTCATCATGTGTCTAAGCATGGGCAAAGAAGAGCTCAATAAATCTAGGCGTGACTTACGCATATGATATCCTCGGGGTAAGTATTGAAGTTTTTCCTCCCCGAGGTACTGACTGTATAGCTGCCATGAATCCATCAACAACTCGTTGTAACACGGATGTGCGGTCGAAAGTTAAGTATCGAAGCAACCCAGTTATCGGAGATAGAATAAAAGACTCGTGCCCGAGTTTTTGTAAAAGACCGAGACTTTGAAGGCCCAACGGTATTTACTTGATGTTGGTTGACTGTTGACTTACACAGACCAGGGTCGGACTTTTGCTTCAATCCCCATCTCCGATACCTAGCCTCAAAACCGCGGTCAGCACTAACACGATAAAAGTACGCAATTCATAGACGATAAGAAAGACGTCACCTATTTTTACCAGTTTCCTTATCTAACCGTCCCTCAGGGTGTCAGAGCGCTTGAGACCCTAGGAGGCCAAAATGAACCAGCCAACGAGCCTACTAAATCCATCTAAATTATCGTAACCTTGGTTAAGTATTTTTATCACTCAGGCTTAATTGGTAAAGTCCTTAAGCTTCTGTCATTCTTTAACCGTCTCATAAACGGAAATGCCATTCGAGCTGAAGCGCTAACAACATAGCCTCAGCCCATCAAAACGTGGCACTGAGCCCTGTCATCATCGTCACTGTTGGCTAAAAAACGGCGGCTGGGGAAGTTTACCACTAAATTGCAACGTTGTTTCGACTAAGGGAATATGTGATAGGCTGGCTGTCATTTTAGTCACAGTGCAATTCGTAGGTTGAACAGCGAACCCAGTTGATGAGGCGTCACAGAGGCTGAACTTAGGGCCGGTTTGACCGTCGGAGGATAAGCTAAACGCTGAATCTCCGGTTGAGAGTTTAGATAGGTATTGTGTTAATGTTAAACCAAGCCTCTATGATGAAGCAGTTCTTTAAGTTGGTCTATTTAAATGCCAAGACACCCGTCAACATGAAGGTATTCAATAGACAGACCGGAACTCAAACAATACATTCACATACTGTTAACTCGATACACGTTGAACAATGGGAAACCGCAAGATTGCAATCATTGGTGCAGGTCCAGCTGGTAATGCTTTGCACCGAACTCCTCAATAACATCTGCTTACACACTCTAGGTTGTTTACTAGCAAGACTCCTTCACCTCGCAGGCACAGAAGTCACAGTCTTCGAAGGAGAAGATCATCCAAACTTCCGATCCCAAGGAGGTACCCTCGATCTTCACACAGCAACTGGCCTTGCAGCTCTCAAAGAGGCCCAAGTTTTTGACAAATTCCTGAAGCACGCCCGCTACGATGGACAGTATATGGCCATTGTCGATAAGGACCTTGAATACCACCTCGTTCGAAACGCAGACGGCAAATACAACAAGATCGAAGAACGCCCTGAGATCGACCGTTCCAAGCTTCGTGAAATATTGGCCCAGTCACTTCCCGAGGGCATAATCAAGTGGGGTCATCATCTCAAGAAGGTCGAAGGCCGAACACTCTTCTTTAACCACACAACAGTTGATGGCTTCGATCTCATCGTCGGTGCTGATGGTGCCTGGAGCAAAGTTCGAAAGGAAATCGACCCAAGCCTAGTCCCCGAGTTTGCAGGAATTGCCATGCACGAGCTTGAAGTCACAGACGCTGAGAACAGAGCTCCTGATTTGACCAAGCTGGTCAATCGTGGTAGTATCTTTGCCAGCACAGATGGCAACCGAACAACCATCCAACAGATGGGCGATGGTAGTCTGAACATCTACTGCGGCTATGTCACCGACAATGAAGACTGGGCGAAGCCAGAGAATTGCGGCTTCGATCCTTACAACTTGAAGGAGACAACTGAAACTTTGCTTAACACCAAGTACAAGGACTGGGACCCTCGACTAAAGCAAGCACTGGAGTTGGCTGACGGAAGATGCGCTCCACGTTCTCTTTACATGCTCCCCATCGGTACCAAGTGGGAGCACAAGCAAGGTCTAACTCTCATCGGCGACGCGGCACATCTCATGACACCCTACGCTGGTGAAGGTGTCAACCAAGCTCTCGACGATGCAATGCAACTTGCAAAGGCCATCAACGGAGCTGCTAATAAAGATGATGCAGCACTCGACAAGGCGATGAAGAGTTTCGAGAAGGATATGTTTGCTCGAATTCACCCAATTCAAGAACTTACCTGGGGGGTGCTGCAAGACTGGATGTATACACCTGGAGCTCCCAAGACTGTCATGGCCAAGTCGATGAGCAGACATGTGAAGCATAGACTTCCATTGGTGCTGCAGCCTTTGGGTTTGGCGGCTGTGCATGGGTATTACTTTCTGAAGAACAAGAACTTCATTAGTTGAGAGCATATTTGAAGCGGATGGATATGATATAAAGGGCGGATTAATTCGAAGTGTTGGAAACATGGATGCCGGAGCTGTCGGTAGTTAATATTAGCGGACGTTAGAGAGTTACTTTATTTATGTGTATTTTCTCAAGGATGCCAGAAAACGACAGACAATTTGTCAGCTATCTATTAATCAACTGTGGGAATTAAAGGTTAAAACAATCGGTAATTGACTGAATTTATGATGATACTATAGCTGAATCTGAGCATTCTCAAGATCACCATTTTAAAGCTTGAATATAAGTTTAGACTTGAATTGTAGGTATTATCAGAGTGATTGGACATAATGCACTTTTCTTGAACCCCCGACGCTTGATGTACCACCTTGACATCTTTGACTCGGCGAGAACCCCATGTGACCAGGGATGCTGATCAGCCATGTATCATAAGGACCCCAGATCCACGACTCTCACTTCATGAGTTCCTCTTGACCTCCAACCACAGCCTCATGGAATCGTGTTAACGCTGCTCAAACAGTTAATACGGCACCTCCCAACGCAACAGAATGGATAGCTCTCAAGCGCCGCTGATTGCGGGCCACAGCGACGAAGAAGAGCTTGAATATGATGTTGCTCAAGGGTCTCCCGCTGAAGCCGGCAAGACAGAGGGTGGAATGCCCAGCTTGTTTGTCCTGGCCTTGACGTTCGCTGCTGGTATCAGCGGTCTGCTTTTCGGGTGTAAGACTCTATTATATCATGGTTTGGCCTCAAAATCATGCTGACAGCAATTAGACGACACAGGTGTTGTTTCTGCAACCCTTGTCTCAATAGGCACATCCCTCTCGAACCGCGAATTGACCTCGATGGACAAATCGATTATTACATCCTCCACGTCGCTCTTTGCACTGATAATCTCGCCCTTCTCATCCGTTCTCGCCGACCGACTCGGACGTAAGCACGTTATCCTCTACGCCGACATCCTCTTCATTGCTGGCGCACTTCTACAAGCATGGTCTTCTACGGTCCCAATCATGGTCGCTGGGCGATGTATTATCGGTGCGGGAGTTGGCGCTGCCAGTTTCGTCGTGCCGCTGTACATAGCTGAGGTGGCACCCGCTGCGCATCGCGGACGGTTGGTGACGCTGAACATCATGTTCATCACGTTGGGCCAGGTTATCGCATACATCATTGGTTGGGCCTTTTCAACCTACGGTTCCGCGGCGACAGGATGGCGGTGGATGGTCGGTCTGGGTGCTCTGCCCGCCATTGTTCAGGGGAGCATGATTGCTTTTATGCCCGAGACACCTCGATGGCTAGTCAAGGTCGGCAGGTCTGGGACAGCAAAGGAGGTTATACGACGAGTCAATGGTGACGCATTGCATCATAATGCGGATGTAATCATCAAAGAGATCGAGTTGGAGGTGCGGGACGAGTATGAGGCACAACGGCTGCGCGATCTTCGAGCATCTGGCCGTTGGAAGTGGCTCGGTGGATGGGAGCTCCTAATCAGCGAAGGGAGAAACCGAAGAGCTTTGGCTATTGCTTGTCTGCTTCAAGGCTTGCAACAGCTCTGCGGTTTCGTAAGTCATCATGCGAACTACGAGTACGATAAGAAACTAACAATTTACAGAATTCACTTATGTACTTCTCTGCCACCATCTTCACAGTCATTGGCTTCCAAAGCCCAACACTTACCTCTATGGTAGTCGCCGTTACGAACTTCCTCGGCACAGTCGCTGCCCTTGGACTTGTTGATCGCATAGGTCGAAGGAGAGTCCTTTTGTACTCGATCCCATTCATGATCGTCGGGTTGCTGCTGTCCGCGTACGGCTTCTCGTTCCTGTCATTGGCAGCAGGAGTCAACACCACGCCCGATGAGCCACCAGCCACATCAGGACACGAGATGGCTGCCCTTACCATCCTCGTGAGCATCATGGTCTATGTCGCAGCGTATGCGCTTGGTCTTGGAAACGTGCCATGGATGCAGAGCGAACTGTTTCCCTTGGCTGTTCGCTCGCTCGGTAGTGGAGTCGCAACATCGACAAGCTGGGCAGCCAACTTTGTCATAGGGTTGACCTTCCTGCCACTAATGGACCTGCTGAGTCCATCTTGGACTTTTGTGTTATATGCGTGTATCTGTGGTGTTGGTTACTTTTTGGTCTGGCGTATTTATCCTGAGACGGCGGGGCTGAGTCTTGAAGAAGCGACAGCTTTACTCGACGATGGTTGGGGTGTTCGATGATATATCCTGAAATAGAACATAAATATCATGACGTTAGAAGTTTCTGTTATTCTTTCTTAGCATTGGCATTACACGAAAGCCTTATCTCAAGTCTTGGCCGTAAGACCGAGAGGCTTCGGTGGGTAGCAAGCGGAATATCATGAACAAAACAATACGGCTTATTTGCGGTAAACCGCGGCATGTTGTGACAAGGAAAAGCGAAGGAAAAGCGAAGGAAAAAAAGGCGTCAAAAAGCGAAGAGCGAGAAGGAATCGCTTACGCCGAACATGTTACATCACCTTGCATTGTCCAAGCTTTTCCAGAAGCTCAAAGGTGGAACCACTACGGGAGACCACTCGGCCGGCTCCCTCCATTGGCTATTGATTTGAAGATATGCGCGAGGAAGCGAAGTACATATGCAGTCTTGGTCAGATAACGGGATTTGAAAGCTGCTGAATAAAGCATGTGCATGATCGTCGTTTGTTAGACACTGACACCGCAATTCTCGCACCTGACAATTTTCGGTGAAATACAGTTCATAAACTCAGGGGCATCTAAATAAACGAGCTGGTCAATGCTACAAGGAATCTGGAAATACAACCATTCAAAAGTATCGGATCTGTGTAAGGTAACATAGGGGAGCGGCGGGGCAGCAGGGGCATTTTGGAACCTTTGAAGCCCAACAATGGAGCTGATTGTGAAGAACAAGATTGGAATTCTCGATAGATTGGTATCCATCCACGGGATCTCGGCCCTGTTGGCTTGAGACACGACCGATTGTTTTGCTTACCGAGATGATCCGCAGAGAAAAGAGTCATAACCCGGATTTTCTGAATAATCAACGTGCAGTAGCTAGAGGTGCAAAACGGATATAGTATACTTTCACTCGGATATATGACCCCTTGTTGCAGCTCGGGCCTCGTCCCGGCGCCGGTGCCGAGCGTGGATGCCGAAGACAAGTGGGCCTCTTCCGAGTGAAAGAGGGTACGAAGCAGAAGATTTTTCTCCGTTGCCAGGGATTGATTCTGTTAGTGCTTGTGTTGGGTCGATAGTTAGTAATGGATCTCGTTTTCGCTCTGGAAGAGATTGGCACTGGGACTGGGGGACTTTGTTTACAGTGGACCTTGTCATTACTTATAGATGGCATCACCCCTTGAATCATGATCTCCTTGTTCTATTCTGCTCTGTCTCATTATTCTATCTCTCTAGATTAGATACAGACTGTATCGTATTGAACAGTAATCGAGTCAATTCTCTCTCTCCTCTTCTGACTCGAACTTCTCAACATCCTACCTGCATACGACCTCGGCTTGACCTTTTTCGTACAATCATCACCTTAGCGTCGCGATCCATCCATTCTCGCCTTTTCCCGACAGCCTATAGCGTCATAGCTGCAGCTTACAGCGAGAAGAGGAAGACGCTATACATATATTTACGCCCGCACACCTCTCTAGACTTATAATACCAGTTTTCTCGACAATCGACTTATCTATCTGAACTGAAGACGAAACACACAGTCAAGATGGCGGGGAATATCGTGGATCAGGAGTTGCTAGACGCTGAACGCGCTGCTTCTCCTCAGCGATACCAACAGCGCGACAGTGCTGAAATAGAACGAGTCATCTCCGCATCAACCGTCTCCTCATCATCATCCGAGAACTCAGCACGTCGACGAAGCCGCTCAATTGGTCAATACAACAGCATCAGCCGTATCTCAACCCAAAACGACCTCGAGCGTCATCCTACAGAACTCAGCAGAATCCAAACAGCTCGGAGTCAACACAATGCCACCGTCGGAGGAAGTCTTCGTTCCCGCACAGCGTCGCGAGCTTCGCGAAAGCCTCTCCCTAACTTTGGTGCTGGAAAGCCATATCCCCCCCCTTTGCCGGAGCAGGAGCAGTATGTTGTTGAATTCGATGGACCAAATGATCCTATGCATTCGCAGAATTGGCCATTGAGGAAGAAGCTTATCACTGCTGCTGTATTGGGCTTCACAACCATGACATCTGCTTTTACATCTTCTATTTTCTCTGCTGCGACTATGGTTGTTGCTCATGAGTATAATGTTGGCAATGAGGTTGGTCTTTTGGGAACGACCTTTTACGTGCTTGGTTTTGCCTTTGGTCCCTCGCTTTGGGCTCCTCTGTCTGAGTTGCGCGGTCGTCGTCTTCCAATTCTCATCTCCATCTTCGGTTTCTCTGTCTTCTCAATTGGCTGCGCTACTGGCAAGGATATTCAGACTATTCTTCTCTGCCGATTCTTCAGTGGTTTCTTCGGTGCTTGTCCTCTTGCTGTCGTCGCCGCTGTCTTTTCCGACATGTTCGATAATCGTACTCGAGGTACTGCCATCACTCTCTTCTCCATGTCTGTCTTTACTGGTCCTCTTCTCGCCCCCTTCATCGGTGGTTTCATTGTTGAGTCTCACCTTGGATGGCGCTGGACTGAGTATCTCGCTTCCATCATGGGTTTCACTGCTCTCATACTCGATATCATCTTTTTGGAGGAGACTTACCCGCCTGTCATTCTCATCGCCAAGGCGGCTGATCTGCGACGTCGCACTAAGAACTGGGGTATTCATGCCAAGCAAGAGGAAATCGAGGTTGACTTCAAGGAGCTCGTGCAGAAGAACTTTTCTCGACCTCTGCGTCTGCTCTTTACCGAGCCCATAATTCTTCTGCTCTCCATCTACATGAGTTTCATTTACGGACTCCTCTACCTTTTCCTTACTGCCTACCCTCTCGTCTTTGTTGGCGTTCACGGCTTCAGCTCTGGTCAATCCGGTCTTTGCTTCTTCGGTATGATTGTCGGTCAGCTTATCGCTGGTGCTACAGTCATTGCTCAACAGCCTTGGTACATTCGCAAGCTTGCCGCCAACAACGGTATTCCTATTCCCGAATGGCGTCTGCCTAACGTCATGGCTGGTGGTGTTGCCTTCGCCATTGGTATCTTCTGGTTTGGATGGTAAGTAATCCACAAACTCAGCAACTGACGGAATACTAACTTTTACTAGGACTGGATACACCAAGGATATTCACTGGATCGTTCCCACTCTCAGTGGTCTCTTCACTGGTTTCGGTCTCATGTCCATCTTCCTCCAGGCTCTCAACTACCTCGTCGATGCCTATCTCATGTTTGCCGCATCCGCCATCGCCGGTAACACATTCCTTCGATCTCTCTGCGGTGCTGGTTTCCCTCTGTTTGCTCGTCAAATGTTTGACGGCATGGGCATTCAATATGCTGCCACCCTTCTCGGCTGTGTCGCCGCTGTGCTTGCACCCATTCCCTTCATCTTCTATCGTTACGGTGCCAGGATTCGTCAGAGAAGCAAGTATGCTCCTACCGCTCCTGCTGCCCCTGCCTCTGGCTCTTCTGCAGAGGAAGACGAGAAGGAGAACGACAACGATACCGCGTTGGCTGCTGTCATCGCTCGTCGCGACAGTGTGGCCAGCGGGGCCAACAAGGAGAGCGCTTAAATCTTATAGCCACTTTCACATATCTTTGCGTATTTAATAACTAGCAACGTCTAATGGAGTTTTCGGGTCACGCTTGAAAGCAAGGCGTTTCATGACTTGGGCTCATTGGATGATGATGGTGTAGCGGGTTTGCAAAAAATGTCGTTTTGGATAGATACCACTAGGAAATTGCTCAGATTATACCATGATATGAGGTGGTCACGCAAACATCTCTTCCTATAATACCCTAATTAATACGGATATATCAGTCAAAAAACTAATACCTACAAGTGCTGTTAATCTGCTTGACTGTTTGCTTTAAAGAATGAGATTGTAAAAAGATAGTGGGAGACGTAGGACTTTGATCTTGGATAATAAACATACTTGGATAATTTAAGATAGATTTATGATAACTTTTAAGGTAGTTTGGGGTAGTTTGGGATAGTTTAGGATAATCCTGGTATACTTTTGACCAGAATACTTCAACACCACTTAGAGCAACAGTCTCAAGGAACGGTACCATTCAGTCCAAGCCTTGCAATTTACACAACAGTGCACGTATCTCCATAGAATGCATGCAGAATATATCAAACACTATCAATTTGATTACAGAGCTCAGCTCCATCCGAGTCATCTCGACTGTCCTCAGTCCAACCAGTGTCTGGCTGTTCAGTGTCTATATAGAATATACCGAGTTAGATATCATTTAGTTATATCGTTCCAGACAGCAGTGAATATACACAAGACAAACACAAGGGAATTTCAACAGTATGTCCAAGCATGGGGTATCCGCAAGAATCCAAAAAATAGAAACATCAGGTCATAAAAATCGTTGCATTGCATCAACGCAACCACCACCGCTTCCACTCCAATCCAGGGCTGATAACACACTCACCCACACCCACATCAGTTGGTGACAAGCCCGACCGTTGTCTGATCCTCCATTACCCAAGGCAAGTCTCGGTTCCCAACGTTGATGCAGGTGAGGTAAGTGACACTATCCGGGGTGCGTGAGGCACCGCCCATATCGAGTTCGAGATTGCTGCCCATGAGGGGTCGTACGATCTCTCGGGCCATTGACTTTAGCTCGTCAAGACGCTTCTCAAATCGCCGGAGATTCTCCCGGCTGTAGAGCTCCGGAGTGAGCTTGAGGAAGCGCTTGCAGTCATCGTGGCCGAGGAAAGATGCGGGATTATTCGAACCGAGTTGGCGATATGCACGACCTACAGAATTCAACGGCGGGGCGGCGGGGGGTAAGGCGGCGACGCTGCGGCCACCGTCACGAGAGGTCGTCCTGCGTCGCTGATCGGGAGGCGGCTGCGGAGAGGTGTTGTCGGCCAGCCATTGGCGGAAGAGGCTTATGGACAGCCAGTCGAGGTAGTTGTTGCTTGGGCCGACACGTTCACCACGGCTGTTGGTGAGCCCAAGACGGTACAGGCGTCCCTCGATGCGACCGACAGTATCTTCCAGTTCGTCCACCTTGTCCTCAATAATATCCAAGACAATGTCGGGCAGGGCTGCACGCAAGCTGCGTTCCCCGACAGGCCACTGCCCAACGACGTGAATCAGGGCTTCCTGAAATATCACCCTGCTGCGAGCTAGGTACCCGAGGCGCAGATATGAGATTGGGTATTTGGCGATTTGCTTCCAGAGCCGTGACTGGAACTGCAGCATGTGGTGATCAACTCGAGGTCCCACCACAGCAAGGGCGTCATATTGGTCGGCGAGGTTGAGCAAGCTCTTGCATTGGACATAGGCATCTGCGACATTGACACCATCGAGGTTGGGCGGGTAATTGTAAAAGATGCGAAAGAGGTTGTCGTAGTCGCGCAAAAGGTCCTCGTCCGCTTGCGATAGCTCTTGAGCTGGAGGTGGGTGGTTGGAGGAGAGACTGAGGTTGGCGACAGAGCGGAAGAAACCACTTGAGGCTGACGAATTGGACAACGATCGCGAATGTGAGTGGGAGTGCTTGGAGCGACTCTGAGAGCGCGAGTCTCTTGCACTGACTGCAGGTGGAGCTGATGCAGGACCGAACAAGGATTGTGTAGTATCTCGCGACGATTCGTCTCGTTGGACCAGCATTGGAATATCGTTTGGCCCAGATTTGGGGTCTAGCTCGTATCGCCATCTCTTCCTGGGTGGATGGATGCTTCCTCTTTGCGACACTGAGCTGACTTCGCTTGCACTGATAGAATCCGGTTCTCCGTCCTCTCCGATGCGGGAGAGCTCATTGCCAGCTGGTAGTGCGCGAGCGCGAGACCACTGGCTCGATGTGCTAGTTTCAAAGAAACCACTCGAGCGCGTGAGAGTATGGCGATGGAGAAGATATCTGTTCTGCACGGGAGCAGCATCGGGAGGCGTATCGCGCGCGCGGACTATGATTTCCACATCGCCGCTGCTAAAAACTGGAAAGTCATTGTGAAGAGCGTGAGAAATCCCGCCGGTATGAGATCGATTATAGCGTTTCGATCGCGAGTCTGATTGAGATCGACGGGAGACGACGGAGGAGGGACCGCGGCGGGAGACGGAGGAGGCGGTTGGAGGCTCCAGCGTGGACACCATGAGGGCTTTTTCGATATTAAATGATTGCGATGGTGATAATTAAGAGCCGCGCAGGGGGTATATGAGGCTCAGGAATGCGGCTGTGGCGGAGCGAAGGTAGATGAAGAGCTAGCGATGAGGCTGGTAATAGGTGATGGAAGATGGAAAGTAAATTGTGAATCACATGGGGCGGGATGTTTTGGTTTGTTGCGGAGCGACGAGACAATATTTGGCCGAGAAACAGTTAACGCGACAGAGGGAGATAGAAGTTCAGATGAGGATAAAGGTTGAGAGGAAACAATAAAAATAAACAAGACGAGATAGGACAATACGTGACTGTGTGTGTAATGGATGTACGGAGTATGCAGATGTATGTAGTTAGGTACTGCAAAGACAAGGATAACCTGTGATGGTGGCACGAGGACAACAAGAGGCCACTACAGCCAGAGATTCAAGGTAATGGACCATGATCCAAAACATGCATTTCGCTCTCCACTCCAACTGGCAAGGCTGTTTCTGCTCTTTTCTCGTTAGGGCCTTTTATGCCTTGGAGGCGAATCATTTGAGATGGTGACAGGGGTTGATGAGGGTCTCTTCTCTTTAGTTATTACCCGCATGGTTTAGTGAGAGTCTTTGTCGGGACACGACGAACCTGTCACTGACTGCTACGTTATTGGAGGCCTGTACTGAGGAGATACTGAGATACTGTGACAGATGGATATGGCGATTTGTTTATTTACCTATCAAAAGTTTAATTCCCGTGTCGTGTTTTGTTTCCAACTTTGGTTGTGGCTGGTTTATAGTGCACTAGAGCAGTTGACCGTTGTACAAGGTGAACGACGCGGTTTCTAGAAGCTTGTGATTCTATGGTCGATCACTGCCTTTGGCGAAGCTAATCGACTTGGATTGATTCACGGTGTTTCTTAGCGAGACATTATGTCCAGTCGTCGTCAACATGGAGCTGCCAAGAGCAATGAAGTGCTGTGATCCTGTTAAGTGAAAGATATATTTCTTTGTCTCAACTGTCAATGCACTATGAACTATTTTCAGCCCTGAGGGAGCAAATAGCTTCCAGTTTCTAAGTTCATCCCGAAGTTGCTTGAATTATCTCAGCACATTCTAAACTTACCTGGGCTTACCTCAGTTAACTGAGTATATCCTAAGCTTGCCGAAATATTTCGATACTTTAAATTGAGGTCCCGAGTTTCATTACTCCCCAGCCATTCACTATTGAGACATCAAGTATTCATCAAGTAAAGTCCCCCGGGCCGTCGTGATACAACACCCGCTCGGCCCCACCAGCTCGGACGGAATTCAAACGATCAGACCCACTGAAGCTTGAATCGAATTCCGACATCACCAAGTGTTTTTCCTTTCCTTTAAGCATCGCATCGCATCGCATCAGCATCAACCTCAGCTTTAGTCCTGCTCCGCCAAATGTGCTCCAGGCTCAAACTGGAAATATAATGGAATGACTACGGCCTTTCGTGTATTTCATCATGCCCCTCGGCCAATTCAGATCAGCGAGTTCAAAGATGCCCTCGACGCAGTTTGTCGTCCTCGGTTTCCAACCGCTCGCTTTGCGAGGCCGCAGCGTATAGGTATCTTGTCCCAATGCTTTGCAGCTTGACTATGCGACTAACTCACCTTGAGTGCTGGCTATCAGTGGAGGGGTAGACTCAATGGCACTCGCGTTTCTTATGACCAAAGTTGTTCGCTCATTCCGCGGCATGAAAATCGCGGATAACCCAGTCTATGGTGTTCTAGCTCTCGTTGTCGACCACAAACTACGTGACGGAAGCGACCAAGAAGCGGCAGAGGTCGCCAAAGAGTTGCGCAAACTCGACATCAAGGCCAGTGTTTCTGCTCTTTCTTGGAGAGACGAGAAACGTCAAGGCCTCGATCCTCGTCAGCTCCCCAATGTTGAGGGTCTCGCTCGAACCTACCGGTATCGCGCGCTGGGCCGCTACTGCAGCTACCATGGTTCCAATAGTCTTTTCTTTGCGCACCACCGTGACGACCAGTACGAGACAGTACTCATGCGGTTGCTTGGAGGACATGGATACCGAGGTCTGCAGGGAATAAGGGAGGCTAATTCGATACCCGAATGCTACGATTTACACGGCGTCTACAAGAGCGGCCTTCTCGACGACCAACTCCGACCAACCCCTGCACTCAGCTTTCGGCCAGCCCTGAAAGAATTGAAACATCTACGACGCAGGATCCGTGACGAGTTGGCCCTTGAAAAGTCCAATCTCTTGGACGATATCCCTCAAGATCTCATTCAATCGTATCCAGGATCTGACAAACTCCGTGAACTTCCCGACGTTCCATACCTGAAGCCCTTGGAAGTTGAGGATGGCGGTGTCATGATATATCGGCCTCTCATGGAATTTGACAAGGATAGACTCATTGCTACCTGCGAAGCGAATAAGATCCCTTGGGTAGAAGATGCAACCAACAAGGACCCTACATTGACGACACGAAACGCTGTTAGACATTTGGTTCGAAACCACATGTTACCGAAAGCCTTGCAAAAGCCTGCTATCCTCTCTCTAGCTAAGAGATCGAAACAGAGGACTGAGCTTGAAGAAGCAGAAGCTAGCCGTTATCTTATTCGGGAGGCTGTCATTAAAGACTTTGATCCAAATGCAGGAACTTTGCTGGTTCAGTTTCCGCCACTGCGCAACTTCAGCAAACGATCCAAGAGACGCTCTTTAAACCCCGATAACGAGCTGCGCAAGGATCATCGGAAAGTTGTCATGACCATCGCAGTTCGCAAACTGATCGATTTTGTCACTCCTGAATACCATCTACCGCCCCTCTCAAATCTCGAAAACGCCGTGAATACTCTCGTCCCTGGCATGGCTTCTAACATCAATACGACGCCCAAGGGATTCACCGCCGCAGGTGTGTATTTCGATCCGATCGTCAAAGGAGCATCCATCAAATGGCTGCTCTCCAGAGCCCCCTACACATCAACCCAACCCCTTCCGGTTGCAAAGCTGTACTTGCCTCCGTCATACCAACCGCCTCCACCAAAATTCACAGAGGAGGAGTTCACCGAAGCCCCAGAGTCATTCAATCACAATGGATGGGCGAGATGTAAGATGTTTGATGGTCGTTTCTGGGTGCGCATTGGACGTAACAAATGGCCCATGTGGCAGGTCCACCCGTATCGTGCAGAGTATGCCAAAGCATTCCGCAGGGCACTACCTCCTTTACGAAGGGCTCGACTAGAGAAGTTGCTCAAACACTACGCGCCAGGCAAGATTCGATACACACTTCCCGCTATCTACGGTGTCGAACGTAAGCGGGATCCGTATTCGCAACATATCACAACGACGCTGACGCTTCTTGCGCTGCCGACTCTGGGGATCCGTGTACCTGGCCTTGAGCGGTGGGTCAAGTACGATGTAAGATATAAAAAGGTTGATGTCTCACTGCTGGGGCATCACCGTCGGAGGGAGATAAAGGGGCGTTTACGGGAGTCACAATGTGGGACAAGAAATTCCACCAGAAAAGGCCCGCAGGCCAGCGTTGATTGAGTAGACTTAGAGTAGTTTAGACCATTTTCATCCGATTTGCATGTTCTCGACTTTCTTCTCCAGCTTCTTGTTTTCATCCTTCTTCTTTTTTTTGTTTTTTTTTTGGTAACCCGCTGGTTGCTGACCCCACCCTAAAATCATCAAAACTTAGTCAAAACTTAGACTTGATGAACTTGGTGAAAACTACCACGCGCACGATAGTGCCCGGAGGGGCCACCAAAGAGCCACCAGCCACGATCATGATATTGGAGGCTATTGATAATCAGTAATTGCATAATATTGCATAAAAGCATAAATTGGATAACTACGTACAGAGGGTCAAGCACGCATCAGCTGTATGGTTTGCCTTACGGCACACAGAACAAAAGAGCCTCTTGGGCTTGGGAGGGGGGCCTCGCCCCCACCCCCACTGGTTGTTCCCCCCTTGTCAGGCGGGTCCTATATAGTGTGTTAGTACTCTTAGATGAAGGGCGTCGTGGAGTTGTCGTGGAAATGTCGTGGGGATATGGTGAAGATGTTGTCGAGATGTCGTTGATAAGAGAGGGCGTCCGGTTGTGTACTTACGGTTTTGAGTTGTGTCTGTATGAAGAAGGGTCAGTGTGTGTACTGGCAAGATGAATATAGTAGAAACTTACAGCCATTGTAGACGCGAAAAAAAAAAAGAAGAAAAAAGTCTTGAATATTTTTGCGTCGCTATATTTATATGTCAGTGAATCAGAATGCACAAGAGATGAACGAAATGGCTCTGAATCAAGAGTGAACAAGGAAATTGTGTTGTGGTGAATGTCCAGGCAGAGATAAGTGTGCAGAAGTGCGAGAATAGGGGAAACAAGTGAAGATGAGGGGGGACAAAGAGAACAGAAGGAGCATGAGGTACATTCTCGTGAAAGGGTGGCGCTGTGTAGATGGTCGCTCTCCGAAACATGCAGAGATCGCGAAGGGGAGGACATCATCGCCCCAGCGGGAAGAGCTCGCGGGAACATGAAGGCATGGATTTTCGCGTCGAGAGGGGGCAAGATGTCCTGAAAGAGGCATAGTTGTTGGGTTCTCATGAGTTGAGCACCGCGGGGCGGTGAAAGGCATTCTCCAAATCCATGGAGATTGCGTGAGGGGGCAAGGGGACTGGGAGAGCAGGAAAGGAGCGGCGACAGTGAGGTGAGGGAAAGGGAAGGGAAAACTGCGCAAGCGAAGATGCAGCAGTATGTGAAGAATTCAAGGAAAGGAACAGCGGAGTGATTCGATGAAGCTGAAGTGCAGGGCAAATGAAAGATCGTGAACTCACGTTTTGATGTTGGGCTGAAGAAGAAAAGAGAGGGATCGGGAGGGGCGAGAGGTTTTATCTACCTCCTCGCGATCATGTGACTACCTACGCGTTGTGAAGCTCCTGCCTGACTACCTATGAAAAAGAATGCTTGCCAGTGGCAGGCACCTGTCAAGTACATGCGAACTTCCCAGAGCGTGAGCCCCTTACGGATAATGATCATGGGTACCTTCCCGGCTGCACCCGCCTTCTGACTGGCTAAAATTAGATGCAGGCGCGAGTTTGAGCAGCAGCTATCAATCTTGATATGATGCAGGACGCGGGCAGGAAGAACCAGTGCATTGCGTTGATGGTGTTGGTTGGAATCGGGTTTTGGGTGAAGCGATTTGCGGTCGGTGAGCAACTGATGCCCATCACCATGGAGGATGGCCGTGAGATTTGGATTATTCATTTAATACCTGATAGCACTTGATTTGAGACAAATTTGATCCTCGGAAATGTGATATTGTTCGACATTGGTGCTGCAGTGGGATTTGTGCCCCTTGACCTTAATCGTGGACCACATATGCATTGCTCACAGCCAGACTCCGAGAATAATTCCCAATTTCTATCCTGATGATTAATCTTTTGCGTTGTATTTCCTTCGAGGCCAATAAACGTATCAGACATAGTCTTGGGACTATATTATATATATTTTTACATATCACCAATTCCCTGCACGGGTGAGAAATCGAGGCTGTAACTCGCAAGTAACTTGACATGGAAAGATGACAAGGTCGGCAGAATCTCTACAAACTTCTGGAACTCTTTCATGTTTCTAATTTTGTTTTTAGATTTGTGTCTTCTGATAGTTGGGAACAACGGCCTTCGAGTTCCCTGGTTTGGGTCAGGTCCCAAATGGAAGTAACAGCGCCTTATGTCCATCCATATCAACTCTCAGCTCTTGGATCCGAAACTTGTCATGAAATCTAGAGTTATTTTTGGCCAAGACTGGTCTGTAAGCTTTCGAGTCTGAAAGGGAGCAAAGAGCATACACGAAATGGGTCATCACGGAGTAGCCATCCATAACTCAAACACGACAAGTAACTGAGACTACCTACTGCCGTAAAAGTACTACAGGTCACAATAATTATTGACAGTGCCATATTCCCCCCCTCGCAATAAAAGTTGATCCACATCTTGAATAGTAAGAAGAGGATGAGTGACAGCAGAAGGGAAGAATGCTTATGATCATTTGTTGTGAACTGAAATATCTTTGATAGTATATCAATAATAATTATCTGCATTTTGTTAACACATTGAGTAAGACAACGTGTCCGAGTGGTTATGGAGACAGACTTGAATTCAATTCGGTTATCTGTTGGCTTCGGCCGCGTAGGTTCGAACCCTGCCGTTGTCGACCACTAAACTCATCATTCTTTTTTTTTCCATTCCTGGGATTCGTCACTAGACACATGAAAAATGACAATGAGCACAGATTGAAAGCATCCAAGAGACAGATGGTTCAAGGCAGGCAGAAGTAATGAGGTCAATGGTACAAGTGCTGCGAGGACAATGTCTCTCACCTCTAATTATTGATGAGGTTTTCATGTACAAGAGACTCGACTCAGTTTCCGCCAACATAGACTGTGCCCAGATAGGGGCCTGGGTGTGGTTCAACACCAGCCAGCATATGGTCATCGTAGCATCACCATATCCATCATGACCACGAAATATCGAGACCTCCCCGTTACCCTTCCACAACTCTACCCTACTTCAACAGACTAGGGAACTCTTCGGTTCTTCGCATATTTCTTATAAATTGAATGCCCATAAAGTGTGTATTGCCGCAGGAACGCAGGAAGTGACCTTTCGTAGTCCGAGCGTCGACGGGAGACCTTTCAAAGTGGACGAAGCCAACTACGTCTTGCCGATGATGTCAAAAGCCCGGGAGTAAGACGTCGCCTATGTCGTTAGATGGCAATCGGGATTGATGCGAGTAGTTCGGTCAAAAGGCGTTGGAATTGGTAATCTTAGATTGATAACCAATAGTTATATCGGAATTACCTGTGCAAGGTGAAGTAGAAGCTTGGAATGCTATATAAACGGGGTTTAAATATGATCGAAAGCATATATGCGAAGTGGCTTGAACAGAAAGTGAAAGCAGAGATGTGAGGTTCGCCTATCGATGCAGCCGAAACTCTCGTGGTGAAGTTCGCCGATGTCCTGAGTAAACCTGGGTGCATCGACGACGAATGGAAAAAAAATATAACAACTCAATCCTAGGTAGCAGGACGTCTTGACAATATTTGGAAGCCAGCCCAGTGTGACAAGTCTTGAACTCTGACCATTTTTTTGTATACAAGATATGTCCTAAGTTCCTTGACATATGTGAGCAAAATGTGACTAGTACAATAAAGCTCCATACGATCTTCCACTGCTTAACGTGCTATTTACCACCAATCCTTTTGATTGTTGGTGCGTGGCCCACAAGCTTCTTCAAATGACGCCTTTACAAGTGGCATTTTAAATGGGCCAGTCTTAACCCCCATATTTCATCGCCGAGCTCTCCTCCTAGAAGTTCCCAGCCCCTGAGCCACTCGCGCAACATGCTGCAACTCTGCGTTGTACGCGGAAGCCATGACGGCAACGGCGACGGAAGATGTGGAGAAATAGGAGTTAAGTGATAGTAGAGAATGGAATGAAATATGAGGAGAAATGGGATAAAAGTTTGGTGAAGTATTAAGATTGTTTGCGAGTGTGAGAAGATGTGAATGTTGATGAAGTGAAGATGGTTGAAGGTGGAGGAGGAAGTGAGGAAGGGAAAGGCTAGCCCGGTTTGTGGTCAGGAGAATATCTGAAATTGTAGAAAGGCGCGGCCGGACTAGGGTAAGGAAGCCTCAATCTTGACGTAGACCTGGGGTAGGAGCCCAGGCGCCGGCTCGATAGCCGTGACTGTTGTTGGGGATAGTTCATCGCCCATCTCTCCTCCTAGAAGTTCCAAGCCCCTGAGCCACTCGGGCTCGATGGCCGTGACTGTTGTCAGGAACTGACAATTGGTCATGACAAAGGAGTCATAAAGGAACCATCTGTGGTTGATCCCTACAAGACCGCTTTCAGGAGATAAACCTCTTTACACCCCGAAGCCTGTGAACCCTGATGTTTTTTTAAATTTGCTTAGTCCTGGACGTAGTGCAGAATGATACTCGTTAATCGACTCAAAAGCTTCAACAAACCCGACCAGTGTACAGATAGTCGAAGGGGAAGAAGCAAAAGAGCCTTGACATGAAGCCCATGATTTCTCCCTAGTCTCCTTGTTGAAAGGCACGCGAAAGGTGTATGTGGACCGTCCAGAGGCATACGAGATCGTCGTGTGGTTCATCCAGGCGGTACAGAGATGAATTTAGTGTGGCCGATAAGTAGGTCGCAATAAAGAAAAGTTTTGGCGAGATTGGCACCATGTGATTCTATTGCGATAAAGTCATTGACTTGGCTTGTGAATATGAGGGAGAGTGAGTTCGGGTCGGAGACCCTTTTGGCAACCTTTAAAGCGACGTCGCTATTCAAGCCGTGAAAGGTGAGGTAGACATAAGCCGCGAATTCGACCCTTGGGTAGTTCAACTTATCCTTTCATTAGAGCTCAAACGCCTCCACGGTATTGGTCAAGTACACACCGGGGACTACCCTATGGTCCGTTCTGATACAATTCGTATGGTCGAACAATGTGTCACGAGCACACGAGTCGAGTTGCAAACTTTCGTCTCTGTGTAGGTTGGCCGCAGTTGTAGGAGTAAGGGGGAGGTATGGGGTTACCAGCGCGTGAAGTCGAAGGCCAGAAAGCAAAAGTGATAGACAATATCTGCCTGATAGCAAATCTTTTTCCGCTGACGGAAGGCAGTCAGGCCCATTATCATGAAGGAGAAAGTCGAAGTGGTGCTGCTGATGGTGGCATTGAGACGAATGCGGCCTTGGTCTGTATTGTAAGCTCGTTGGGGTCGATTGGATGTATTGCCAGGCTAGCATATGATCTTGCTTCCGGCATGCTAAAGCTATTGCATTGATGGATGTGCATCATTGCATGACGCCCCAAATAGAGCACGCACTGAGACGAATGCGGTCTTCATCTATAACATGATCTCGTTGAGGTCGATATACCGTGCTGCCAGATCAACAAATTTACACAACTGCTGTTGCTGATGACACGAAGGTTGGGGGTCTGCTTGCCTCGACGGCTGTTGCGAGTAACAGCCTGGAGGGCCATGCTGTCCACTCGCTTGAGAGGCTGCTTTGGCTTCTCGGGCAGCTGGGCCTGGGCGGGCTGGAACTCCTGAGAAGGTTGGAACACCTGGGCGCCTCCGGGGTTCTCAGCTGCGGCCAAGGTCGGAGGACCCTCACAAAAGCCATCTTAAAAGCGCTGCTCGGCAGCCTCAGTGCTGTACGGAGGAGGGGGAGGGGGAGGGGGAGGAATGGGGGGGCAGGCATCGATATACCCCATCATGAAACCCATAAGCGTTCCAAGGCAGAGAGGTAAGGAAACCCAAGACGCGATCCGAAACGACAGAAATCCTCCGGTAGCTTACGCATGAGCTTAGGGCGATTTTGACTAGATAATCTTTGGCACTCTGGTGTAAAGTCTGGGGTTTTGTTCCTCTTGGGGCCTGCTTTGGCGTTTGGAAATGGTGGTCCTCGTGTCAGTAGCAGAAGGCTCTGACGATGGAGTTGGCTTGGTTGGGGATCTCGTCTATGCTCTGGGGTTAGCAAATCAGCAAATACACTTCGGGATCAACATATTACTTAATAAAATACAATAGACCAGTTCCCGCAGATGCATTCTAGAGGAATCGGAGTCGATCTCGGATCGATCGCTCGTGATCCTTCGAGATTGCCAGGAGAGGGTGGAGCTGTAGCTTCTATGCGCCGTGTGGCAGGGGCGGTGGTAGGAGTACCAGGTTTTCGTGTTGACGGGAGTACACATGTGAGTTCAAATGTATAGGAGGGTCGAGGTTCCTCCCATTGATAAAGCGGCTCTAACGGCAGTATTGTGGGTGGTCTCGTCAGTGTTTTCGTAAACCCCCCTGTGGACTGTGGTCTGAGTGGCAATGTTGAATGCAACTTCGTCAGCTTCGTCAAACGAGAGTAACCAACGGCAAGCTGTGTTCAACGCCACCGAGGTATACTCCGAATAAGTGGTGTCTCACAAGACAACTGGCCCTCATAAAGAGCATACCGGGGAGCCTGTTGAGTACCCACGGAGGCGTAGAAAAGGTCTACCTAGGGACTAAACAAGACATCCCCTAGTTTGAACAGAATAATGCTTCACAAACTCGTTTAGGCGCCTTCAGAGATGCCATCCCTCTAATGAAGAGAACACGATTGCAACAGCTCCCCTCAGCCCTCAGCGCTTTGGCGAAGTTGACGAGGCTGCATTCAATTAACGAGCTCCAAGTAATTCTGTCCCTTGGAAGAGGCAATGTAGGCCAAGTTAGGATCGCACTTCTCACAGTACTTTCCGACAGTAAGCTTGTCGTACTGGTCGTTCTCCTAAGGAACTTCTCCGGGTTGTTGTTGGGGTCAATGTAGATCTTGGCGAGTGCGTGGAACGGAAATTAGGATCGCGCTTCTCACAGTACTTTCCGACAGTAATCGTGTCGTACTGGTCGTTCTCCTTAAGGAACTTCTCCGGGTTGTTGTTGGAGTCAATGTAGATCTTGGCGAGAGGCTTCAAAAATGCATCGGAGAGGAAGGGGAAGAAGTATGAAGTCACCAATGGCATAGTATTACCAGATGCCGGATTGTAGCCTTGTTTTCGGACTAGAGATCTTCGGGGCTCCACGTTGTTGCAATCCATGAGGGTTCGCGTTCATTCGGCGTGACTTCAGAGGCCTCGTCTTTGCGGGCTCTAGGTTCTTGCAGTTCATGAGGTTCTCGCGTTCCGTCAGGGTGATCCAGAAAGCCTAGTTGCCAACAAATATATGTAGCGCCGATGAGACGCATACATATTCGTCCTGGTAAATGTTGCTAATAGAAGCTGACAAGTTCGTCTCGTAAAGAGGAAAGAACACGATGATGTCATGGCGTGGCGGTCAGTCGAAGGACGATGATCAGGGCAAATAAATTGAGTGCATAAAGACGAAGCAGAAGAAAGAAAAGCGAGACATCCAAAGTCCGCCGTCGATAGTTTTCTGCTGGTAGATGCAGGCGAATTGTCGTCGTGAGGAAAAAGATGAGGATGGTGTTGAAGAGGGAAAGACGGAGATGATATCATATGAGGTGGAGGGAAAGGTAGCGGCAGGTCGGGGATTCGGAGTGGATAAAAGGAGCGTATAACATTGAAGGAAGTAGAACGAATAATGCGATGTGAAATTCGCTATTTAGTATTCTGTTGATAGATGCAGGCGATGGTCGTCGGGAGGAGGAAGATGAGGGTGATGTTGTGGTGGGGAGAGGAGCCTCACTTTGAAGTATCTGTGGCACCCTTTAAGTAATCGTCTTCACAACGCCATTCGCAACTTGGGGGCCGGTGAGGATGCCGTACCGGAGTTTTCGGCGCAGCTTGAAGTGAGTTGCTCCTTTTCTTGAGTATCTTCTGTGGACGTTTTACGGGCAAGTCCTAAAGATGCACCGTATCAAACATCGAAGAGAAGGACTTCATTTAGGGTATCTTCGTCTCGTCCGGAGGGAAGGTTTCATGTTATCGGTTTCCTGTCAGGTTCTTTCGTTGTTGGTGATCGTTGTCTGGGAGTTGAAGGAAGTGGAAAATAGATACAGAAGATACTGAATGTACCGAATTGAATGATGAGGAAACAGGTTGGAGTGTCTGTACATAAACCTCGATGTCCAACCCGGTTCAATAGCGCTGTATTCTCCGGATGTAATCTGTAAGGTATCAGTATACGGCAGTGAATGGGTTGTCCACTTCAGAACAGGCCAAATCATCATGGCAAGCTCTAATGTCAGATCGATTGGCGCATCGAAAGAACTGAGACTTGGTCACAGTCCACAGATATCAACACTCACGTTGAAAGTAGCGCCTGTTCTGATGCGTGTATGAGATGGTCTGCACCATAGCTCCATGCTCTTTGGAAAACCGGAACGGCGAAAGCCCAAGGGGCGGGTTGATTGGATGAGGCTCTTCCAGGTCTTCTTCCCTGGCAGTCGTTAGCAGAGAACGGTGACGAGAAGTGGAGGAGTTCAACTTCCATCATTCCGAGGTGACTCATATGAACTCGCTGGTTTCCAAATTCGTGACGTTGGCAAGCAGATGGCTTTATCCGGCACATCTGCTTCAACCAGACTCGCATGGTAGCATTAGTTTCGGGCTAGAGACCGACAGAACTCCAGTTTCTTGCGGTTCTCGAGTTCCTTTGAGATTAATTTTGAAGTTCCTTAGTTGCCACACAGCTGGAGCGCGCAACGCGCACACAGATACTAGGAACTTCAGATTACATCCCATGATCAGAGCGCGCAAACTTTAACATGTTAAGGATATCTAGTTTCTATATGTTGTTTCCGCTCCGACCTGGGCTTTCAAACCCCAATGTTGATACCGGTAAAACATTACGTCCCAGCAACGGAACACGAACGCATCATACATAACCACTGGTAGCGCATGCCCCCAAAGTCCGCAGATCCTTTCATCAATAAATGCTCCTACCTATTGCGTCTCTGCGTTGGCTCCCTGCTATAACTAGCATGGGATTTCCAGGCAACACCACGTGGAGGTGCAGAGTCCGACTTCGTCACCCAACCCCGAAGGGCCCTTCTTAGCTGATTTATCTTAAAACAGAATCGCACTGAGGGTATCTCTTTCTCGTGAGAGTCCAAGATCTTTCTGAAGCTCAAGAGCAACAGGTAATATCTCCTTCCCAAAGGGCATGAAGATCTTTCCCATCCGAAGATGAGGCAATTCTTATGACAAGGCACAAGACTTTCCCAAACCTACGATAAGAACTTGAAAGGCATTTAAACGATACCTATAGGGACCAGGACGTCACACCAGGAGTGGCAGATCATTCCTCATCCTCGTCGTCATCCTCTGGAAGAGGGCCAACCGCTTCGACTCTAATTGACTTATTCCTGAAATAGGATACGTCCAAGAGCTTAATCCCCGGATGGGTCGCGTTGGCAAAAGGATCAGGCTGAGGGACCAGCGCAATCCGCGAGGATACTCTTCGGAGAAGAAGGTGACCCAAAAGCTGAGTTTGGTACTCAACCGCTTGAAGTCTTCGTCTGCCCGAAGCTGTTTGATCTCGTCGAGCCTGGGAAGGGCACGGGCGTGCTCGGCAGGCTTGTTCGGATCAAGTCGACTGGCCTCGACCTGGCGGGCTTTGAAGGAATTAAGGAGGGCGTCGTACTTGGAGAGTAGCTGTGCTCTCTTGGTAGCGTGACCTCTCTTCTGACCATCGTTAAGCGCCATTCGTTTGCGCGGAGGAGAATCAGGAGGCGCAGGCCTGCTTCTCTTGGTCGCCAGTATTTTTGGAAGTTCCTGGGCTTGAAAGAATTGAAGGATGGGGTAAAGGGGACTGTAGCCCTTCTCACTCACTGCAGACTTGATTCTGTCAACAAGCCCAGGTTCCTTCTCAGTCAGTGCAGGGAAGCACTCCAGTACCAGCTCGACAGAGCAGGACTTGTGCTCTGTATTCTCTTTGGCCATGAGGGCATTGTACATGTCTCGGTTAGTAATATTCCCGACCTGTGATGTCACATTAGCCCACATGCGACTGGCAGTAGCACCAGCCTTCCATTCGAAATAGCCATTGTTGAGGACAGGGACTCCAGCAAGTTCGTAACATGCATTGTATAGTAAGTCCCAAACTGCCCCAACATTGGCCTTCTTGTTGGCGAAGCTAAACTGGCCGTGAAACGTCCAGAAGATCACCTTTTGTATATTGCCAGCTGAATCGCGAGCAACATAGATACGTGGGGACTTTTCCCACATCTTTGTCTGGACGTTAAGGTCCAGGTGTTCTAGCGTTAGCCTAAGAGACTCACATATCCCTTTCAAGGCTGGGAACACTTCTTTGCCTATGGCAAAGATAAACTTGTCGTTCTTGACAAGCTCCTTGGTGAGGCGGAGACAAGCTTGGTAGATTGCTGGCCACTGCTTTTTGTAAGTCTCCTCCCATTTGGGGCCAGTTACTTGGTATGGGACTCTAATAGGAATCAAGCCCAGAGTCTTTAGATCCCCCCTCATCCCGTTTTTGATCTGATACATGTTAGTTATGCTCGAGGCATCGATTGGACAGCTGAACTTACCGACTGCACTTTCAGACTGGCACTGCCTGGGTCCATAACGTGCGAGAAGATCGTATTGGGAGAGGTGTCGGTGGGGTAGTGCCAGAGGAAGGTAGCTCTGGACTTTAGGGGGCCTGAGGGCGCTGCCATCTCGTTGATAGCAACTTGGCCGTTGGAGGCGGAAGCGACCTTTGTGCAAAAGTCCTTCCATATCCTCATCATCTCGGGACAATGGGTATGCCAGTCGGCTCTATCATTGTCAGCAACAAAAGCATCGATGGGGACGAGAGACTCTTGAGGGTCCTCTGTCTCGCCATCGACGAAAGCAATAAACTCCCGCTTAAGGGGGCAATCTTCAATAACAGAGAGTGCCAGTGCCCTATAGGATGAGACAGATGTCACAATGCCTAATGTTTGGGCAGTCTTACCAACAGCTTCTTTGAGCTGTACACTCTCTGTGTCTAAAATAATGTCAGCAGCACCAGCGCCTACGGGAGGCACTGGGACAGAAGGAGCTCGGCGCACTAACCCAAGCTGGCCATTGGTGACCACGAGACGTGCCTGACGACCAAAGGGAGCCATCGCTGCTGTTGTCTTTGTGAAAATTTGAAGATTGAAGATTTAAGGAGAGCTTGTGATGAATGGAAGGGGAGAGGCTTGCCAGGACCCTGGAGGTTAAGGCGTCTGTCCATTGGAACATTCAGTTGGGAAGGAGCGCTCTTGCCCTCTCACCCAACGAGTGGTTTGATTGGTGAGGACAGCTCTCATCGGAGCGCAAGCTCCTTCCCTCACGAACCTCATTCGTTGGGGAGGGCTGGCATTCCTTCCCAATCGGGACGGACATGGTCAGGAAACCTAAGGCAACAGGTTTTCTGGAGCATGCATCTAACGGAAAGCGCATCATTTACTTGTGTGAAAGTAATGGTTATGACGAGAATAGCGTTTTCCAAGAGTAGCAATTTCATGGCGAGTAGGTGACGATGAGACTTTTAGCCTGTCTGTATCTAACTAGGGGGTTGACGAGCCCATATCGAAGAAAGGGGCCCTGAATGAGAATCAGCATCAATACAGACCCGTGAAATCTCCACAACTAGCCAACACAGGGGAATGGAAGGGTCAGCTTCAAAAGAACAAAGAAATTAAATTAAATTATAATCAGTTACCATACAGACATATCAGTCTCAACTGCGCGCATGTAAGTTCAAAAGAGACAAGGTACCTTAGCTGAGATGAAACTGGCAAAGCATCGGCTGTCCCGTCTCGGCTGAACTTGTCTCTTCCTCTACCAAATGGAGAATTCCCAGGGGCGACTGGGAAGACAGTGACTTCCAAAAAAATGTACTCCGTTGACCCGTCAGAAGATACCTGTGATGACACATCAGAACTGAGAGAGCTCGACCCGGACAATCATGTCGATTCACACGCAGCATCATTTTTCAGTGCATCGGCTCCTTTTTATAGGTATTACCTACACATCCATGGTCCGGTACAACCAGCGCAGCTTGGCCGACTAATAAGGCACAAGGAGGATGCACTGAAGTGACACCATACAATATATGGTGGGTGTATTGTTTTGAAGTTGTCCCCAGAATTAGTATTTACGCACCGTCGTTCTCCCATCAGCATATCGTCTCAAATCTATGACTGGACCTTGTCCAACTGGTGAAGTCGTAGATTTGCTTGCCTTCCTTGGGTAAAAAGCGCCACTTTTGTCAGTGTATGTTGAAGCATTCGCGCAGGAAATTCGTCAATGTCAGAAAACTGTACAAGCATACGCTCCCAGATTAATTAATTGGACTTTTGACCATATAATAAACTCAGAATTAGCCTGAAAGATCTGGGTAATAATGTCTTTTGTCGCTGCAGCAAGCAAGATAGCATGAGTGTCAATGTTAGATTGCACCTCACTTTCAGAACGCTTATTACCATTCATACCAACGACTTTACAAATCATCTCCCAACTGTACAACCCGTGTCGAAGTGTTCGATAATTTTCGATAATTGGCTCAAGATCTGTCGATGTTGAACTCCACTTCAGCCCTACCCGTCACGGACGTGGTATACAATTAACTATACATACTTGAACGGCTTGGCCCGGGCCCACCCGAATCACGTTGTGAGTTAAGAGTTGCACGGGAATTGCCTGAAGGGGATTGGGCACGATTCAATATTGAATGTGTCTGGATGTCGACAATTCCCGTTATAAAAGTTAAAGTCTTGGGCATTGGAGGGTTCGAACTAATATCCTTCCATCCATGAAGCCGGAAATCCCATCGAGTTATGGGGTTTAAAGGTCGCAAATTGTCACTTTCTTTCTTCGCGACTCTAAAACAGTATCACCACCTCTCTAGATAGCTTACATATATATTCTTATCCTGAATATATCTGCCTCCGTGTCGGAAGTCCATGAGGGTACTCATGACTCTTTCTGCACTTGCTGTTCATGTGTGGCCAACAATCTTTGTCACATATTTCTGGATGAGATTATATAACAGCCTCATGGATCGTCTGATTTGAGGGTGCGAATGTCTTACAGAGCGACATGAATAATACTGATGGTTGCAAGTGCATTTGATCCGACAGATGCAACAGACGTAGTTGATATGATGTGACATTTGACATTTTTTTATTGTTGTTCTTTTCTTGGACACCGCCTGGTTGCTGGTTCCCCAATTGTGCCTGGGCCACTCGGACACGTTGTCTGATGTTGACATACGATTAAACAAGTTGAATCAATATACCCAAACCTCACGATGCAATTTTGGTGTTTTCGCCGCGCCGCCAAGTAGGAAGGGGCAATTGATATGATGAACTACGCTTCTCGTCTCCCTCTTTCTTTGCTTCTCTTTTTTTTTCGGCAAATATTAAAAATATCGCCCAATCCACCAAGAAGCAATTCTGGTGAGATATTTTTATTTGGTGTCTTCGTGGCCTCTACGTGAACAATGCTTCCCTGAAATGAAAGACCGTACTCTCAGAACCTATAATCTTGGCTTAGAAACCAGGCATTACTCAGTACTTGGTCTGCTTCCGATAAAACAACGACATCGTCGGATTTCTCGAGTTACTCAAATGCTACTTTGCCGCGATCTATTTCTGTTCGAGTTTTCGTCATTCATTGTTCCTGATTGTACTTTTGCCAAGAAACAATCCTGAGACTGTCATAAACAGGTCCGTCTCTCACAGTTTCTGTCATACATTAACGTGTAGTTGAGACTTCACTCCCAACACAAAGGGCAGCTTGGAGAGTCTGGAACGATATAAAATTCAGTAATAACACAACATCACCAGAAAGTGAAAATTACAATACCCTGAAGTTCAGCCGTTCCAAAGACCTCGCACAGTAACACCGTGTTTCACGCCGACACCTCACACATGCACTTTCAAGAAGGCCTCAAAGTGACGCCAATAATCCTTTCACCTTTTAAACCTAGGTATCTCGGCATTTACACATTTTGAAAACACGAGTTTGAGGTCTGTGCTGGGTTGTGAGAGGCTATGCTCGGGCACCAGCATGAGCCATGTGAGGCCAGCCAAACACGCCCTACCCTGTGGAAGTGTGAGGCGAACGCATTTACGTGATAAAACTTGGGCAAATTCTTGTCAAGATTTTATCATAAAGAAATCCAAGACTTTATTTTATACATGACATTACTATCAATAAATTATGCCCAGGTCTGGGCATAAGTCTTTTACATGTGAGCTCGTGTAAGTGATGACTCTTGTTCACTCTAGCCCAATCATAGTGTGGAAAGGCATCGCCACGCTCATTCACGCATCGTCACTGCCTGGTTCTCAACCCCTTTTCACGGTAATATTTCGTGGTAATGTTACTCATTCAACTAATGCCTTTGTTTGGAGTTGGGCTTTCAAATACCTGCCTCTCACCCACTTGCATCAACACTGCGCTCGGTATAACAACAGGTTCCTGAAGCCCACAAACCATCAAATTCCATGCATCCGAAACAATGAACGTTTGTTTCTCTTAGGCGGCAGAACTCCCGTATTCTGATATGCAATGTCATATTCTTAGAAATCCATCCCAAAAGACTGGTATTCCCCGCTGATACTCTGACCAGAAGACAGGATGGCAAAAGCCTTTTCCTCGCAATGTCACGAATCGACCAACGAGAGAACAAGAAGAAAAGAAAAATGTCATACATGACCTCAGGCTCTTTCCCGATACTTAGTCATGATTGGAGTCACGAGATTTGAGGGGGTCAGAACAACCGAGGGAAGGAAGGAAGGAAGGAAGGACTCGTCGAGTGACGAACCTCTCCGCTCAGCGATAATATCCCTGCGGCGCACGATTTCGAGTCGACGACCCCCGATGCCGCGACCGACTGGCTTCCACCACCACTGGCTCCTGATTATGGTGCTCTGGCCTCCAGCCCGCAGGGTACAAGTTCTGAATCTGGACCTGAGAGGCTTCGTGATAGGCTCTTGCTCTCTGATACATCTCTTCATCGATCAACCGGTGTTGGTATAAGTGATCAAGAAAGAAGAAGTCAGGACGCATCTGCCGTCCCGAAAGACCGTTGCGAAAGTGCTTTGCAATATGATGCATTCGCTTCCGATAACAAGTCTCAGCATCAGCTTGATTGTGTGAAGATGTCCGAAATTCACGGTCACAGAACCAACAAATGCACACTGCTGGGAAGATGTTGCGAAGGTGGCAGCCCGCGATGTGTGCGATCCAACGGGATTCATCGTTCAAGTTGAATACAACATCGCAGTCCCCAAAGCCGAGGAACTCACACGTGAGTAATGCAGGAGTTACATATGGCTGCGACTGCGGTAAAGTGGCAACAGGAGGAGGTTCTGTGTAAACCGAAGAGTTTTGAGGAGTTGGTCTGTCAAAACAGGAAGACATGAATGTCGAGCTGCTGGCGGTTGACATGCTGATGCTTTGAGTAGGAGTGCCATTGTTGTCTCTCTCTGAGAGCATCAAGCTTGGGGCATAATAACTTGAGATCATGGTAGGGATGGCATCCCGTGTATGACGTTGTCCTCTCCTGGCATTGTGCTGGCTTATGAAGCCATTTATTTCATTGGCGAGGTCCCCCATCTTCAGAAGGACGCAAGCGATGGCAAAAGGGTATATATCGACTGGCCAAAGAGAGCGTGAGAGCTATGTGCGAAGGAGATACACTTTGTTCAGGTTGGTCTTGAGATGCTAACACAAGCAGCGACTCTTATGGACAAACGGGAAGGAAGACAGGGCAATGGATGATAGGAAGTGAGATGCAGCGCGGGGCTTCGATCTCTCGTGACAAAGGCAAACAGAGGAATGATGGACGGCGAAGAACAAAGAAACCGGAAACTCGAGCTTCTTAACCTGAACTCAACACGCCAAGTTTGAGCGTCAGCACGAACACCCTCTCCCTCGAAGGGCCGGCCCGTCGACAACTTCATATGAACCATCCATCGGTCAACGACGCTTCCTATTCGTCATCACCCTTCAACACATCGCCAACGTGATGAACGATAGCACACTGAAATCATTGGGAATGCAGTGCAGACTTACATGGCTTCAGTGCATGCAGAGAACCATGTCCATCAGCATACCATTGTCACAGAATGATACACGCCTCGGACGAAGCCGAAGATAGTCGGCATAATTGCAGGTAGAGTGACCAATTGGAGGTGAGGGTGTCTTGGTTGCCAACGACGTGGGCACCATTGATGGGTTTACTACGCAAAGTGTGAGTGACACCAATTCACGGGTCGAACTGAAGACAAAGACAGTCAATGGCGGTTCCTTTGCGCTCGATGATCCTGGAAAAGGACAATGAGGATGTGTTGGCAAAAGGGCTTTCGAAATAGCTGCAGTGCTATATCTGGAGGAAACTCAAGCGCGGGGAAATACAGACTCCCCGAAAATTGAGGCTCAAGACAAGGTACGTAAACTAGATGGTGTCGAGGTGACTCTTAAGCTCTTTTACGCTTGGCAGGTTAAGGAGGAGATACCCTGGTCCATCAGAATACCCGTCTGACAGTCTCGCCCATGGCATGGGACATCATCATATGCACAATTCTAATTACGTTCGAGATTCAGCTTTACACAGTTATGCTGACTACACAGAGAAACTGAAGATAAGCTCGATCACAGTCTAATATCAGATCATATACCTAGGAATCGGTGAGGAGTCTTCCATCAACTCAACCAACGGCTCTCGAAATACATGCAATACGCCGACTGCTTAATACCCGGTTTATCACCATCTCGATACCAAACATACTTTCCATTATGAGTCAAACAACCCATCATAACCGCCAATGCGACATCCCGCTCTGAGACATTTCCACGCCAAGCAGGCTGCCATACGAATATCCTATTCCAATTCTCCATACCGAACTCAATTATAACCGTGAATCGAATGCAGGTAATATGAACGCATGAGTTGGCATGCATTGCCGAAGCGAATATCAGCCCTATGTGGGTAGGGTACAGAAGTGTCTGTGAATGTGCCAAACGAGGAATGCAATGCGATGGTGGCATGTTTGAGTTGTCTGAACTAATACTCTGCAATTCGACTTATCTCGAACTACTATCTTACCGGAACCCAGTAAAAACTTATGATTAATTTATAAAATTTAGAAATGCTTAGTAAATAGAGTCGTGCTTTAAATCAAATTCCCTAATTTTGATCTTTCTCACCGAGCCAACTCCTACTTACAAGTCTTCAGGATACTTACCGATGATCGTTATCTCGTGTAACCATACCACTTCGCTCCCGATCTACAATCAGACCATCATTAGGTGAACCAAGTTTATCATAATAATATTCGTAATTCATTAAAATAGTAATCTAACCCTAAAATACCGACTCCTGTCAGTCAACTGTAATAGATCTCATCAAAAGATCCTGTACTCCGTACATAAGCGGCTCCCGCCGTCTCTGCTAGTATGCCGCATAGAATGTGACTTTATCCAAATGCTAAATGCAAGATTATACATGCAAATGCCGGTAATGGGCTATATAAATCGCCAAGCAGCCAAGACCGTCGTCGAGGCCGCGGCTCAATAAGATGAAAGCAGTGTCATGTCAACCCTCCTCAGGGCTACACAACACCCTTGCCTTCAGAATGACATTGCGATATTGCAAATGTCCGCCATGCTCATCGCCATGCTTTATCACTCCAGGAAAAGCTACGCAGCAAATTTCGCGTCCAGTCAGGGACTCTTCGTCTTCACCACCCAAGTCTTCCATCGTCTCTGACTCAAACATGACCCTTTGATGTGGTAAGACCGTGGGCATATTCACACGCAAAACAGCCTTCTGGACAGCGACAAGACGCGCAAGCTCAATTGAGTTGTTGACAAGAACTCGTAGCCCACTATCTCGAGCCTCGGATGGTGATGTGCCACATAGGGCGTCGAGAATACGTGTTATTCGACTTAGAATAGCTTCTGTGATGGATGATGTTGATTCCTTAAGAGATGAGGCATCTCGCCGAAGAAGTGAAAGGGTAGAGGAACGCCATTGATTAATGGCCTCATCAGAATCGGCTGCAAAAGTTAGCAATTGACCTTCCTGGGTAGTGAATACATACCATATGAAGAAATGAGCTTTTCAAGTTGCCGAAACTGTTGTGTTTGCTCTTCTGATAGGCCGACAAAGTAAGCATCAAACACCATCTCGACTAATATCTTCGATACGATCGATTGCAAGAGGTAAACTTTATGTGTGGATGCAAGCTCCTCATACATAGGCACAAGATCATTGACCTCAGCCAACGTTGCTTCATCCAGGGTCTCCAGGTCTGCACACATCAGTACTTCGACCACGTCCTCAATGGCAATATGACTTACTTATCTTGGCCTTGCGAAAGTTCACAATAACCCAGTTCTGCAATCCATTGCCCAGCCGAGCCATTCCATCACCAAACACCTCATCGCATTCTTGCCCATCTGTCCTTGTGCTATTACTCACCCACTCTTTCAGACCACGCACTTGCCCTCTTAGACCTCGAATTTCATCATCTCGCTCTTTGAGCTCTCGTCGTAGAACCTCCCAACCTTCTCGAAGCTCTTCCCGCTCGCCTTCTCGAACTTCAACCTCAGCACGTAAAAGTCGTAATTCTGTATCCGTTCGTAAATATTGCTGGTTCAAGGCACTATGCTTCGCTTGCCAAAATGTCGCTGTTTCGCTTTCGTTCTGGCTCAGCTTGTCCAATTCGCGATGGAACTCTCGCTCCATGATGCCCATCTCCTTCTCCAGATACGCAATCCTCTCATCCTTCTCTTTCAGCGCAGCTTCAAGTTCCCGTTCCCTCTCTTTCTTCTCCCTCTTCTCTCTCCTTTCTTTGCGCTCCTTATCACGGTCCTTTTCCTTTGTGCTCCCGCTCCCTGTCACTGTGTTCTCCTTCTCTTTGAGCGGGGCACCGCCGGTGGTGTCAAGGGTCTCTTCGGGGCTCGCGTTGGCATTGGAAGCCATGGCAGCTCGGGGAGGCATAGCAGGCATGCTGTTTCGATTGTTGTTCGAGGCGCCGGTGCGCAAGGTATGGGCAGGTGAGGTGCCGGGCCCTGGACGGCGCTTTTCAGATGTGTTCATTGCGGTAACGAGGCGGAGCTTGTGCTGTAAGGTAAGATCGGATGTATAGCCCTCCACTGCAGAGGATCGTCAAGTCGTGGGGTCCGAGGCCAGGCGGTGCTGGTTCCGCATTGTTGCTGGCATCAATTGCTGTATAGGATCGCAATGCTTGAGGTTTGCGCAGGTGTTACGTTGAAGGGATGACGTTTGGTTTTAGTATTTTGATGCCTGGAGGTGAGCGATTGATTAGGATTCTAGGCGGTCGCCCACTGAAGGTGCGCTAATTTGGCTTGTCGCGAACCCACCATCAGACCCCGGATCACTGATATGAAGTGAGATGAACAGGATGGCTCGAGTTTTATGATGGCATGGATTAATATAATTTTGAAACATTAATTTACAGTCAGTTCTAGGCAGTCAGTAAAAGGAGCCTCTATGCCATCTAGGAGCTTCCACCCATTACCTTGATTCCATGCTGTTCTCTGGTCTGTACCCGCTCTGTCAGCCTTTTAAGTATCATGATAGATGGTTGGTAATCCATAATCAGATATCAGAGGGATTCAAGTGTCAACCTAATGAAAACTCGGCTCATCTGACTGGCAGTTTCATCATTCTATTCCTCGCTTCTCTTCGTTATCCAGCTGCCTAACAAGCAACCATTCCCGGGCTTCCCAAGCCAAGACGTCCAAAGCAATATTCGCCTCAAGATGCTCACGCAACCTCCAGGCTTCAGGATTAAAACCCGACCTCAGCCACAACCTCATAAGCTTCGTCGTCTGTCCCCTCAATCTTCTTCGCCCCCATTCGACACAACGTAATTTTGTCGAGGGGCATGTCTTCCAACCAGACGAAGTCATCATATGAACTGACAATGTCCCTCGCATCAATCGTCAACTTCTCTCGTCTTCTCCCGCGGCCATCTTTGACATAGATTGTATTGACCACAGTTGCGTGGAGCACCAATGGTCTGTCCTCCTTGGTCATCAGTCCAACTTCTTGAAACGTGGCCTTGATCTGTTCGCAGAACTTATACAGGATTCCCTCAGTGTCAACGGGCGGCGCATACAGCACCGAAGTCTTTTCGGAATTTTGGAAAGCATGTAAGCCCTTGAGAGTTATCAAAAGCCCTTCTTCAGTCGATGCCTTTCCAGCCCTAGCACTTGCAAGGAACTCACTTAACTTCAAACTCTTTAACACCTCACTGGCCTGCTCATCGCCCTCATCTTTGAGGCTCATAACACCAAGTGTCAGATGCATCGTGCCGAGTGGACGTACTGCAGTCGGTGGAACACCAAAGCCAGAAGGATTTGTAACTTCTGTACGGAAAGCAGCTAAGCTTCTGGCAAGCTGCGGCCCGGCTAGGGGGATACATACGAAATGCGTCGGAGACGCCCTGACTGGTTTCGGCGGCATGGCTGAATTATTGGATTCGTCTTTTCGGGGCAACTTTGATCAGTCTGACTGATACTGTACAAGTGTAACTGCGAACAGACAATATGTGACAATGTGTCTACGACTTGTCTTGCTCGGC